GGAAACAGGGCGGCCTCTGCAGTCGTGGTACTGACGGTTGATGTCCCACCAGCTGGGGACTGACCGGGAGATAGGACGGGAGGGAGGGAAACGAGGAAAGGGGTAAATGGGAGGAGGGGTGAGAGCGGCCGAACGGGTATGAAGACTCGCCTTGGAGGGTCACAGGGCGGTCACTGCAGTCGTGGTACTGGCGATTTATGTTCCACCAGCTGGGGAATGAGAGGGGGTGAAGGAGGGAGGAATTGACAAGGGAGAAAGAGCAAAGAAGGGGTATGAAGACTCGCCTTGGAGGGTCACAGAGGAGGAGACAGGGCGGCCACTGCAGTCGTGGTACTGGGGATTTATGTCCCACCAGCTGGGGACTGAGAGGATGGGAGGGAGAGAGGAGAAAAGGGAAGAGGGGAAGAGGAGTGAGAAGAGTTGAAGAGGGTGGGGTAGAGTGTCCACACACCCACCTGTGTTTTCAGGATCCCTCCTGTCAGATTTGGATCGGGTGTTTTGAAACGTCTCAAAACTCCCCCACCCTCACCCCCCTCCTCCCCTGCCCCTGCCCCTGCCCCTGCCCCTGCCCCTGCCCCTGCCCCTGCCCCCGCACCCTCACACCCACCTGTGTTTTCGGGATCCCTCCTATCAGAGATGGATCGGATGAAGCTTCTGAGAATGTTCTTCTGAGCTCGCGAGAACGGCCCGAACCAGCTGCGGTAGACGCGGACGGGGCGATGCATGACGCCGCACAGGCTCAACCTTTGAGGTGACCTTTGAGCGAGCACAGGCACAGACTCAAAGGGCGATGCATCACCCCGCACAGGCCTGGGCGCACACACACACAGGGACACACAGCCTCTCCCCCCCCCCCTTCCCCCATACCCCTCAGTCACCCACCTGTGTTTTCGGGGTCCCTGCGGTCAGAGACGGATCGGATGAAATTTCTGAGAATGTTCTTCTGTGCCTTGGAGAACGGGCCGAACCAAATGAGGTAGACGCGGATGGGGCGATGCATCACGCCGCACAGGCTGGGACGCGCGCTGCACGGCCACCTGTGGCAGCCGTGATTCATTCCCCCCTTGGAGAGCGGCTTATCGAGAGGGGCATTATTGAGAGAGACATTACTGAGTGTGACATTACTGAGTGTGACATTATTGAGTGTGACATTACTGAGTGTGACATTACTGAGTGTGACATTATTGAGTGTGACATTATTGAGTGGGGCACCAGCGGATGAGACTTCAGCTGCTGTTACTGCTGCTGCTGCACCTGATGTGAAGTTCCCACTACTTTCTCTTGGACCAGAACGCACATTCAGCCTCGCGATTGCTGCCCTTAACTTTCCTCCCCCAGCTACTGCTTCTGCTTCTGCTTCTGCTGCTGTTGCTGCTGCTGCTGCTGCTGCTGGCGGTGCTGCTGCTGGCGGTGCTGCTGCTGGGGGTAGTGAAAGAGACTGATTGGGTACAGGAGTGGAGCGAGGAGCAGGAGGAGGAAGGGGAGCGGGGGGTGGGGAGATCGGCTGGTTACCAGCTGCAGTGAGGCTGGCACCGAAGCTGCGGCGCGTCCCGTGATACCTGCGGAGAAGGGGTAGAGGGGAGAGGGGGGCCGCGGAGGTGACCGGGGAAAGGGGGTGAAGGTGGGAAGAGCAGCTGGTCACCAGGTGCGGCGAGGACGGCACCGAATCTGCGGCGCTTCCCCTGATACCTGCGGAGAAGGGGAATTGGGGGAGAAGGGGCGGGGGGGGGGGGGGGGGGAAGAGGGGACTTTTGAGGCGCCTCAAAAGTCGGCGCTTCCCCTGATACCTGCGGAGAAGGGGGATTGGGGGAGAAGGGGAATTGGGGGAGAAGGGGAATTGGGGGAGAAGGGGCGTTGGCGGGGGGAAGAGGGGAGGGGTGTGCCGAGGGGAAGAGGAGGAAGGGAGGGCGGCTCATTACCGGGTTCAGCGAGGACGGCTTTAAAACTGCGGCGCGTCCCTGATACCGGCGGAGAAGGGGAAGGGGGAAGAAGGGGGCGCGGGGGAGAAGGGGGAGAGGGGGGATTTGGGGACGGGCGGAGGTGGGGTGAAGGTGGGGAGAGCGGGTGCTTCGCAGGTGCGGCGAGGACGGCGCCGAATCTGCGGCGCTTCCCCTGATACCTGCGGGAAGCAATCTGACGACGCTGACGGCCCTGACGGCGCTGACGGCCCTGACGGCCCTGACGGCACTGATGATGCGATCTGGGAACGGAATGACTTCAACGCTTGAAGGAAAGAGCGCGTGAGGAGGTATTGTGATCACGTGTGACCACGTGTGAGATGGTCGGAAGGAGGCAGTTCGTACCTGAGACGGTGAACGCCAACGGGAGTACGCCACGTGGCCGCTAGCCGGGGAGCCAATGAGAGAGTTTCCCGCCTGGACTCGCCGGCAACGGCGCCTGTTTGTCCAGCCGCGGCAGACGACGAGAGAGCAGCCGTTAGCCAACCGGCATTTCCGCTTCTCGGCGCGCGCTCGATCCGGGTACCATCACCGTGTTTGACGCCGCACATCACGGGGACGGCGGAAAGCAGAAGCGCCAAGAGGAGGGAGAGCCGGAACCCGGCGGCGGCGCGCCGCCGCGGCGCGCGGCGATGAGATCGGACGGTGACGAACAGATCTTTCTTATCTTGACCTAGCTGAACAGTAGAACAAATCTCTGAAATGGGTGGGTCAAGCGCGGCTTCCAGACCAGCCATCTTGGTTCGGGCCGAACCGGGATCCTAATGTCAGAGCTATGCTCGGACCAGTCGGTTCGGCAATGAGAGAGTCTCGAGTCGAGCTCGCTAGTAGCGCGGCGCCATCCCAACTTTTGGAGATATCACGAGTATTGACGAAACCCGCGCGTTCTAGAGTCCTATTTATGACCGAGAAGGCGCACGATAATAATAATAACAGCAATCGTGAAACCTATCGAAGGGGAGGGGAGCAAGAACTCGTTATTGCTCCTATTGGGGAGGAGGGAGCGGAAAACGAGGGATTGAGGAAAACGAGAGACAAAGTTGTCGCCGAAAACGCAGAAATCGAGAAATGGAATCCGATGCCTGTCGTCTCGTCTACTGGGTGCAGGCGGGAGTGGAGAGGCCCACAGGCCAGCGACGGGGACTGGGATCGACGGGGACGGGGCCTGGGATCGTACTGTAAAGAGAGGCGTGAATCTCGTGAATCGTGATCCGAAGAAGCCCTGGGCCCTGGTCCTGAATGCTGATTGCGCCTAGTCACAAGAGCCATACACACTAGCTTGCTCATTCATTCCTCATCGAACCATTGAGGAGGGGAGCGAAATTGAGGATGAACAGACAGAACAGAACAGAACACAGGAGGGAGGAGGATGTGTGCTGTGCTGTTTTGTGCTTTCCATCGTCTCTGCATGATGCTGCTGCTCGCAGGACCTTGGAAAAACATGTCTGCCTACGTGTGCATGTGACATACGTCTATCTTACGAATAAGGGCCTTTGAACGGCGGCGGTGCGGCCACAGGTGGAAGCTAGCATGCGCGTAGGAGTGTGGTGCGGTGTGTGGGTGTGAGTAAAGGAGGACCAAAACAGGACATCCCCTACGAAGCCTGCGAAAGCTTCCTCGCGATTTGTGCGAAATACTTTCTCTCTTTCCCCTATGTAGTGTTGCAGCTCGCCGACATGTCGTTGAGATGGTACAGTACACTGTATGGCGACAACAACACCAACCCGCCAACCACGCGAATCAGATCCATCCAGCCATTCCATTCCACCACACATCAACTGATCCACTCATCCACCATCGGTCCATTAACAGTTGTCCATCCATAAAACCATGCCTGGTAGCCACTCATGTTCCGGGTCTCAAGGGCGAATCCAGCAACCCCATAATCAACAAGACCGCGCCACGACGCGGAGGTACACTCGAGCCAGCCAGGCCGACCCCAGCCCAGCGCCTCATGCGGCTGGTGAGGATTTTCTGCGATTCTCCAGATCAGTACACTGTAAAGGGGGCGCTTAAGTGTTCTTGCATTTCGCATAGGTTTCTTCAATTCGCAGCTATCAAAAAAGGGCTTATAAAAAAAAGGGACTTATCCGTTGATATATTGACTTCGGTATCTTCAGTTTGACTTCGGTCTCTTCGCTACCATTAGTTCATAATCACTACAACTTGTAAGGTGGGTGCAACTGGCAGGTCCAAAAAATACGGGTGCAGACTTTCTAAAATGTCCAGCGTAGATTCGCACGCAGGGGTTGAGCATCGTGTGTATACTGTAGGCTAATTTATGCCTGTGTTTGCGCGCGCGACCATGTTGATCACCGTTTCCTTGCGGGTCATAATTTGTTCAAACAGATGAAGCAAACAAACCGCTCCAGAGCACACACCATCGTAGTCAACCGCAAGAAAGAACTGAACAGAAATGTAGACTACGAATTCTGACCTAGGCTGGGGCTGTTTGCAGACTCTGTTGCCATATTCCCCCACAAAGTTCGTGTACTGTACTTCTCATTTCGATCACACTTATCTGTAGGCACCATCTTATAGAACGATCTCTGATTTATACATGTGCATTAGTTTTGGGCATCTAACATTCTCTTGATCATCTAGTTTTGAGTGAAAATGTCCAATACCCAGTTCATTTGCGATTGACAGTATTTGCCAGTACAGCTCTAGATTGTGGAACCTAGATTGAGGACGAGAAAAGGCTACTGGAGGAGATTGTATCCTGATGGACAACTGTGGTTGAGTCAGGTTTGAGGTTTCAAAAAGGGATAATGCGAGACTAAGTAACGCAGAGGCCGCCGAGAACCAAATCCAGGACACACACAAGCTTGCAGTTTTTTTCCAAATTTTACATGAATTACCAATACAAATTTGACCATCAATGTTTCTCATCACCCTGATCAATATCAGCACGCCAGGAGTGGGGCAGCGGGGCTGAGCAAGGCACCCAACCCAAACGCCGCTTTATTTGCATACAAGAGAAAGACATTATGCTCTTTCTCAAGATGCTGTAGCCCAGCACACCACCCGCCGGCATTTTTCTCACGGCTTGGCCATCGCTGCATCCTGCACCGCCTTTTCTGCCTCCACAGCGCGCGCAAGGCCTGCCTTGGCGCGATCCGCCAGCTGCACGACGCGCTTATCCGCCACTGCGCGGCTCGCCTTCACGGCGGCGAGGTTCGCCTTCGCCGCCGCCAGCGCCTTGACCTGCGTCGTCATGAAGTTGTCCAGCGCGGCGACAGCGTCGTTATAGATCGCCACCGCGTCGTCGTACGACTTCTGCGCCAGTGCGACGTCGTTCGTCGCGTCGTCCATCGCAGCCTTGAAAATGTCGACGCTCTGGGGGCCCAGTGTGACGAGCCTCTGGTAGTTATTCTGAGCCTTGGCGAGTTTCGCCTTCGCGCGTTCCGCCTGGCTCTCGATATCTGGAAGCACCTCTTCCACGGACGACTGGACGGACTCCGCTTCCGCAACAGCTGCCTTATTCACCGGGGAAGGGTCTTTCTCATACGCCTGAAGCGCCTCCTTGATCGCCATCGCGGCGTCCGCGATGACGTTGCGCCATTCGTTGAGCAGCGCCGCGGTCATTTTCACGCGGCGCGTCGCGTCGTTGACGGCTTTTACGGCGGCGGGAAGCTCGGGGTGGCTGGTGGGATCGATCTGCGCTTGGATGTAGGCTTGCTTTCGGAGAGATAAGATTCTGTTCGCGTCGTCGAGATCGTATTTCGCGGCATCCATGGCGTCTTTCATGCTGACCAGCGTGGAGCGGAGATTATCCGCGGTATTATCATTCTCGATAGCGGCGATCTCGGCGGCAGCATCGGCTTCATCCTGCGCTTTCTGCGCAGCGACGGCTTGAGCAACCTTGAGATCCGCGGCGTATGAGTCGGAGGCGGCTCTGAGCTGCTTCGCTCGGACGACGAGGTAAGAGCTTTGCGCATGCGACGACGGGAGGATGGTGAGGAGGATGAGAAGGCTCACAGCCGCCTGTGCCTGAAACGCGTGGAAAAATACCGCTGCCATGATGATTGAGCTGGGGGGAAGTGAGGTTGGGAAGTGAGGCACTAGAGTGATAAGCCAACTGGAGGAGTTAGGACTGATGTGAGATTGTGAGTGAAATCCCCATTTGTATGAAATGTCGATTTCAGAAAAGAACCAGTGGCGAATCGCGTTCGTAATCGGCCCGCGCGTTGACTTGGGAAGGGAGAATTTGGGGATGCGATGTGGAGACCTCTACCAAAAATATGTATGATAGTGGTTTTGTGGGATGCATCGCGTTCAAGAGAAAGTACATGGCTTTACACAACGGTTAAGTCAGGTTCGTGCACGTCATGTTCCACCAGCCTCGGGTTGTTTGTGGAGGGCCTGAGGTTTGTTTGGGCTTCATTGTGCTCCGCGCCAGGTCGCGAACCATTTTTGTGTGGGTGTCATATGAGCTAACTTTCTAGCGGTGCGATACGATGATGTACGTTTCCGAACGGCATCTTTACACTTGATTACGTTGGGGTACGGTTTCGACCGAAATCGAATGGATGTGACTCGCGGAGATTCGGGTTATTAGCGCGCGGCATGCCAGCTGTTCATCCTCCAAACGCTACCAGGGAAATGGTGGAATTGGTGGACGATGGTTGCCTCCCACACTTGGCGAACCGCACAAAGCAGTAGGTCTGCTTGGGAGGGAAATATGTTTGCGCAACGCTTACGGAACGATCCAAATTCTCGATATTGGGTGCTTGACTTCGATTATTGTCCTTTCCTTGACTATACATTCCCTTGAATACTTGTAGAATATGTTTTAGTGTGAAGCTGTAACATACAAAAAGTCTCAATGAAACCACTGGTACAGAAAATTGGGACTATATGTACTGTGCAGAATCCGTACATTATACGGAAATGGTATGATTAATAAAGGCAGATTTCAAAGACTTCGTTCGGTGGTATGGTGACCATAGATCATGGTTCATATGCTCTCTTTGGAAAGTTTCTACATGAAGGAGGTACCATGCATTATGAATGTATTTTTGGAAGCACACTTGTATCTGCGCACGCTTAAAGCTCTGGTATACATTTGGAAGGAGAGGCTCAATATTTTTAGGAACTTGAAAAATTGACCCAAAACCGTGAGGCACACTAAAAAACCCGAAACTTCACTGACAAATGTATGCAGCTGATATGTATTATGGAACTGTATGTTTGGATGTTAAAGCTCGCACCTCACATTTCTGCCATCCAACCAAGTGTTAAACGGTTGGAATCCGGTAACAGCAAAGTTTGTCGCAAAGCACACCAAAGCAAGGGCCCTGTTCTGTTGCCGCACCACTTGGTGCGGCCCCCTCCGCACCGCATCATTTGATGCTTCTTCCGGCCTTCTACCGGAGATCCTGGAAACCTCGATTTTAAGGGTGTATTCCTCGATTCCAGGCTCGGGAAACTGAACCCCTTCCCGGACCTAGTGAATGCAGTGCAGTGCAGTCCGCCCTGCGTTGGGCAAAAGAACGGTGAACCAGTGACTGACTCACAATCCCCCACTCCCAGGCAAAATGGGTGCGAAAGTGGTGCGGGCCTGGTTCAAGGTCTGAGGGGGGATCCAGGCACCGCATCAAGTGGTGCGGAGCAGATTTATATTTTTACAAGCCCCTACCGACCAAGATGCGAATGCCCCAAAGTCACGGTGTGTAAAAGACTAACACCCCCGCTTTCCAACAACCCCCCTCCCCAACCCTAATTTGACTCACTCGCCAGTACGCCAATCGTCAACAAACCCTGTGGTTGTGTTTTGGTGGTGCTCGTCTTACCCTAAGCTGGGTTTGACTGGGTATTTTCGTGCAACTCTGCCCAAAAAACACGAAACGCCTGCAGTTGCGCGGAGGGTGGCAGGAGGCTGCATTGCACCTACCAGGGGTCAGTGGCTTCGCGGAAGACTGACGCCGCACCAAGTGATGCGGTGCTGTCCTGTCCGCCGCCGCATCAAGTGGTGCGGCAACAGAACAGGGCCAAGGGGTGGTTTGGGAAAGTTGGCTGTCTCACGCTTCCCCGTGCACACCAAGCGTTTACAACTCCCGAAAATATGAGACACTGAACTCAACGTTGACAGAACCTGGGACCAAACCTGTCCCCCTTGGCTTGTTTTCCACCCAAACCAACCCGCCCTGGTTTGTTTTGGCCTCGACTGTTTGGGAGTTCGCTGTTCTTTTTTCTCCCACTCGTCAAATATTTCGCCTTAGGCTACCCAATCACAGACGGGCAAACCCAACCAAGTGTTAAATGGTTGGAAATCTGAGATGCGAGCTTTAATAAGGTGCTGCTGCGTATCGTCCCAAGACATCACAACTAGTCCTGTGGTAATGGTTGAGTGCTAGAGGTGATAGTTTTGCTTCCAGTTCTACTCCAGGATGTGAGGACATCTACCTTAAAGCCCGAGACTAGAATGGTAAGGGTTCAACTTCAAGATTCTTGAACTTGTTTTCGTCAAGAACAGGGTAACCAGGTCGAGAACGCTTCTCCCTCGCGACCCACCGAGAAGAGAGTTTTTTGGGCCAGAAGGTGATTGGCCAGATGCTTCATAGCAGAAACAGCGACGAGCCTCGCCAGAAACAAACAAGTACAAGTATCACTGTTCACACTTTCAGAACTTGAAACTCGAGAATACCTTTCTAGACTAGTAGCTTAGAGTGCTCCATAGCCCTAGTTCTTTTTGTCAGCCGAGTATACTTACGCCCATCTCCGTACTATGCTAAGACATTAGTAGCACATAGAGACGGCCCTTCCGCGCATAACAAGTGTGGTCTGGTAGCCAACAGCAAATACAGAATGCCGCCTCGATTGATCGCCATCGTAAGAATCACTTGTCGCCACTGACGGTTATATCGCGTTAGCTGACACTCGCATAGCCAATAGCGAAATCGGCTATGACACCTCGACAGTCACTCCCGTCCCACACTCAATCCCTTCCCGCAGTCAATCATGTCATTCACATACTGTTGTCGCTCTCCCGCTTCCGTCATCCACACTCGCCAGAGGCACATGTCACTCTCTCAATCCCGTCACTCACTGAATCCCGTCACTCACTCACACCCGTCGCTCACACGCTCCCGTCGCTCACTAACTCCCATCGCTCACTCAATCCCGTCGCTCACACACTCACTCCCATTCCGTCGTCACTCCCGTCGCGCCTTCACTCCCGTCGCGCTCTCACTCCCGTCATCCACACACATCGAAGGCACATATCACCCACACGTGCCATACACGACTCAATCGCACATGTCCCTCTCGCCTCCCTCCTCCAGTCCCTCTCTTCTCCTCTCCTCCCTTGCCTCTTCCCTTCCCTACGCGGTGCACCCCCTTCCCTACGCGCTGCTCCCCCTTCCCTACGTGATGCTCCCCCTTCCCTACGCGGTGCTCCCCCTTCCCTACGTGCTGCTCCCCCTTCGCTACCGCTGCCCCCCGTTCCCTACGTGCTGCTCCCCTTTCCCTACGCGCTGTTCCCCCTTCCCTACGCGCTGCTCCCCCTTCCCTACGCGTCACACACGACTTGCCCACACATGTTCCCATCTCCCCTCTCCTCCCTTCCCTTCTATTTCCTCTCTTCCCTTCCCTCTTTGTCCACCTCCTTCCCTTCCCTGTCTTCGCCTCCGCTCCCACTCATCCCCTCTCCTTTCTTTCCCTTTCGCCTTCTCTCCTTCCTTCCCTCTGTCCACTGCCCGAGGAGTAGGGAGGGGGACTGAGGAGACCTTTCTTCCCTCCCGCCTCACTCGCTCCCCTTGCTCACTCAATTCCATTGCTTGCTATTGCACGTCACCTGCATGCACACCTTTGCCACGAAGACACTCACTCACTCACTTCCTTCTGTTACCAACATCACTCTTGTTACCATGCCTGTCACTAGCTTCCCTCACCGCTTCTCTCCTCCCTTCCCTCTCTCAACCCCCCTCCATCCTCCAGTCCCTCCCGTCCTTCCCATCGTGCACGTCCCTCCCGTCCCTCCCGTCCCTCCTGTCCCTCCCGTCCCTCCCGTCCCTCCCGTCCCTCCCGTCCCTCCCGTCCCTCCCGTCCCTCCCGTTCTTCCCGTCCCTCCCGTCGCCCAACACCTTCCGTCCCTTCCCATCTTGCTTCAGTCTCGCATTCGCTCCTGTCGTTCTCTTCCCTCTCGTCCCTCCTTTCCCTCTCCGGTTCTTGCATCCGTCCCTCATTCGCATCGCTCACTCAATCCGTCGCGCACTCCCCCCGTCGCTCGAACGAACGCACCGTCCACACAGAGCAACCGCCGTGTATCGGGCCTGTCGCTCACACAAATACATGTGGCATTCACTCCTGTTCCGCACACTCACTCCCCTCCTCTCCTCTCCCTTTCCACGTGTCCTTCCCTCCGTTTCCCCCCTTGTTCCTCTCTCTCTTTCCCTATGTCCGTTTCCCACCTTCCCCCCCCTCCCTTTCCTCCATTCCTAACTGCTCCTACCCTCCCCTCCTTCTCATCACTCGTTTTTCCCCGTTCTTCTGATCTCCGCCATTATTCCCACACCCCACCCCTCCCCGTCACCCACACACGTCGCAGGCACATATTACTTACACCTTCCCTCCTCCCACTTCCCCTCCTCCCACCTTCCTTGGCTCCTGCCCTCCCTTCCCTCTGTCCCGCGCACCTCTCTTCCGCCATCTCTCCGCCCTTCTCTCACTGAACCCTCTCCTCCTTTTTCTCCCCCACTCTTTGCTTTCTTCTCATTTCATCTCTCTTCGCTTCCCTGTCCTCTACTCCCTTCCCTTCACGTCAGTTTCCATCCCACTCCTCTCTTCCATCTACCCTTTCCTTCTCGCTGCCCGTATCCGCTCGCTTGTTCTGACTCCAGGGTCTTCTGAAGTTGAGCCCGACTTACGCCTCACAATATGGATGTGCAGCACCACCACTCTCCTTCCGCAGTTGTGAACTGGAAGAGCGATAGTGGGCACGAGATGGATTATATGTTTTTTTACTAGGGGAATAACTGACTTGACACTGTCTCATCTGCTTGGTTTATGTCCCCTTTTTGGCTGGCATAAATTTATTCCAGCAAATCGCCCATCTCAAAGCTTTATTTCTCATGTACGGTACCCTAAACCATTTTTACAAGTTTCTAAATCGGTCTTACATATGTTGGAAACCATTTCGTAACAGCTTTGTCAATATTCCGGAATCTCTCGAGGCATCTCAGGGAACATTCCTATGGCGGGTCTGACATCAGGTCATCCGCCCTTAGTCTCTGATTTGTCTCTTCTCAATGTTGATTTGCCCCTATTTTGAACCACTTCGGGTCTTCCGAGCTTCTAAGGACGGATGACCTGATGTCAGACACGAGGTAGGAATGCACCCTCAGCTTCTGGCAAATGGTGGCATTTTTGTCCTTTCTGCAGCCAGCCTTGTTTCTTGAACTCGAAAGCTGGATTGGGTTGTACTTCCCGCTTCTACCCTTCGCCACACCTGTTTTGCGAATTTTCGCCACCCTTCGCAAACCTAACTTCAACTACAGTAAATATGAGAGTTAGCCATTCCAGACTCGGGCTTTAACATCTGGTTTGGAGTGTAGTGTGGGTCATGGGTTGCTTCCCTATCTGGTTCATGTAACGTCTTCAACAGAAGGGGAGATGGGGTAAATGCCATTGATTGCGATTGCCCTTGAGGATCTGCGGTGTCTGAAGATGATTACTAGGTGTGTGGATGGATGACCAAAAAAAATGTTGTATGCTGCTGCAAGGTTGAACTTGCAGACCGAACCTTGTTCTCAGAAAAGATGCAGGAGCAAAGGGGATAATAATAAAAAATTCCACTGCGCCCACCCATATGCTGCCCACCCCAGAAACGTGAATCAACTTTACAGACCTTCCCAACAGAAACGCTGCGAGGATATATTCCAAACTAATCGATCCTCTTATTAGAAAGCCTCCGTGCGGCTCGACGAACAGGCCTTCAGCATCAGCGTTGTGCTGCAAAATTGCCATTCCAGAATCCAAACGCGCAAGTCGGAGGCGTTTCCATCTCGGATCCCTACCAATTGAGACCTTTCCCCTTCGCTTCCTTCTCCGCGTTATCCGCGTTCCCCTTGGCTGCGTCCGCGCGCGACTTCTTCACCGCCACGACGCGCTCCTGCGCCGCGCGCGCATTGACCTTGGGCGCCAGCGCCAGCTTCGCGTCCCGCTGCGCCTTCACCTTCGCGTTGTAATTCTGCCCCGCCGCTTTCACCGCGGTATCCAAGTTCTTGGTCTTTCCGATCGCTTTGGTAAAAAACACGTTCGAATCGGCTTCGTCCTTCTCCGCCTTTTCCTTCACCTTCTTCTGCTCGTCCGCAGCGCCGCGAGTATCGGACTTGTCCTTCTTGACCTTCTCGCTTTCCGTCTGCCGCTCTGATACGCGCACGACGGCGCGGTCCGCCTGTTTCTTGACGGCTCCGAGGATACGATCCGCCTGGAGTTTCACGTTGTACATTTCCGTCTGAAACGCCTTCGCCTCAGGGGTTTGGAGCCGCGCCGCTGACCGAGCCGCGGCGACAGCGTCGTTGTAAGCCTCCGTGGATATTTTCTGCTGCTCTGCGAGCACGACGGCGGTGGTGTTTTGGCGGGAAATGGCGTCGAGAACGTCTTTTGCGGCTTCGCTCTCTTCAAAAATGGCTTCTTCGGCCTGCGACTCAAGGTCGTCATAGTACGAGCGCTCATCGCGCGAAACCTGCTTCGCCTGAATCAGCGCCTGACGCGCCGTTTCCTGCTCCACTTTCGCCGCTTCGAGCTCGGCGCGCTTGTTGTTCAGCTCAGTCGTTGCGGCGGCGACATCCGCATCCGCAGCCGCCACCTTTTGCACGAGAGGCGCTTCTTCCGCAAGCCGCTGCTGGAGAAGCGCATTAGCGGCGTCGAGATCTGCTTGCGCGGTGTCCGCGATGCCGCGAAGCTGCTTGGCTTTGGTCACTAGGTACGGCTCAGCGGCGGATACGACGGTCGCTGAAATGGATCCCACTAGGAAGAGAATCGCGACCGTCCGACATACGATTTCCATGGTTCCGCTTGGACAGGTTATTCGATGCGCCTCGGAAGTTGGACTGATGTGTGCCTGTGTGTGACGGCTGTGTCACCAGCAGTAGCACCACCTCGCCAAGTTGAGTTTGGGATGTTACTAGGCGATGAGAGAGGAGGAGGCAGACGTGCGAGGCGTGTGGGACGTGTGGAGTGTGAGTGGTAAAGACCACGAATATCCAACGAGTAGGCAGTGGGATAGGAGGTAGGGAATGGAGAGAAGCTTCTTGCTGAATCCGTTTTCGATGAGTAATGACGGACGACACACCAAATTATTTGTCAGAATGCTAAGGGGGTGTGGTAAGTGAGAGGTGTCGCTGTCGCGCCCCCTGGATAAGCAATTGGGAAGCTTTGGCAGGCAGTGCGATTGATAACTGCTCATGCACCAATTTCCACTGGGATTCACATGTGAGCTGTGGGTGGAAGCGTCGCGGCGCGCATGTCGCATGAGCGCCTCGTTCGTCGCGATTCGGCTTCATCGTAGACCAAGTAGGTTTTTCAAATCCGCTTACGTGTCTCCAAGAGCATATCGCGCGGTAAGAAGATAAGGGGTCAGATTTCGCTGATGGAAAGATTGTGCTTAGCTGGGGTTCCACAGGTGGTTGGGCAAATCCACGATCAACCACTGCGGAGCATGTCGCTCGAGTCGAGTCGTGCGATTGTTCGCATGTTGCACCATATGGGCCCCTCGCGCAACAACCAAATTCATTTTCGGAAATCGGAGGACCAGTTATTCTCATCATCAGTGCGCTATATTACTCTTGGCTGCCAGATGCAAGTGCTATGTGAACCTACTATGCGAGATATCCATGGTGCAAAATGCAGATTGCAAGAGCGACTGTATAATTTTGCATTTTCAATAACAGTAAAAATCACTGCAACCACCTTGTGATTAATATGGTTTCTAAGAGCAATGAGGGGCGAAGATATCCCGCAATCCAGCATCAATTGCTGTGAAGTCTAGGCGCCCTCCTCGTCCCAGGCCTAGGATCAACCATGCCCAGACCTCCTCCTCTCCTCGCCTTGAACTGCAAACAGCTTCTGAATGTTGTGGCTCTACGCCACAATGCTTTAAGCATACTCAAATCGATCAATGCCATGGCGACCCCTTGGGGAATCGATCAATCCTTGGCTTCAACCTTCCCAGCACCAACCTCCTTCCAGTTTGTCGATAGCACCGTGCCTTTAGATTCCACCTAACAAGCAGAAAGGGGCAGTGGGGGTGTCGAAAAAGGAGGAGAAGAGTGGTGGGTTACGACGTGGCCTGGCTACTCGATTCTTGGGCTTCAACTTTCCCGGAACCCACCTCCTTCCAGTTTGTCGATAGCACCGTACTTCATGATTCCACCTGCACCAAGCAGAGGTTGATGCAACACACAACATCAACAGGAGGTTCAGGAGGGGAGATTGGGGATGTTCAGGAGGGGATCGAAAGGTACGGTTCTGCTTGGTGCAGGTGGGATCGACAGGAGGTTCAGGAGGGGAGATTGGGGATGTTGAAGGGAGGGGGGGGGGGGAAGTGGGGGGGAGGGGGCAGAGGGGAGGAAGGAAGGGGAAGGGGAGGGGGGGAGGGGTTTGGTAAAAGGAACAGAACCAGAAAAGAGAGAGTGAAAAAGGCAGAATGATTATTGTACTGAGATGAAAACACCTTCACAGGTGAGGGACACTCGAATGAATCTTGGTCATGGCGTTGCGTGTATTTTCGAGACACCTAAGGAATAAAGTCGAACCAAAATAATAAACTAAGAGTCTTGATTTTGGTGCGGAAAGGATCGGGTAGGGGAGGGGAGGGGACGGGGAGGGGGAGGGGGAGGGGGAGGGGGAGGGGGAGGGGGAGGGGGAGGGGAAGGGGAAGGGGAAGGGGAAGGGGAAGGGGAAGGGGAAGGGGAAGGGGAAGGGGAAGGGGAAGGGGAAGGGGAGGGGGGGGGGGGGGAGGGGGAGGGGGAGGGGCAGGGAGGAGGAGACAGAGGCCAAGGGACTAGAAGGGGGAGTAAGGGGGGTGGTGCACTCACAAACGACTTGTTCATGGCACGGCGTGTCTCCTCGTCTGCTCCTGCATAGATGTCTTGAAACAGCTTGTTCAGAGCTGCATCTCCCTCCAGCTTCTCATCCTTCTCCTGGCAGTTGATGTGATTAAAGATAGAACGATAGAGAAGAGGTACAGCATGAATAGAATTAGCAATCTGAAAAGAAGTTCGTTTGTTCATATCCCATTCTTCACAATCTGTTCTTGAAAGGGGAAAAGATTGCGGAGCACTGCAAACCCTTGTGAGGGAAAATATCTGTTCCACAATACTTTCCCATTCTTCACAATCTGTTCTGAGAAGCAACACAACACCTTCAGGTCAGGACTTCTTGTGCTTCCCAAGGTCAAATATGTTTCTTTGAGAATTCTCAAAAAAACATACTCAGCAACACCTTCACGACTTGTTGTGCTTCTTTTGGTCAAAACGACCAGAGATGGTGCCAGACGACTTTTGAGGTGCGCCTCAAAAGTCAAAACGACCAGGGAGGACTTTTGAGGTGCCAGCAAAACAACAAAGCAGCTGATCTGGACAAAGATAGAGAAAGAGGAAACCGAGTTAGCACGCGATAAGTAGCCACAAGACTGCATCAGTTTTGTGCAATGTTTGTGCACAACAAAGTTTGTGCAATGTGCACCGTGTTTGCATAGGGGACTCACAGGGAGTTCCTGTTCTAGCCCAGCTCAACAGACAAGTAAACTCACATTGGGTTAGCAGCGCGTTGCTTTAAAATATGCGCTACACTCGGTTGAATCAACTAAAAGGGGCCACTTCCGAGGATTCTAGAAAATCGCTAATAAGGAAGTGCACATGTCGCACATGGTGCAGGAAACATTTTGAGGCGCCTAAAAAATCACCTCAATGCACGAGGAAGCGGAGCACATGTGTTGACCTGCGTTGACCTGCGTTGACCTGCATTCACCTGTGATGATCTGGGTTGACCTGCGTTGACTTGCATTGACTCAGCGTACCTCTGCCTTGAATTCTGCCTCCAGCTGGTCCCATCCAGTTCACATGCTGCTTGCTGCTGTACCACCCCTCGTTGACTGAGCTGACCTCAGACCTCCCTTACGCACCCTTAGCTTACCTCTGCCCTCACCTCCGCCTCCAGCTGGTCCCAGTTCAAATGCTGCTTGCGCTTCATTGACCTGCATTCACCTGTGATGATCTCGGTTGACCTGGGTTGACCTGCATTGACTCAGCTTACCTCTGCCTTGACTTCCGCCTCCAGCTGGTCCCAGTTCACATGCTGCTTACCTGCGTTGACCTACCTCTGCCTTGACTTCCGCCTCCAGCTGGTCCCAGTTCACATGCTGCTTACCTGCGTTGACCTACCTCTGCCTTGACTTCCGCCTCCAGCTGGTCCCAGTTCACATGCTGCTTACCTGCGTTGACCTACCTCTGCCTTGACTTCCGCCTCCAGCTGGTCCCAGTTCACATGCTGCTTACCTGCGTTGACCTACCTCTGCCTTGACTTCCGCCTCCAGCTGGTCCCAGTTCACATGCTGCTTACCTGCGTTGACCTACCTCTGCCTTGACTTCCGCCTCCAGCTGGTCCCAGTTCACATGCTGCTTACCTGCGTTGACCTGCGTTGACCTACCTCTGCCTTGACTTCCGCCTCCAGCTGGTCCCAGTTCACATGCTGCTTGCGGGACGAAGGGTACATGTGCTTCAGCTTCTCCGCGGTTTCTGAAGGGGGGGTGCGAGAAACAGGGCAAACAGGGATGGGGTGGGAGAGCGGATGGGGAGACCAATTACTCGATGAGACGAAGGGTACATGTGCTTCAGCTTCTCCGCGGTTTCTGGTGGAAGCGAAAGGGGGAAAGAGGGAAACAGGGCAAACAGGGATGGGGTGGGAGAGCGGATGGGGAGACCAATTACTCGATGAGACGAAGGGTACATGTGCTTCAGCTTCTCCGCGGTTTCTGGTGGAAGCGAAAGGGGGAAAGAGGGAAACAGGGCAAACAGGGATGGGGTGGGAGAGCGGATGGGGAGACCAATTACTCGATGAGACGAAGGGTACATGTGCTTCAGCTTCTCCGCGGTTTCTGGTGGAAGCGAAAGGGGAAAGAGGGAAAAGGTCGAGGGGGATCATAACTGGAGATTGATTACTTTTATTGAAAATCACTTTCTAACATTTCTCATAAGAGATTGGGTAGTCTATGGGACGAAGGGTACATTTGCTTCAGCTTCTCCGCGTTTCTGGCGAAAGTAAAGGGGAAAATGGAGTTCTGGGGATATGGGAAAGGGGAGGACGGGTGTGGGAGAGGGAGTGGAGGGGGAGAGCTGGTTCTTGAGAGTTCTCAAAAACCAGGACGGGTGTCACGTGAAGAGAGGGTATTTTTGAAACGTCTCAGAAATACCCTCTCTTCACCGGACAGGTGTGGGAGAGGGAGTGGAGGGGGAAAGGATGAGGGTCACTTTGGTTTGGGGGACGCAGGGTGCATAGCACATATGGTGAGGAAAGCAGGAGGGGGAGGATGCGTGAGATGTAGGGAGGGGTTCATTGACACTGTCTTTTCCTACTTGAACAAGCCTAAACCTAAGCGCTGCTGCTCACTGGAAGATGTCCGAAGATGAGTGAGATGTAGGGAGGGGTTCATTCCCCCCTCTGTCCCTTCTCCCCCACCCCGTAATCCACCCCACCCACCATCGGACACGTTCACAGGCTGCACCACAGCCGGTCGTCTGGTGGCCTCCAAGGCGGTCCAGTGAATAGCCTCCGCCTTGGCCAGGCGCACCTCCACCTTGGTGCTCATCAGCACGTGCTTGCTCTTTGCCGGGTCCACCTGAAAGGGAAAACGGAGAGCCGGAAGGAAAGGGGGAGATGGTGAGAGGGCGGTGGAGGAAAGTAAAAACATGTAGTCCTCTCCGCCTTGGCCAGTCGCACGTGATTAGTCGGTTTTTGAGTCGACTCAAAAACTGAAAGTTGGAACATGTAGTGCTCTCCGCCTTGGCCGGGTGCACCTCCACCTTGGTGCTCATCAGCACGTGCTTGCTCTTTGCCGGGTCCACCTGAAAGGGAATAGGGGAGGCGGTAGGGTCAAGGAGTTCGGAAGACGCGTTGGGGGGTGGGGGTAATCAGAGACGCCCAGTGAATGGCCTCCGCCTTGGTGCTCATCAGCACGTGCGTGGCCTAAACGCCCACCGTGAAATTTCTGTAAATTTCTGCAAATGTGCTGAGTGGTCGTGCTTTTTGGTGATGTCCATGCTTATTCTGCAGTTTATTTTATATTTATCCACTTCGTTTAAATATCCCACCCACACTTTCCATCCACCGACCCCCAACCCCCTTCCACTCCTCCACACTGCTTGCAACACACACCTTTCCAAAAAGCCGCAGCTGCAGGACATATGGCGGCTCGTCATTGGTCGATTCGATCACCACACTCAGCTGCGAAAACACCAGATGAGACACAGGTGAGTGGGTGGGCATTGACAGTGGACCAAAGGAAGGTGAAACACGGGGAAAACGGCAGAAAACACAAGTGACAGGCGTGCTTAGTGCTTGATGGAAGAGAAACATCGTAACTGAGCTGAGAGCTCCCATTAAGAAAGTAAGCAACCTTGTTGAGAAGGGAAAAAAAAAGGGTATATGAACTTACCACTTGCTCTCCGATCTGCACTTTCAGCTGCTCCGATGAAATGCCTTTAGCGAACACAGTCACCACCACAGTTGTGGCCGACTGATAGAACTCGTGCCTGGGGGTGGCATGAGACGAGAGGCACACCAAAGAGCGTTTGTATTGGATGAACAGAGAAATACACAACACTTGCGATCCGATCTGCACTTTCAGCTGCTCCGATGAAATGCCCTTAGCGGACACAGTCACCACCGCTGTCGTTGCTGACTGATAAAACTCGTGCCTGGTAGTGACACGAGAAGGGAAGGAGGAAAACAGAAGCCGTTTGTGATCGGCAGGGGAGAGGAGAGAAACCACTGGTCACACACGTAACACTAGCTCCCCTTGGCAAACACAGTCACCACGACTGTTGAGGCCGACTGATAGAACTCGTGCCTGCATGTGGAACAGCGGAGCGGAGAGGAGGGAAGCAAAAGCACGTTACAGATGCCACACTTTTAAGGCGCCTCAAACACTTGTGCTCCAATCTGGGTGTGTTTTGAGTCGACTCAAAACACACCACTGTTGAGGCCGACTGATATAACTCATGCCTGCGAAAGGAACGCGTCGGGACGGGTGCGGGAGAGGAAGGAAGGAGAGATGTAAGGAAGGTTAGGATGGAGAGACGGCACAACTGTGGCCTCATGTCAGGCCTCTATATGCCATTCTTCTACGGTAATTCACTGCATGACTGAATTACCCATCCTCACCTATACTTAGGGGGCGCTGGTGCTGGCGCCGTCGGTGCTGGTGCAGGTGCAGAGACAGGAGCAGAGGGAGAAGGCGCAGCAAAAGCAGTGGGGGCGCTGGCAGGAGCTTCTGATGTGGATGGAGCACCAGAGGAGGTAGGGGCGTCAACTGCCATATCTTCCTCTGCGTGAATGAGGAGAAAGAGTGAAGGGGTGGGGGAGAACAGAGAGAACCAACATGAAAACGTTAAGGTTTTGTAATGCGCGCATACATCTGTGAAAGGTGAGAAGAAGAGGTAAGGTCACGAGGGAGGGGGGTAACAGAAAGAACCAAACTGAATGATGAAAGTCAGAACCACAAATATGATAGCGGAGGATACAGGCAGAAAGGGGAAGGGAGGGGAGGGAAGGGAGGGGAGGGAGGGAGGCAAGAGGGAACGGGAGGCACGAAGATTTCCACCTTTTTTTTTTTTTTTAGGTGCAAATTCCTCGCTACAGTCACCCACCTTGGCTTTGCAGCTCCGCCTCTGCCTTGCGAATGCCGTTCCGGAACTTGGCATTATTGGGTTGGGCCCCAGCTTGGCCCCAAGTCTTCTGATTTACAATCATCCTCGTTACAAGCACCCTCGTTTCCCTCACACGCTCACCCACCTTGGCTCTGCAGCTCCGCCTCTGCCTTGCGAATGCCGTTTTTAAACTTGGCGTTATTGGGCTCCAGCTTGGCTCCCGCCTTAAACGCTGCCAGTGCTGTTTCATACTCCTCTAGATGGTGACAGGCGACTCTGGGAAAGAAAAGAAAAAATTGAAATAAAATGAAAGCGCGGAGAATTGCAATGAAATCAGCAGATGCGTTGCTGGGCTCCAGCTTGGCCCCTGCCTTGAACGCTGCCAGCGCTGCTTCATACTCCTCCAGGTGGTGACAGGCGACTCTGGGGAAGAAGTGAACGAAGGGGCAGGGAGAGCTCACAAAAACAAGAAATGACAAAAAGTGAGCACACTGACAGAGGGGTAAACCCACACCAGCAACAATCAACCTAGATACGAATTGCATAAACAACGTTCAGAAGTGACGGAGAGTTGAAGAGTGACGGGGAAAGAAAGAGGATAAGATTAACAGGTCAACAAAAAGGACTTGTAAGCCACGCACCCTTTACGCAGGTAGGCGAGCGCGTACGACGGGATGAGCAGGATGAGAACATAAGGAGAGCAGGGAACGAGGGAGAGTCAGATTGACTGGAACAAAGAGCAACGCACCCTTTACGCAGGTAGGCGAGCGCGTACGACGGGTTCAGCTTGATCGCCGCATTCGCATCGGCCACCGCATCTGCCAGAACATAAAACAAATCAAGCATCAAAGGTTGGACGCAAAGCTGCCTCCGCACCCGTTTCCAGGTTATCCACACAATCCCCGCATGCGATTGTGTTAACTTCTCAAAGACCTACGCAATCCCTGCATCCGCCAGGAAGCAAGAGTGGTGCTTATCAAGAGAGGTTTCGTCAAAACCGAAATCAACCTATTTTCTTTTCACATCGCCGCTCCGCGTGAGATCAGACGATTTTTGAGTCGATTGAAAAATCATCGCCACTCCGCCAGCACTACTACAAGAGCGATCAAGAACGACTTCAAAAGAGCCAACACAACAAATGCTCAACAAATGCTGGATTCAGCCGTCGCGACGAAGCTGTTACAAGGAAAGTGCAAGTACGGCGCACACATTAACTAATAGAGGAGACATTTATGCGGACGTGAGAATCACCTGTGTAATTCTCGAGCTTAATGTGCGCGGCCGCGCGTTTGCAGAGTAAATTCTCGGTCGCGCCATTCGCGCTGATCGCCTGGGTGTAAAGATCCACGGCCGCGTCGTAGTCCTCGTCCACAAACTGCGCGTCGCCTTTCGCCGCAAGTTCCGCCGCCGCCTGCGGGCCACTCGGCAGCTCCTCGATGATCATGGCTGAGATATAAAATCTTCTGCTAACGGTAGGCTTGAATCGCTTCGCTCCTGACGCACTAAAGCTAGTCGAATATCTGAAACGAGGTGATGGAAAAGAATATGGTAAGTGCGCTCCAGACAAACTTCAGCACAAGGAACGAACAGACAGACGGCTTCGTATTCAAACGACTGGCCAGGGAGAACTCGAAAGGCCTATCAATAACGAGACTCCTACCAGAGGTGTCTAGAAGTAAGAAAGGAACCTCATCAATAATGGGGCCGCCATAGATTTTGCCGAAAGATGGACCAAAACGTTGACGGGAATTGAAGCGTTTTCCACACGTCAACGGCACTTGATTCGCATGCCCAACAATGACGAACGGGTATGTGGAAGGTTCGCGAAACAACGACGTGTATATAATTATTGATGTTGATTTAGAGTAGCTGCAGAAGACAAGCGAGGAATTGCGATAAACGAGTGTCTTCACAGCGGAGATTGGAGGACGAGAAGCGAGTGGTTTCTAGGCTGCCGAGTCAGCCGGTCGTTGATCCCCCGAATTGTGGGAGCCATTGACGTGGCGGAAAAGATCTTCCCGCTCACTTTCCAGCTCCCCAGTAACATCATTGGACAAATCAGACAGCCTCGATATTCACTCTATTATGCACCTGACTCTTTTCCCGTCTAAAAGGGACTCCAAACTTCTTTCGGCATTCCCCAAGGTCTGGGTTCGTGGTTTGGTCTGGTTGGTTGGCTGACCCACACCCTAGGAAACTCCATCCAGCCTTGCCAATTTATCTTCTGCAGAGGAATTGTATCCCAGGAGTTGCTGGAATAAGCAACAGAGCAGCTACAACAGTACAAGCTTCTGCTTGATCTGAGCTCTCAGATTCTTTCATCACAGAAGCAGACCAGCCTGCTTCTTATTCCTAAGCTCTATCAGAGGTTGCTTGGACGTTAGGGCTTGAAACCACGAAGTTAGCCGCTGAGCTTTTACGCGTTATTAGGCGGACGCTTAGCGAGGCCAGCGCGTGGCGAAATGGAGTGCCTGCGAGGCACATTTAGCAGTACCTCAGTGCAACCAATTGCGCTGCAGGGCCTGCGATCCAGCATAAATTCTTCCAAGCTCTCCGTTCTCGGACTGTCCAGTCAGCTTCCCAATGCTCTTAGGGTTCACTATGGCAATTACCTTCGCTCCGTAACGGATAAACAATTTCATAGTTCTTCCGTTAGAGCCACGGCAGTGAGAGTGACCGCAGCAGTTGCTGCAGGAAGCAAGGTGAAAGTGCGTTTCAATCTCCCGATTCAGGTAAAATTCGGGGAGAGTATTGCGGTTGTCGGATCTGCTGATTGGCTCGGATCCTGGACCGATCCGAAAACCCTCCAATGGAGCGAAGCCGGCTGGAGCATTACCCTTGACGCTCCGGCAGGTCAAGACGTGGAGTTCAAATTTGTGATTGTAAAGAACGGGAAGAGCGCGGTCTGGGAGGACGGTCCTAACAGGAAGGTGACTGTTCCGGGGGTTGAACCACGCGGTAGAGAATTCAACACCAATGTCGATTGGAACAAAACCGCTGCAACCCTGTCGTGGGAGGTTACTAAGGAGGATAAAGAGGAATCTTATAACGAGGCTCCAGTCGGCGATGTCGGGTCTGAGAGCGAGGGGGAGTTCTCATCCGCGGAAGACGGGGTGGAATTGGAGGAGAGTGCGTTCGCGCAGAAGTGGGCGGGAAGGGGTGTTGAGTTTATGCGGAGCAACGCACACAAGAGCGAGAGGCGCGGCCGGTGGGACACGAGCGGGCTGGACGGACCGGCTAAGGCGCTCGTGGAGGCTGATAAGAGCGCAGGGAACTGGTGGCGCAAGGTACGAATAGTAGTGATGGTACTGTTTACACCGACGGAAGTACGATTCACGTCGACGGTACGGTTGACGGTACGGACGGTACGATAAAGCCTTATGGAGGTACAACTAACACTGGTGGTACGATCGATACCGACGGTACGATTGACACTGACGGAACGATTGTTGCTTACGATTAGCACTGACGATAGAATTGGCACTGACGTTACGATTCGAACTAACGATACGGTATGGACTGGCGGAACGATTGCAGATTACGGTACGACGACACGGACGGTACGAACGGCATTGAGGGTACGAACGGCGGTACGAATGGCATTGAGGGTACGAACAGCATTGAGAGCACGAGTGACATTGACAGCACGAAGAACACGGACAGTATGAATAGCATTAAAAGGAACACTTAGGGTATGCGACAGGCGATAACAATAATGACGACTGATCGTACTTGGGAGGTTCGGTCGCATGTCACTCTAGATAAGCGTCATTGCTGGCTGGATGACTTCGCTCTTAGGCGAAAATCCTGCCAAGAAACTAAAGCCGTCGTCTGACTTCAAACCTTCTGAAACCCCTCTAAATCTCTCCAAACCCCTGCATATGTCGTTGTACAGCTGGAAGCAGTGGAGAAGCTTCTATTGCCGTTGGAGCGGGGTCAGCGCCTTGATGCCATGATCTACGCGTCTATCTACCTGCAGGTATGCCGTGATTCACGCTGTGCGTTTTCGTTTACTATTGTTTTGTTCTCTCTTTTTCTTTGGAATTTTGTACTCAATTTCGACACCTATATTCCACTTTCCATGCGCCCCTGCGGTTTCCCTCGCCTCATGCGCCTCTACCGTTTCTCACACCTCTCCACCGCAGTGGATCAACACGGGGCAGATCCCGTGCGTGGAGGACGGCGGGCACAGGCGGCCCAATCGCCATGCGGAGATCTCCCGCCGCATCTTCCGCTGGCTTGAGAAGGAGGGCACCAGAGGCTCTGCACTCACGTCCGAGGTGAGTTTTTCTGTCATTAAAATTCTTGCCAGAGAACCAACCAACCAATCGCCATGCGGAGACCTCCGGCCGCATCTTCCGCTGGCTGGAGAAGGAGGGCACCAGAGGCTCTGCACTTACCTCCGAGGTGAGTGGTATCTTCACAATCCCTCAGTCTCACCCTCCTGGTCGTCCTCCCGCCGCATCTTCCTCTGGCTGGAGAAGGAGGGCACCAGAGGCTCTGCGCTCTCTTCTGAGGTGAGTGCCGTGTGGTGGGTGCCGCATGCTGTGTGAACCCCTGCGTTACCGTCCGAGGTGCTTTCTGGGTGCTGACCACCCAGATCCTGCCACCCCGCTAATCCCCACTTACCTACCTCCTAAGGAAAAATGGTGATGCGCAAGGTCCATCCGCGCCTGGTCGCCTCCTCATCTTGTGGTGCCCCACCCTGACCCGTCCACCCAGTAACTCACAAACGTCCCTTTGCCCGCCCCCCCCCTTCCCCACTCATGCCTTTCGCTCCCTCACAGGAGAAGGTGGTGATGCGCAAGATCCATCCGCGCCTGCCCGCCTTCTCTGCGGATTTCACGGCGTCCGTGCCCCTCACGCGCATCCGTGACATTGCCCACCGCAACGACATCCCCCACAACCTTAAGGTGCGGCACACACGCAAGGAGGTGCGGTGCAGTATGGGCTTGAAGCAAACTAGAGGACTGGCTGTGGCATGTAGGCACCCAGCACGTGAGGGGCAACGACGTCCTGCACAACCTCAAGGTATGGCGCACACACAGTCCCCTCATCGCCCCTAACGTGCGGTGCAGTGCACTCAGAGCTCCTCCCTGAGTGCAACGCTACACCCACTTCCTTTTGCTCTTCTTTTTCCCCCCTTTCCCCCCTTCCGTCTCCCTTCCCTCTCACCCCCAACAGCAGGAGATCAAGCACGCGACTCAGAACAAGCTGCACCGCAACGCGGGGCCTGAGGACCTGGTGGCCACGGAGCTGCTGCTGCGCCGGGTCGTCTCCGCTCACACACTCTCATAGTACCAGGGCTGCCGCGTGGTAAAAGTAACGCTTTCCCAGCACACGCTTCAGAACATAACGCAACACCCTCTTCCCCTCGCTCTTCTCTTTCCCCTCTTCCCTTCCTCTATCCCTCCCCCGACAGCAAGAGATCAAGCACACGATTCAGAACAAGCTGCACCGCAACGCTGGGCCTGAGGATCTAGTGGCCACGGAGCTGCTGCTGCGGAGGGTGACTCGCACTCCAGGGGAGTACAGCGAGGCGTTCGTACAGCAGCTGAAGCTGTTCTACGCCGAGTTGAAAGATTTTTTCAATGCGAGCAGGTGAGCGGGAGAGGGAGAGAGGCTGGGAAGGATAGGCGGAGCAGCTGCTGCGCCGGGTGACTCGCACCCCGGGCCGGGGGAGTACAGCGAGGCGTTCGTACAGCAGCTGAAGCTGTTCTAAGCCGAGCTCAAGGACTTCTTTAATGCGAGCAGGTAGGTAACTGAGAGGGAGGGCGAGTGCATAGTAGTATACTAGTGCTGCAAGTCGTTTGTGCTGCAGCTGAAGCTGTTCTATGGCCATATCCTGTCTTCGTATCCCCCACACCGCCCTCCTCCGCCCGCCAGTCTGACGGAGCTGCTGGAGAGCATTCGACCCTCTCTGGACGTCACTGGCACTGCCATGCCATGCTTGATGGTAGCCCCTGTATGCACTCCTCCTTCGATGCACTCCCTCCCTACCCTCCTCTGTAACCCAAATCCGCACACCCCCACAACCCCTGGCCCCCCGCCAGTCTGACGGAGCTGCTGGAGAGCATTCGACCGTCTCTGGACGAGACTGGCACTGCCATGCTGCAGAACTTCCTCGCATGCAAGCAGGTAAGGGGGTGAGAAATAAGAAGGTGGGTAGATGATTGAGCAGGTGCGGGCGAGAAAATCAGCAGGTGGGATTGAGAACTTGGGATTGAGATCTTGGGATTGAGACTTGGGATTGAGAACTTGGGATTGAGAACTTGGGATTGAGAACTTGGGATTGAAAACTTGGGATTGAGAACTTGGGATTGAGAACTTGGGATTGAGAACTTGGGATTGAGAACTTGGGATTGAAAATCAGCAGGTAAGGGGTGAGGATCAGTACATGGGTCTCTCCGCGTGCAAGCAGGTAGAGGGTAAAGAATCAATTGTGCAAATACGCAGGAAACGGCAGGGCAGCAGGGGACAGCACAGGGCAGCGAAGGCAGCTTCTGAATGGCTAATCAAGAACAGTCTCCTTTGAGCGTATGAGGATTCTCGAAAACTCCCTTCGCCTCCCAGTCTGTTGACGCGCTGCCTTCTTCTGCCCTGGCGATCGACAGAGGAGCAGCACAGAGGATGGCAGTAGGAGAACCGGCTCTCAAGAACTTGCTTCCCCTCCCCTCCCCCCCTCCCTCCCTCCCCCCCCCCCTGCGTTCCCGCCCAGTCTGTTGACGCGCTGCCTTCTTCTGCCCTGGCGATCGACGGAGGAGCAGCACAGGGCGCGGCAGCGTCCGGGCGGCCGACTGACGTGCTGATGTCAGCGCTGCACGCGCTGACGGGGCTGCGGGCCGTGCTGATGTACTCGCTGGAGAGTGGGCTCAGGAACGATGCTCCTGATGATGCAATTGCCATGCGCCAGAAGGTGAGAAGAAGGGGGAGGGAGTGGAGGGGAGGGGGGGTACCGTGCTGATGTACTCGCTGGAGAGCGGGCTGAGAAACGACGCTCCTGATGATGCCATTGCCATGCGCCAGAAGGTTAGAAGAAGGGGGAGGGAGTGGAGGGGAGGGAGGGTACCGTGCTGATGTACTCGCTGGAGAGCGGGCTGAGAAACGACGCTCCTGATGATGCCATTGCCATGCGCCAGAAGGTGAGAAGAAGGGGGAGGGAGTGGAGGGGAGGGAGGGTACCGTGCTGATGTACTCGCTGGAGAGTGGGCTCAGGAACGACGCTCCTGATGATGCCATTGCCATGCGCCAGAAGGTGAGAAGAAGGGGGAGGGAGTGGAGGGGGGGGGGTACCGTGCTGATGTACTCGCTGGAGAGCGGGCTGAGAAACGACGCTCCTGATGATGCCATTGCCATGCGCCAGAAGGTTAGAAGAAGGGGGAGGGAGTGGAGGGGAGGGAGGGTACCGTGCTGATGTACTCGCTGGAGAGTGGGCTCAGGAACGACGCTCCTGATGATGCCATTGCCATGCGCCAGAAGGTGAGAAAGTGGTGGGGTGTGGGATGAAAAGACCTGCGGGCCGTGCTGATGTATTCCCTGGAGAGTGGGCTGAGGAATGACGCTCCTGACGATGCCCTCGCCATGCGGCAGAAGGTGAGGGGAACGTGGGGCATAAGGGGGGTGTAGTCGGGGGGGAATGGTGACGTAGGTGGGGGGTGGAGTGTGGGCCGTACTGCTGTATTCCCTGGAGAGTGCATTCAGGAACGACACCCCTGACGATGCCATTGCCATGCGGCAGAAGGTGAGAAGGGAGGCGGGTTACTACTGGTCAGTGGTATATGACAGTAGGGGGAAAATGGAGGGAGTACCATTGCTGGTGGGGGTTGAGGAGGTGGGCCAAGCTCTGATTTTTTAGTCGACTCAAAAGTCACCTGGGTTGAGGAGGTGGGCCAAGCTCTGATTTTATCCTCCTCTTCCCTACCCCATCCCTTCCTTGTTTCCCCAGTGGCGACTGGCAGAGATCTGTCTGGAGGAGTACTTCTTTGTTCTACTCAGCAGGTGAGCAGTCGCGTGTGAGCAGGTGAGCTGCAGTGCGTGAGCAAAGCAGTATTACGAGAGCTGGTCTTGGTTCAAGCAGAATAGTGCTGCCCCATTCGTACTCCACGTTTTGTTTCTGAAGCAACTGTTCAATGAGGAGAGGGCATGGATCTGTTTCTGATGCGTTTCAATCAATGAACTTGCCTCCTGACTGCTCCTCCCAGGTTTCTGAACGAGTTGTTTGACGAGGAGGGGGGTGATAGGGCAGCGGAGGGCATGGCAGGGGAGATCCGCATGGGGCAGCTGGGGCACGTGGGGTGGCGTTGGGGGCGGCCGTGCTGGCAGGTTGGGGCACTTGAGGAGGCTGTTCAATGCCCGATTTCAGCCCTTCACTTACCCCTCTCCCGCCCTTCTCTATCCTCCCCATCCTCCACCTTCCATTTGCATGCTCCCAGGTTTCTGAACGAGTTGTTTGACGAGGAAGGGGGAGAGAGGGCAGCGGAGGGCATGGCACGGGAGATCCGCATGGGGCAGCTGGGGCATGTGAGGGTGGGGCGGCTGTGCTGGGGCTGCGGCACCACCTGAGGAGGCTGTTCAATGCCCGGTTTCAGCGTTTCTCTCGCCCCTTCTTCCCCCACTCACTCTCCCCTTTGCTCCCCTTCCCTCCCCCTCCCCCTCCAACCGTCCTCCCAGGTTCCTCAATGAGCTGTTTGATGAGGAAGGGGGGGACAAAGCAGCAGAAGTCATGGCAGGGGAGATTCGCATGGGGCAGCTGGGGCACGTGGGGGTGGCGCTGGGGGCGGCAGTGCTGGGGCTGCGGCACCTGGGGCTGTCCGGGTGGAACCAGGCGGAGTGCTTCTGCCTTGAGAATGAGCTCGCTTCCTGGCAGGCTGCTGGGATTGGCAGTGCAGGTTAGTAGGGATTGTAATTGGTAACACCTTTATATGAAAATGTTCAGGGGAGAGGTGCCCACCTGGGGCTGTCGGGGTGGAACCAGGCGGAGTGCGTCTGCCTTGAGAACGAGCTCGCTTCCTGGCAGGCTGCTGGCATTGGCAGCGCAGGTGAGAGCTGGGTTGGAACTCCTGCTGATGCTGATACTGTCGCCGACCTCACACCTTGATTTGGGAAGGAGGAGAGGAGGGTGAGACGGGTGGGGCTTACATTCAGATGCACTCACACACATACACACGCACACTCACACACACACACACACACACACACACACACACACACACACTCCCCCTTCTCTCACCACCAGGCGTGGCATCAGAGCATGACCTGAGGCAGTGGGCGCTGAGGCTCAAGGCGTCTCTGGACCGCATGAGGCGACTCACAGAGGCTTTTGAACACATGCAGACACCTTTCCACACTTCACTCAGGCATTGATCCCTCCCCCTCCCTGAATGGCTACCACTACCACCACCAGGTGTGGCATCAGAGCACGACCTGCGGTGGTGGGCGCTGAGGCTCAAGGCCTCTCTGGACCGCATGAGGCGACTCACAGAGGCCTTCACAGAGACCACGCTCGAGCTCTTCTTTGAGCCCTCACAGGTGCGTGGAGGGGCACTAACAACCATCGCAGTTGCCGTACCAACGCCACCGTGGTAACCCCTTTTTCCTACCGAACTCTTCCTAGCATCCCAATGCTTCAGGGTATTTTTGAGAATTCTCAAAAATCCCCTTTTACCTACCGAACTCTTCCTAGCATCCCAATGGTACCCATACTCTCTCTCTCTCTCTCCCCGCCCCTTCCCTTCCCACAGTCTCCCTTGTCCCGCCACCTCCCACACTCTCCCCCATCTCTCCTCTCACAGTTTCCTCCATACCCTTTCCCCCTTCCCATTGCCCACTGTTTATCTGTTTCCCCTTTGCTCCACTTGGCAGAAGCTGGGCCATGCACTGGGAATCGAGGAGAGCTCAGTGCGGCATATCCCCATGCTCTCCCCTTCCTTTTCTCCCTTCCCCTAATCCCTGCTCACCTCTTACGACTATTCCACGTGGCAGAAGCTGGGCCACGCACTGGGAATCGAGGAGAACGCTGTCCGCACGTTTGCAGAGGCAGAGATTCGATCCAGGTGAGATTTGATTCAGGTGAGATTTGATCCAGATGAGATTCGATCCAGGTGAGATTTGATCCAGGTGAGATTCGATCCAGGTGAGTTTTGATCCAGGTGAGGTTCAGTTCAGGGGAGATCTGATACAGGTGAGATCCAAGCCAGTTGAGATACAATCCAGGTGAGGTTCGATACAGGTACTATATAATTCAGGTAAGATCTGATCCAGGTAAGATCTAATCCAGGTGAGCTACAAATGCTGTTGCAGGTGATATGATTGGTGCTGGGAGCGATGCTTGTTAGAAGCGCCTCAATTTACTTACCCCTCATTTCCCCCCAACCCAACCCTTTTTGCCAGCGTGGTGTTTCAGCTGGCGAAGCTCACCTCGCTGCTGCTGCGCGTGATGCGACCAGTGCTACACGCACACGCAGCAGCAGCGAGGGTGATGTGTCTAGTGTCTCCTCAACCCTCCCTCCCTCCGCCCCCTTCCCGTTCTTTCCTTTCCCCTCCCCTCCCCCCCCCAGCGTGGTGTTTCAGCTGGCGAAGCTCACCTCCCTGCTGCTGCGCGTGATGCGATCAGTGCTTGGAGCAGAGGGCTGGGACGTGCTCGTTCCTGGCACTGCTGTGGGCAAGCTCGTGGAGGTGAGAGTGGGTGAGAGGAGGGGGCGTGAGGGGGGTAACGGAAAGATCCCTGGAGCGCATTCACGACAAGGGACGGGACATGCTTGTGCCCGGCACTGCTGTGGGCAAGCAAGCTTGTGGAGGTGAGAGGGGGTGCGGAGGAGTGAAAGGTGTGAGGCGGAGTGATATGGGGTGGGGGGAAATCAGCTGGGGTTGAGGGATGGTGATGAAGGGTGAGGGGGAAGAGGTGATGTTGCTGCGGAATAAGTCTACTCACACAATCCAGCAACATCAGACTTATTCCGTGAGTAGACTTATTCCGCAGTCACTATGTTTTCTCAGATCAGGAGGTGAGATGAGGAATTACCTTCCCATACTCTTCCCCTCGCCTCATCCCCATTCTCCCCCCCTTTCATCCACCCTTCCTCTTCATCTCAGCCCCAGGTTGATCACATAGACCCTGACCTCTCAAGGGCGAGCAGGGGGTGGTGCAGCTGGTGCTTCCTTTAAGTCGACTTGATAGCCACTCATCTTCCCCTCTTCCTTGCTCCTTTGCTTCAGGTGGAGAGCATCGACCCTGACCTCCTGGCAACGCTCAAGCGGGAGCAGGGGGTGGTGCTGCTGGTGCTGCTGGCGGTTTCCACTAGTCGACTCAATATTCCCTTCATTTGCTCCCTGACTCTCTCTCATTCCCCCCTTGTCTCTGCCTCAGGTGGAGCGTATCGACCCTGACCTCCTGGCAACGCTCAAGGGCGAGCAGGGGGTGGTGCTGCTGGTGCAGCGTGCAGAGGGGGATGAGGAGGTGAGCAGTTGGGAGGGGTGTGTGGTTGGGAAGTGGTTAGCGGTTGGGAAGTGGTGTGTGGTTGGAAGGCTGGTGAGTGGTTGGGTGGGGAGCAGGGGGTGCTGCTGCTGATGCAGCTTGCAGAGGGGGATGAGGAGGTGAGCGGATGGGATGGAGCTGGGTGCAGTTAGGTGTGAGGGGTTGAGTGGTTGGGGGACATTCAGTGGTCATCAGACTGACTTCCCAACAAGCAGCAAGTCTCTCTGGTGCTGCTGGTGTGACATGCGGAGGGTGAATGAGGAGGTGGTGGATGGTTGGAAAACGAAGGGGGTGGAGTCGGGGGGAAGGTGAGTGAGCGCTCCTCAAACTCCGTTCTCAAAGAGAAGCGGGGTTCTCTCAAAACATGGGTGGGTGGTTGGGCTGGGAGGAGAGGGGTGGTCGGCACTTTCTCTTGGTCGGCACTTTCTCTTGGTCGGCACTTTCTCTTGGTCGGCACTTTCTCTTGGTCGGCACTTTCTCTTGGTCGGCACTTTCTCTTGGTCGGCACTTTCTCTTGGTCGGCACTTTCTCTTGGTCGGCACTTTCTCTTGGTCGGCACTTTCTCTTGGTCGGCACTTTCTCTTGGTCGGCACTTTCTCTTGGTCGGCACTTTCTCTTGGTCGGCACTTTCTCTTGGTCGGCACTTTCTCTTGGTCGGCACTTTCTCTTGGTCGGCACTTTCTCTTGGTCGGCACTTTCTCTTGGTTGGCACTTTCTCTTGGTCGGCACTTTCTCTTGGTTGGCACTTTCTCTTGGTTGGCACTTTCTCTCACGCAATTCCTCCCTTCCCCCCCCCCCTTCTTCCTTCACACTCCTTCATTTGTCTCCCACGTGTATGCACACATCCCCACGCTAGCTCATCTTTCCAATCTCTAACCCCACCATCCATGCCTATCCCCATCTGTGCGGGCATGTGAAAGCAGCAGGAGCCAACCTCAAGGCCGTTGTGCTGCTGCAGGAGCTGCTGCCTCACCTCTCCCACATGTATCACAACCATGCCCCCTTACCACCTCCCACACGTATCCCCATGCGAGCAGGTGAAAGCAGCAGGCGCCAACCTCAAGGCCGTTGTGCTGCTGCAGGAGCTGCCGCACCTCTCCCACCTGGCCGTGAGGGCCAGACAGGTGCGACTATACACTGCACACTGTATACTATACACTATGTATACTATACACTATGTATACTATACACTATGTACAATAGTTACTTGTTATGCAAAACCTGCCTGCCGCAACCACCCATCCACCCACCCATCCAGCCACCCAATGGATTCAACCCTGTATTCGCGCAGGAGAGAGTGCCTTTTGAGTTGACTCAAAAGTCAATTCGCGCAGGAGGGAGTGCTTCTCATGACACATGTCATTCTGTACATTCGCGATGAGTCTGTTCATCAAAATGGACTGCTCCCGAGGGTGATGAATCAGCAAAACCCTCTCGTCCACCCCTCCAATCCACTGCACTGCACTGCGCCCCTCCATGATCCATCCATGCAGGAGGGTGTGCTTCTCATGACATGCGAGGATGAGAACCGAATTGCTGCTCTCCGTTCTGCCGTTGGCTCTCGAATCCGGTAATGCCCGCCCGCATCTGGAGTGGCTTGGGAGTAGAAACGAGCCTTGGCTGCTTGCTTGATTGTTTGCTTTTTTTTTTCGTCGCCATTAAAAATAAATCCCCTTGCCCGCGCGACTAAGGTGTCATCCTTATCCACGAGGTGCTCTTACTAATCCATGGATTCTAAGCTCAAGTTTTGACACTTGTTCCCGCTTTCCTTACCTTTCTTCTTTTGTGATAGTGTTCATGTGTGTTTCCTTCCTTTCTTTTCTTGCATCCTTCCCCTCTCTCTGTTTCTCTCTACCCCTCCCCCTTTCACTGTCTCTGCAGCCTCGAGGCAGGGGTAGAAGGCGTGAAGGTCTTACAGGAGCTGCTGTGGACCGTCTCTCAGAGCTTTACCTCTCTCTGTGTCTCGCTCAGCATTGCTCCTTTCCCTTTCTATCGCTACTTGTGCAGCCTCGAGGCGGGCGTGGAAGGCGTGAAGGTCATAACAGGAGCTGCTGTGGACCAGCACTCGTCCTCGTCCTCTGCAGATGCTGCCACCGGTAGCAGCAGTGCGAAGAGCGAGGACGAATTGTGGGTGCAGGCACTGAAACCGCGACCTGTAAGTCTACCTTGCTGGCTAGGGAGCTTGCGTCACTTACACTTGAAGTAGGAGCAGGTACATCTGCTTGTAAGAGCAGGTACATCTGCTTGTAAGAGCAGGTACATCTGCTTGTAAGAGCAGGTACATCTGCTTGTAAGAGCAGGTACATCTGCTTGCTACGGAGGCAGTGGTAGTAGTGGCAGTGCGAAGGTTGAGGACGAAGTGTGGGTGAAGGTGCTGTGCTGAAACCACGACCTGTAAGTCTAACCTGCTGGTTTGCGTGAGTGGTGCCACTGCGTGAGTGCCACTGCATGAGATGGCTGACATCTCCTTTTGCCCTCTTTTCATTGCTCCTCTCCTCTCTCCCTGCTCTCCTCTTCTCTCCCCTCTCCCCTTGACTCTCCGCATGACTCCCCTTTTCAGATCCGAGTGCAGGAGGCGCGGCTGCCAGTGCTGCCACTGCACGAGGCCCAGCTGGCCACGTGTGGCGCCAAGGCACATGCATGCGCCAAACTTGAGGAGCTTTCAATCGCCTCCACCTTTGCAGGTACATTCCTCTAGACTCTGTTCCGTGTTCAGTTGTTGTGATAACCTCTGTTACCACGGACGCCTCTTCCACTTTCCTCCCACCCACACTCCACTCCCCACTGTGCCATTATTGCATCCTCTCGTTCTCCCTCTCCCGTTTACTCTCCCCCTCTACCCCATCACTCTTCCAGCTGCCGATTTCTCCGTCCCTCGTTCAGCCGTGATAACCTTCGGAGTAATGGACAAGGCCATCACCGCGTCCAACCGCCACATGCTCGCCCATTTCATCCCTTCATTCCCTCGTTCCCTCTCTGTCACTTTGCTGTTCCAGGTGCCGATTTCTCCGTCCCTCGTTCCGCTGTCATCACCTTCGGGGTAATGGACGAGGCCATCACCGCTTCCAACCGCCGCACACTCTTCCACCGCCTCGTCGCCACCCTCGACGACCCGAACCTTCAAGGGACCTCCCTAGACGATACCTGCACCCAAATCCGCACCCTCCTAGAGGAATCCCCCCTCCCGCCAGCATTCTTCCGAACCCTCTCGTACATCTTCTCTGCAAACGCTCGCCTTATCGTCCGCTCGAGCGCCAACGTGGAAGATCTAGCTGGCATGTCCGGAGCTGGGCTGTACGATTCCATACCTGACGTCACCCTTTCCGAACCTGCTTCGTTCGGCCGAGCCGTAGCTTCGGTGTGGGCATCTCTGTTCACGCGGCGAGCCGTGCTGAGCCGGCGGGCAGCGGGCGTGCGTCAGAGCGATGCGGCTATGGCGGTTCTAGTCCAGGAGTTAATCTCCCCGCCGGACCTTAGCTTCGTGCTGCATACTAAGGGGATCGGCACTGGTGCTGGCGGCGCCCTCGTTGTCCCCAGCCCGCGACTTGATAACAGCAACAGCAGTAGCGGCGGCAGCAGTAATGGGAAAGCTGTAGGGTCTGTTACATCTGCATCTGCAAGTGCTGTTGCTCCCGGCTCTCCTCCACCGTCCGATTTCCTCTCTGCTGAGGTTGCGCCGGGACTGGGCGAGACCCTGGCGTCCGGCACACGTGGCACCGCGTGGCGCTTCGCGGTTGGCAAATCCGACGGCTCAGTGCGAATCCTGGCTTTTGCTAATTTTAGCGAGAAAATTGTGATGGCACCAGCTGCTGGGGGCGGTTTAGTGGGAAGAAAAGGAGGTGGTGGGTCAGGAGGGGGAGGAGTGGCGGCAGCAGGGGGAGGGGTTGTAATGCAAGCAGTTGATTATAGTGGTCAGCTGCTGTCTACTTCGCCTGATGCTCAGGTGGTGCTTGCAAAGAAGCTTGCTGCTGTTGGGTCATTTCTGGAGGAACGGTTTGGATCACCTCAGGACATTGAAGGGTGTGTTGTGGGGGATAAGATTTATGTGGTGCAGTCTCGGCCTCAGCCTTGAGTAGGAGAGGACAGTATGTATGGTTTGAGCCTGACCGGATTAATGAGTCGTATAGGGTACAATTTGGCTTAATAGATGAATACATCGAAAAGATGTGCCCCACTATTTTGTTGATGCTCAGTAGGCTAGACAGGCCTGTAGTTCAAAATGTGATGGGCTCTATGTAAGAGGATCTATATTCATTAGTATGTGTTTTGGAAGCTAACTGTAAATGTACAACAGGTGAAGTTCTAGCGGACATTTGTTTTCGTGGCCCAGAAATCCACACAGAGGATCACGACAACCAATCAAACGGCAGAACGCGTCTCAGCGTACCCCCACGCCGCATCTTCGCGTTTCGCATACGATCGATCCCTTGATTCTGGTCTGTCCTGACCTGACCAAGTGGCTGACATCTGTGTGGGTCACCCGATCGCAAAAGATCGTCACCTTTTGATACCCAAAATCCATTCGGTACAGTAGGACGTCGCGCAAGTTAGAGGTTTACTGTGCGTTCAAATACGGTGAAGTTGGTTCGGCACAAAACCATATGATGCTGGATGTGTTGCACCCAAAATGGTCACTCTACTACGGTATAGAACGGTTTCATGGCTTAAATAATGTTCGGGTAGGGTTTTTGAGAGTAAACGAACCAGCGCGGCACACCTACCATATGATAAAAGCGTAGCTGATGGAAGGAACTAAGTCGCGTTTATTATTAGGGACAGCTACTTAGCTGCGTGCGTTGCGACCGAGAGAGGAAGAGGAGAGTCGGACGAGATGGCGTCTGTTGCGTTGCAGGGCTCGGCGCGCTCGCTTGCCGTCGAGGTGAGAAACGCGAAGCAGCTAAGCACAGCAGTAGTTTACGTCAGGGAATGTAAGTCAATTTTGCGATGAGAATTACGGTCATGGCGGACGCATTCCTTTTGCAGCACACAATTCATCCGGTAACAAATGGTTTTGAGAAATCGGCGTAGTGGCAAATGTTGATATTGCTGGAAGCATGGAGTGGTAACATCTAGCCGTTTGAACCGGCAGAAATGGTCGAAGGAGATTGAGTGCGGTGCTTGTGTGACAGCCGTCTCGCAAGTAACAGCTGACTGTCGTGTCAGTTACGAAATTCTCGTCAGAACCCCAATAACTCCGTTATTGCCTGACTCGGTATTGCAGGCCTCCCATGCCGTCGCGGTCTCCTCTTCCCCGTCGCTTCGCTCCTCCCCTTCCTCCTCCTCCTGCCACGTGTCGTTCCCCACATCCACAACTACAGCAGCAGCACGAATGGCAGCATCGCACGTGGCTCCCAGACGATTCGCGAATCCATCAGTTCGTGTTTCCCGCGAGTGCATCCTCTCGGGCGTACCGAAGCCCAGAAGACTACAGCTGTCTAATGGCAGTCGAATTCAATGCAATTGTAAGCCATGCTTCGGTGCCCATCTTTTTTTGCCTTCTGAGTCGACTCAAAAGTCATAGCTCTTGCGGATTAAGCCAATGCAGCCGTTCTTCTGTGACATGCTTCCGAGTCGCGCCGAATTTGCTTCGCAAAGCATCCTGCTTCACCTGCATCCTGCATCCTGCATCCTGCATCCTGCATCCTGCATCCTGCTTCCATCCACCTTCCACTCCACCTACCTGCTGCATCTCCTGTTGACCATCGCATTTAAACCCCGGTACTCCCGTGGCTCCCCCCTCCGCCCCCTCCCCCTTCCTCTTTCCCCCCCTCCTCCCCCCCCCCCTCCTCTCTCCGCGCCTTCCATTCCCATCCTCCCTCCGCCCACCAGTGACGCCCCCTATAGTCACATCCGCTGCGTCGTCCGCTGCAGCGGTAGCCATGGCAGCTGGGGGTAGCTCCGCTGTGACTATAGCGAGCAGCTGGTTCACGCTCTGCACGGCTGCCGTCATCCCTCTTTATACGCTGATGATCTTCGCGCCAGACTGGCACGTGGTACGCTTCTCACTACACTTACTCGATAAAGGAAGCCCTGATAAAAGCGTCTGAAACATCTGGCTCCGGTCATCCCCCTTCATACGCTCATGATCTTCTCGCCAGACTGGCACGTGGTACGCGTTTTACTACCAACTCGATCTAAGCACACGGCTGCTTATCGTCCCTCTTTATACTCTTCAGTATCTTCGCGCCAGACTGGACTGGTACCACACTGCACCATACCAACCCAACTTACACCACACCACACCACCCGACCCCTCCCCACCCCACCCCACACTACCTGCTCTACAAGCCGTGTACACCCTTTGTTTTGAGGCGCCTCAAAGGACACCACCCCTCCGCACCCACCTCACCCACCCCGCACCACCTCACACCACCCCACCCCGCACCACTCCATCTCATCCCACTCCACCCCGCCCCACCCCACAACACAGACGGAGAGGATCATGAGCAGCTCGCTGCCGAGCATTCTCCTGGGTTTTGTGCACCTCTACCTGCTCTACAAGTCATGGACGCCTTTTGCTTTGAGGCGCCTCATTAGACTCAGCCCCACCCCACTTCACCTCACTGCACCCCTCCCCACCCTGCACCTCCCACTCACCCCACACCGCACTTCACCGCACTACAGACTGAGAAGATCATGAGCAGCTCCCTACCGAGCATTCTGCTGGGCTTCGTGTATCTCTACCTGCTCTACAAGTCGTGGACGCCCAACACGCTGCTCTACATGTTCTCCTCCAAATACTGGCTGCCCGAGGTGCGTCTCTACCCGCCCCTCTCGCCCCACTCGCCCCACCCGCCCCACTCGCCCCACCCGCCCCACTCGCCCCACCCGCCCCACTCGCCCCACCCGCCCCTCTCGCCCCACACGCCCCACACGCCCCACACACTCCACCTGCCTCATACACCTCACCCGCCCAGCACGCTGCTCTACATGTTCTCCAAGTACTGGCTGCCCGAGGTGCGTCCCCTTCTCTTAATTTTTATTGTTAAATGCGACGCCTGTCTGGCCGCGTGCAACAACCTAATGTGCCTCTGTCCTCCCACACTTCTCTGCTTCGACCAGCTAGCCACGTGTAAACAGTGAATTTTTATTGAGACGTCTAAAAGCCCCCTCTTTTCACTTCTCTGTTTACGGGGGAATCATCTTTCCACTTGGATTCAAGCTGGTTTTTGAGAATTCTCCCTCACTTTGAGAATAACCACTTTGAGACGTCTAAAAAAATAACTGTTAACGCGGGAATCATCTCTCCACTTGGATTCACCCACCCAAAGCCCCCTCTTTTCCCTTTTCTTGCCCCTTCCCCCCCCCCCCCCCCCCCCCCCCCCCTCTCCCTTCCCACCCCTCGTGCCCCCACCACCAGCTACCGGGCATCTCTCAGATGTTCTCCAGCACGCTCACTGTCGCCTCCGCGTGGATCCATCTGCCTCTCACCCCTCCCCCCTTCCTGCTCTCCCCCTCACCCCTTCCCCCTTCCTGCTCTCCCCACCACCAGCTAGCGGGCATCACTCAAATGTTTGCCAGCACCCTCACTGTCGCCTCCGCCTGGATCCATCTGCTGGCTGTTGACCTCTTCGCTGCCAGGTGAGCTGTCAGGTGGTATCTCAGGCGGCCTGTCAGGTGGACTGTGAGGTGGTCTGTCGGGTTTTCTGTCAGATGCTCTGCCAGGTGGTTTTCTATGGAACTGCCGGGTGGTTTTTTTTCCATGAAAATTTGAATTTTTCCATCAGGTGTGCTGTCATGATTTTTTCTTTTAATCCACTTTCCGCTTAGCTGTTTCCCCTTTTCGTTCCCTCCTCCCCAGCACCTCTTCTCAAGCATCCCAACCCATATCCCTTCCCCACTTCCCCCTCGCGTTTCCTTCTCCCTCGTCCATTTCCCCCCCCCCCCGCAGGCACGTGTATTTGGGCGGACTGAAGCAGACGCTCGATTCATGGCACTCCCTTTGCGTTATGCCTGGGCATCGCCGCTCATTCCCTCCCTCCCTCGTCCCCACTCTCCTCTCCTCCTCCTCTCCTCTCTGACATGCACATGTATTTGGACGGACTGAAGCAGAAGCTCGAGACGCTGCACTCCCTCTCTCCTTCCCCCACCCCCTCCCCTCCCACACCTTCCCCTCCCGCTTTTTCCCCCCTTCCCCTCTTTGACAGGCACGTGTATTTGGACATACTGAAGCAGAAGCTCGTAATGCAGAACTCACTGATTCCCTCTTTTCCTACCCCCCCCCCCCCTCTTCCCCCCTCTCGATTCCACCCCTCCCGCAGGCACGTGTATTTGGACGGATTGAAGCAGAAGCTCGAGACGCGGCACTCTCTTGTGCTCTGTCTCATGTTCGGACCACTAGGCATCGCCGCACATTCCCTCACCAAAACCATCGCCCAGGTGAGTTCAGTGATGTTACATCTAAGCACGACCCGTTCTGGTTCAGATCTGAATACGTTGAAACTGTTCCCGTCCATCCAAACCATTGAATGATCCTCTTCCCCCCCCCCCCCCCCCCCCCCCCCCCCCTCCCCACAACCCCACTCCTCCCTCTCCTCCCTCTCCCCCTCATTCACGTGTTTTGAGTCGACTCAAAACATGCCTCCCTCTCCTCCCTCTCCCCCTCATTCACCACCACCATCTCTCGATGCGAGAAGATCTTTCGCCGCTCGAGGAGAGGCCGCAATGCATCGCGGACTGTACAGGACATTCCCTCGCCTCCGTGACCCACCCCGCTGGAATATACACAACACATTACGTGTTACACATGAGCAACAGCTTTTCCGTTCTTTGTTGTTGACAGATAACCGCAAGATTCCCCCTGGGTTGTGATACAAGGCCATTTATGAGTGCAGTGCTCATGAGAGCCAGGAGAATTAGTGCTTGGATACAGTACGGTTCATGTTATGCATCGCAATAATGGATCCATATTTATACAAAAATGCTCACGTCGAAAGTTCCCTTGTGGATCAGCCATCAACGCACTACTTTCCACGCCTGTATCTGGAACTCAGGAGGGATTAGTGTGCTCTACCACTACAACCCACCTAGGCACAAGCTGCATCAGAGACATCACAATCTTGCACCGAAGCGCTTTGTTTCCAAATACAGCAGTATTGCTACAGTCGGTGCCTTCTACGGTAGTATTACAGCACCATCAGATCATCCTGTCAATCCCGGAATCACCAATAGATCTACCGGTACCTGTCAAGTTCTCCAGGAAATACATGTGCTGCTTCCCCATCCAACTGCATCCTGCTTCCCTGCCCATTACTTGAGCATCATCAGCCCACTGCTCTGTCATCACAACACGAAAGCCAATTGTTCCCTGTCTCTTGTCCAAGATTGCTCCCTCTACCACCCTCTATCAACCGCTCTTGCCCTTGCTTGCTCTCCCTTGCTCTCTCTCTCTCTCTCTCTCTCTCTCTCTCTCTCTCTCTCTCTCTCTCTCTCTCTCTCTCTCTCTCTCTCTCTCTCTCTCTCTCTCTCTCTCTCTCTCTCTCTCTCTCTCTCTCTCTCTCTCCTGCCTTCTCTTGCTCTCTCATGCTCTTTCACGCTTGCCCTCTGTCAATCTCTCTCACTCCCACCTTCTTTGGGGAGTCTCAATTTCCTGCCTTGGGGGTGGAGACAGCGATGGCCTTTACCTTGAGAAACGGTCCAGATTCGACGCACCTGCTCTCTCTCATCCTCACACTTGCTCCCTCGCACCTGTCCACTGTCGCTCTCTCTGGCTCCCACCAATTCTCTCTCGTTCAATTATCAATGCTGGCGCCTATCAGTGGAGGCTGCGATGGTCACGAGAGAGAGCCCAGATTCGACGTATCAAGACTCGCTCCAGCACTGGTGGTGATGCAGGTTCAAAGAACCTGGTCAAGCAGCAGCGGCAGCGGCAGCAGTGGCGACGAGCAGGTTCGTTGAATCGGGCCGCAAATGGGGAACCTTAGAACCATTCGCTCGTTCCAGGTTCAATGAACTTGGTCAAGCAGGAGAAGCGGTGGTGGCAGCAGGTTCGTTGACTCGGGTCGTAGTTCTGCCGGATAAGAAACTTATCCCCATTCACTGCCTCCAGGTTCGATGAACCTAGTCATGCAGGAGCTGTCGTGGTGACGCAGCTTCGTTGAATCGGGTCGTATTTCTGCTGGATGAGGAACTTGGTCCCACCCACCCCTTCCAGGTTCAATGAACCTGGTCAACTAGCGGCTGTGGTGGTGACGCAGGTTCGTTGAATCGGGTCGTAGTTTTGCTGTATGAGGAACTTGGTTCCACGCACCCCCTCCAGGTTATAAGGTGCAGCATCTGATGTGTAGGATAGGGTGCCGGTCCTGCCAGGTTTGTGGGGAAAATGGAAGTTGATTAAAAAAAAAAAAAAAAAAAAACACCCCTCACTTCCCTCCTTCCCCATCCCCACCCCTCTCCATCCTCCTCACGAACCACCTCCCCGCCCTTCTCTCTCCCCTTTCCCTTGCTCACCTCCAGGCACATAAGCCGGCGTTCTCCTGTCCCGAGGCATCATACCAACTCAGCACATTGGGGTCACTCGTCGCCTCTGCACACCCAAATTTCGCTTTCCCCCCCCCCCCCACACTCCCTTCTCGCTTCCCTCTCCACTTATTACTCCACCCCCAATACTCACTTCCAGGCACATATGCCGGCGTTCTCGTGTCTCAAGGCATCGTACCAATTCAGCACAATGGAATCGCTCGTCGCCTCTGCACCCCCAATACACGTTCCCGACCCCCCTCCTCCACCCCCTTTACTCACTTCCAGGCACATATGTCGGCGTTCTCCTGTCCCGAGGCATCGTACCAATTCATCACATAGGGGTCACTCGTGGCCTCTGCAAGCTCATGAGCAAACGTGGAGAGCAGCGAGTCGAACGACTTATCCCTGTTGGGGCTGTCGTTAAATGCGAAGGCGGCGAGCCAACAGCTGCTGGGGCACTGGCAGGGTTGGTGTGGGTGGAGGGGGGTTTGGGGCGGTGAGGAGGGGATCATCGGGTACAAACGTGGAGAGAAGCGAGTCGAACGACTTATCCCTGTTGGGGCTATCATTGAATGCAAAGGCAGCGAGCCAGCAGCTGCTGGGGCACTGGGGGGATGGGAGAGGGATGGGGAAACGGTTGAGTGAGTGGTAGTGGAGAGAAGAAGGTGGAGAGCAGCGAGTCGAACGACTTATCCCTGTTGGGGCTGTCGTTGAATGCGAAGGCACCGAGCCAGCAGCTGCTGGGGCACTGGAGGGATGGGGGTGAGTGGAGGGGAGGGAGGTTTTGGGGGGTGAGAAGGAGGTGTAGGAAGGTGAAGAGCAGCGAGTCGAACGAGCGATCGCGGTTAGGGGTGTTGTTGAACGCAAAGGCAGCGAGCCAGCAGCTGCTGGGACACTGAAGGGATGGGGTAGCGGTGGGGTGGGGAGGGCGAGGAAAAAGGGTGGGGAGAGGAGGTGGAGGGCAGCGAATCAAATGACTTGTCTCTGTTGGGGCTGTGTGGAACGCAAAGGCAGCGAGCCAGCAGCTGCTGGGACACTGGCGAGTGGGAGAGGGGTGGGGAAACGGTTGATTGAGGGGTAGTGGGAAATGGTTGATTGAGGGGTAGTGGAGAGAAATAGGCTGCCAATATGAGCCACCTTTGATAAGCTTCTTCTGAGCTCAGCACTCTCTGACAACTTTCTCACCACTCTCAACCCTCTCTAACCATTCTCAACCCTCTCTAACCACTCTCAATCCTCCATCACCACGCACCTTGACAGGGCTGCCCACATAAGCCACTTTGATGAGCTTCTTCTGGTCTGGGTTCACCACTCCCTCACCACTCTCAACCCTCTACAACCACTCTCACCACCCCCTCACCACTCTCAACCATCTATAACCACTCTCTACCACAGCACACACCTTGACAGGGCTGCCCACATAAGCCACTTTGATAAGCTTCTTCCGAATCCTCACAAAGTCGTGCCATCCGCAGTAAGCGCTGCACATGCCGCCCATGCTGTCCCTCTGTTGGGGGAGGGACAGACGTGGGCGTAGCAGCGGTGAGATGAGAATGTTCAGATTACTGAGTGGAGAGGTGAGTGGGTGAGTGAGCGTGCCACCCGCAGTAAGCGCTGCACATGCCGCCCGCCCTGGCTGGCTGTCCCTTCTGTTAAGGGAGGGACAGACGGGAGAGAAGCAGCGGTGAGGATGTGGAGATTATTGAGCGGAGAGGTGAGTGGGGAAGAGTCTATTTTTGAATCGACTCAAAAATAGGTTACTGAGCGGAGAGGTGAGTGGGGAAGAGTCTATTCTTGAGTCGACTCAAAAACAGATTATTGAGTGGAGAGGTGAGTGGGGAAGAGTCGATTCTTGAGTCGACTCAAAAACAGATTATTGAGTGGAGAGGTGATTGGGTGAGTGAGCGTGCCACCCGCAGTAAGCGCTGCACATGCCTGTTTACAGGAACATGCCGCCCTGACTGTCCCTCTGTTAAGGCAGGGACAGACGGGAGAGAAGCAGCGGTGAGGATGTGGAGATTATTAAGCGGAGAGGTGAGTGGGGAAGAGTCTATTCTTGAGTCGACTCAAAAACAGATTATTGAGCGGAGAGGTGAGTGGGGAAGAGTCTATTCTTGAGTCGACTCAAAAACAGATTATTGAGCGGAGAGGTGAGTGGGGAAGAGTCTATTCTTGAGTCGACTCAAAAACAGATTATTGAGCGGAGAGGTGAGTGGGGAAGAGTCTATTCTTGAGTCGACTCAAAAACAGATTATTGAGCGGAGAGGTGAGTGGGGAAGAGTCTATTCTTGAGTCGACTCAAAAACAGATTATTGAGCGGAGAGGTGAGTGGGGAAGAGTCTATTCTTGAGTCGACTCAAAAACAGATTATTGAGCGGAGAGGTGAGTGGGGAAGAGTCTATTCTTGAGTCGACTCAAAAACAGATTATTGAGCGGAGAGGTGAGTGGGGAAGAGTCTATTCTTGAGTCGACTCAAAAACAGATTATTGAGCGGAGAGGTGAGTGGGGAAGAGTCTATTCTTGAGTCGACTCAAAAACAGATTATTGAGCGGAGAGGTGAGTGGGGAAGAGTCTATTCTTGAGTCGACTCAAAAACAGATTATTGAGCGGAGAGGTGAGTGGGGAAGAGTCTATTCTTGAGTCGACTCAAAAACAGATTATTGAGCGGAGAGGTGAGTGGGGAAGAGTCGATTCTTGAGTCGACTCAAAAACAGATTATTGAGTGGAGAGGTGATTGGGTGAGTGAGCGTGCCACCCGCAGTAAGCGCTGCACATGCCTGTTTACAGGAACATGCCGCCCTGACTGTCCCTCTGTTAAGGCAGGGACAGACGGGAGAGAAGCAGCGGTGAGGATGTGGAGATTATTGAGCGGAGAGGTGAGTGGGGAAGAGTCTATTCTTGAGTCGACTGAAAAACAGATTATTGAGCGGAGAGGTGAGTGGGGAAGAGTCTATTCTTGAGTCGACTCAAAAACAGATTATTGAGCGGAGAGGTGATTGGGGAACTGAGCGTGCGTGCCACCCGCGGTAAGCGCGGCACATGGCGCCCTGGCTGGCGGTCACTCTGCTGCCACACCCACCACCACCACACTGCACCTCCACGCACCTGAGCAACACTCCCGTTGCCGATCAGATCACGAAGTACAAACAGCAGCCGCGTTATAACCACCCCACCTATCACCACACCCACCACCACCGCACCCCACCTCCACGCACCTGAGCAACACTCCCATCGCCGATAACGAAGTAGACTCCATCCTCGTCAAGCGGGAAAGCGCCGCTCTTCATTCTCTTCTTCACCACCCGCCTTATTGACTTGAGCCCATACAGTAGCCTGAGGGGGCGCCTCACGTGGTGCTCCCTTGCTAGAACTACAGAAGAGGAGACGTTGCGGCCGGAGCAGTCGTAATAGAGGGTGTTGGTTCGCCACCAGTCAGCGACTGTTGGGGAAGGGGGAAGTGAGGGAGGTTGTGGAGGTGTGAGGGAGGTTGTGGAGGGGGGGAAGGGGGAAGTGAGGGAGGTTGTGGAGGGGGGGACGGGGGAAGTGAGGGAGGTTGTGGAGGGGGGAAGGGGGAAGTGAGGGAGACACGTGGTTGTCCTCTGCCCACGTGGGTGGGAAGACAGGCACGATGGGCAAAGGTTTTGAGTCGATGAAAAAAAAGGAAGGGAGAAGTGAGGGAGACACGTGGATGCCCTTTGCCACGTGTTAAACGAAAAAAAAGGGGGGGGGGGGGGAAGGGGTTGTATACAACCAGGGAAAGGAGAGAGGGATTGGACCTAAACTGATGGCCGTCCGTCGGTGCTGATAAGACTGATAACGACTTAAACTGCTTGTATGAGGCACTTCGAGTTGAGAGGACCCACCTGTGCCTTCAGTGCTGCTGAAGGAGTGGATGAAAGTTCGGAGAAGGTTCTTCTGAGTATCGGAGAAGCTTCCGTACCACACGAGGTAGACGTGGATAGGGTTGTTCATTACCCCGCACCACTTGGGGTTCTTTGCGCAAACACCCTGCCCGCAGAAGGATATTATTTCTGGGCCCAAGTCGGACGGGATGACTGGCAATTGGCTGGCGTTGGGGCAGTGGGCAGGAAAGAGAAAACGACTGATTTGTTTTTTAAACATGTATTCGAAAGAGAAAACGACTGAGTTGTTTTTTAAACATGTATTCGAAAGAGAAAACAACTGATTTGTTTTTTAAACATGTATTCGAAAGAGAAAACGACTGATTTGTATTTTAAACATGTATTCGAAAGAGAAAACGACTGATTTGTATTTTAAACATGTATTCGAAAGAGAAAACGACTGATTTGTATTTTAAACATGTATTCGAAAGAGAAAACGACTGACTTGTATTTTAAACATGTATTCGAAAGAGAAAACGACTGATTTGTATTTTAAACATGTATTCGAAAGAGAAAACGACTGATTTGTATTTTAAACATGTATGTTCGAATGGGGAAAACCTGGGAGACTGAGGGCGAGAGGCGGACAACTAGGAGGAAGGGAGGGGGAGGGCGAGTGGGGGGCAGGGGAAGAGGGGTGTAGGGGGAGAGGGGCGATGGCGGAATGGGGCGAAGGGGGAGAGGGGCGATGGCGGAATGGGGCGAAGGGGGAGAGGGGCGATGGCGGAATGGGGCGAAGGGGGAGTGGGGCGAATGGGGGAATGGGGCGAAGGGGGAGTGGGGCGAATGGGGGAATGGGGCGAAGGGGGAATGGCGCGAATGGGGGAATGGGGCGAAGGGGGAATGGGGCGAATGGGGGAATGGGGCGAAGGGGGAATGGGGCGAATGGGGGAATGGGGCGAAAGCGGAGTGGGGCATACCTGGGAGAGCGACTGGCAGTGGGAGCAACGTTGCTGGGCCTGATTCTAACGTTGCAGGGATTTTTTTGAGAATTCTAAAAAAAAACTCAAAAAAAAAATCTCAAAAAATCCCTGAAGGCGGAGTGGGGCATACCTGGGAGAGCGAGTGGCAGCGGGAGCAATGTTGCTGGGCCTGAGTCTAACAGAGGTTGGATCGGAGGTGATGGGCTGCTTCAGCCTGCTTTTTGCTCTTCTTGAATGCTCAAAACTGATTTTGCTGCTTCCAAAGTTTCTGCCGCCCATGCTTCGTGTATTGAATTGACGCTTCTTCTAAGAGTGCGGTTTAGATGCAAACGGCGCCAGGCCGTTGGACGCAACCGCCAGGCCGTTGGACGCAACCGCCAGGCCGTTGGACGCAACCGCCAGGCCGTTGGATCCAGACCAAAAGCAGAACGGCTGGTGTGTGGGGTGCTGCGGACGGGAGGGTCCCTGGGATTATAAGCCGTTAAATGGGTGCGGTTTAGATGCAAACGGCGCCAGGCCGTTGGATCCAATCTAAAGGACGAACGGCTGGTGTGCGGGATACCGCGGACGGGAAGGTCTCTGGGATGATAAGCTGCGTTATAAGCAGAGTTGATAGAAGCGGATGGCGTGGGGGGTGATTCGGTGAGAGAAGACGCGTTACAAGCAGCGACCGCGATTGTAGCACATGAGAGTATAAGGTGGATCTGGCACGAAGGAAGGGAAATAACAGCGGGATGGGGAAAGAGGAGGGGGAGAAACGGAGTGCTTTTGGAAATTAACGAGAACACGCTGCAGACACGATGGCAACACATGAGAGAATAAGGTGGATCTGGCATGAGGGGAGAGAAATGACAACGGGAGGGAGAGAGGGGAGGGAAGGTACATTCGAACATGCATTCGCGAGGATGAAACGACTGCATTCGCGACGACGAAACGACTGCATTCGCGACGACGAAACGACTGCATTCGCGAGGATGAAACGGCAACACCAAGAGTCCTTTCCAGTAAATCGACGCGTACGTTGTACAACGGTCGCGGCGGGTGGCAAAATTTCGCCTGTCCTCGTCGCTTCTTCGCGGAACCTTGGAGTTGACGGGAGAATTTCCGGGCCATTGCCGCGGCACGCCTGAAAAGAAAACGGACGGCGACGGTCAGCCTTGCGTCCGTCAAAATGTACTTTTGCTTGTTTTTATTATCGACTAGAACCAGGAGGACATTCTTTGACGTGGAACCGAGTCGGAGGAAGACGAAAACAGGCGGAGACAGACGGTGACTGACGGAGATAGGCGGAGACAGACGAAGACAGACGGAGACGGTTGAAGATAGACGGAGACACACGGCAGCGAGATGGAGTCGATTTCACGAGTCGTGTCCTAAAAGGTGCAAACATTTGCAAGACTACAGCTGCTGAAGCTTCCACTCGCACGTCGGAACCCGCACCGACAAGGAATTTGGAATCGCAGATGACTGATACTGATGTTCCAGGTTGCGGCTAGAGGTTATGTAGGAAGTAGGCAGTCCAAGACGGCATTGGAATACGGCAGTTGAAGGCAACAACCAACCTCCAACAGCTACCTACTAGGTAGTATTCCAAGACCACGAGGACGCAAGACCAAGGCAAGCCATTCCCTTCATATCAACTGGACTGGACCAGGGAGGACGCTGCTGACACATATAGTAGCTTGGCAATGGGAAACAAACATTTTCTTCTTTTAATGTTGACAACTGCAGAACCGAACAATAACAATGCGTCACCCAACCCAACCACCCCAAGACTAGCACAATTTGCAACTGCAAGGGTCGGGTCGAGTGATTCTCCATTCCCCCTCCGCCTCTCCCCCTCTTCCCCGGGGGCCGGGGCCCTTCCTCCACCTTTTTCCCCTCCACAGACTCCTCTCCGCTTCTTCCCCCCACCAACCTTCCATTCCCCCCACCTTCCCCTTCAAGGTCTCGCCTTTTCCGTCCCCCTTCTGCTTTTCTTGACAGTGGTCAGGTTGCTTGCAATGCGATTCTGTTTTGTACCAAATTTTGTTGTGCTCGCCAGGCCCACTGGCCCGCGAGACCTGCCACCGACGAAAACAGATGTCGTTCGCCAGGAATATCGTCCTGGCAGCCCCCAAAAAAGTTTTCGTCGTCTATTCGCGAACTTGTGTAACTGGCAGAATTCGCCGCCTCTGAGGCGCAAAAGGACGAGGGGCCTATGAGTCGACTCAAAAGTCGGAACAAGGAATCCAGTGGTTGCACAGGAAATTCGCCATGCCCAAGCCAATCAGCACCACAAGCCAGCCTACACTGTATTCCCCGTTGCCCACATCCAACCGTTGAGCCATGTGATGTGATGTGAGCAAAGCAGATTCATCGCCGTAGCCATGACATCAACAAACCAATTTCGAGGTCGAGGCGCAACTGAACTTGGCTTGCTCTCACTCCCTCCACTCCGCCTTTCAGAAAAGCCTTCCCGCCGCATCGAGATGTCGGCAGGGGGACAACACAGCGGGACAACCACCAGCAAAAAATCCTATGTCGCATCAATGCCTCGTCTCTTTCCCCGCTTCTCGCGCGATAGACAACTGGTTGCAACATGGCAGCAGGGCTCCAATTTTTGAGACGGAGGTCAGATTGCTGGGCGTCGGCCGAAACTGCTGATGACAACCGATGCGAGTGTTCGCGTTTCGGCGGGATAAGAGCAGGGCTGCAGAACAGAGCCCGCTTCTTCGATGGGCTAATGCAGCCAGCGATAACCCGTTGTATCAGATGACCATATCGCGCCGACAGATTATCACAGGGAAGCATGAACAGGCTATCATGCACAGCCTGCTACTTATCCTCCGAAAAATCGTCGCAAATATGTGGCCTTTCCGCTTATCATTTGATTTCGTATCAGCAGCTCTCGTAGAACCTCCAGCTACCACGTTCAGGCACCATGATCCAGCCTACTAACAGCAAGTTAGTGAGCAAGTTCTGCTTCAATAGGCACACTAGTACCACTTCATCCCGCACCAGGCTCTCCAGACCTTACCGCCTCGCTCTCCTGCTTCTCGTTTGTGGCCTCGTTATAATCTTCGCGCCTTGGGTCAATACCACGCTCAATCGCCATGTTCAAGCTTGTGAACGCCTGGGTTTGGCTGGTAAGGTGTTCAGGCGACAGCTACTCTCGCCACAGTCGTCGTTGACCTCGTTACAGTCAACGTCAGAATCTGTAACCTGGTTACCGTCCACATTCGCCAGATCCGTTTTGAGGACGTTCGTTACTTCGGCACAGCCACGTCAATCGATTGATTCAACAACAGGGAACGACGACGACGCCTCTGGAGCTATACACGAATTGACTACAACGGCGTACACGGATTTGAGTCCTCTCCATCCCCTGGAAGAACAAGGTGGAAGAAGGTTGGGGGGAAGTGCCTGGCTGCAAAACAGGACCCGGTTCGTGGCTATTGCGGCTAGCAATAACCCGTTGTATCAAGTGGACATATCGCGCCGACAAATTATCACAGGCTGTCGCCAACAGGCTATCACGCACTGCCTATCACTACTTAGGGGGTGTCTGAGGTGAAACGTTGACGGACGCTACTACAGTTGCGTCGGGGATGTCGGCAAATGTCCACCCTCGGATCGAGCATTCCGACGGTCGAGATTCATCGACATTCCTCAAAGACTCGTCGGGGGATGTCGTCGTTCACTTCAGACACCCCCTTATCCTCCGAAAATTGTTCCAAACATGCGTCCTTTCCGCTTATCATTTGATTTCGTATCAGATGCTATAGCACAACCTCCAGCTGCCATGTCCAGGCACCATGATCCAACCTAGTACCAGCAAGTTCGTCAGCAAGTGCTGCTTTAGCAAGCACAATGCCACTTCGTCGCGCACAAGGCTCTCCAGACCTTACTACCGCCTCGCTCTCCTGCTTCTCGCGTGTGGCCTCGTTTTAATCTTCGCGCCTTGGGTCAGTACCAGGCTCAATCGCCATGTCCAAGTTTGTGAACGCCTGGGATTGGCTGGTAACGTGTTCGAGTTTCACAGGCGCCAGCTGCTCTCGCCACAGTCGCCTCGTTACAGTCAGCTTCAGAATCTGTAACCTGGTTACCGTCCACGTTCGCCAGACCCGTTTTCAGGACGTTCCTTACTTCGGCACAGCCTCGTCAGTCGACTGGTTCCACAGAAAGGAACGACGACGCTGCTTCTGGAGCTATTAACGCATCGGCTTTAACGGGTTACACGGAATTGAGTCCTCTGCATCTGCGTCGCCACGTCAGACGAGACTACTTCGAGCCAGATGTCGCACTCGAGGACGCCATACGTGGCAGCAACGGAAAGCGAAGTCAAACGGCGGGGGATTCTAAAAAGAGCGGCCGAAACAGTTTCAACGTCGACAGCGACGGGAGTACTAGTAGCAGCAAGGGCGCAAACAATCAACTGGAAGTCTGCGTGGCTATAGCTTCGATGCCACGTGTCTTTCCTGAAGAACGCAAGCTGCCAACGTGGTACTTCCCAGTGTCTCTTCTCGATATGCTGGAACGGCGACGATCGCCGTCTACCACTTCCGGCGGCTTTAAAGACATGAACGTCGTGGTCTACAACTCGGGCTGCAACGAAAAACGGAAAATTCTACAGCGCCTCAAGAAACTAGCAGCCGCGTCAGACGCCAGCGCTTCGGAGGAGGACCCGCGGCCTACTACGACGCCTAGAAGCTTGTTGAAAGGACCGACCCTACGCCACGTGGAATCAGCTACCGAGCCGGTACTACCAAATCATCTGGGCGACTTGGAAGAACGAAAGAAGACGATGACAGTTCTGCATGAGAAAGTTCTAAGAATGGCTGGACGAGAATCCTCATTGAATATAACGGTGTTACCATCTCGCCAAGATGCGTGCGACTTCGTTCAGGAAGACGTAGAGGTGTTGCGGAAGTTCGGCGTGACAAACGAGATGGTCGGTGGCGACGGCTGGAAATCATGGCGATGGCGAACGAAGCTGGTAATGGATTTCGTCTACGTAATGCGACAGTGCATGGCGACGAAACCGAAATACATCCTGCTGCTGCAAGACGACACGAGGCCAGCCCGCCTCTACGACATCGGTATCGAGAAATTCATTAACGAGGATATGAAGGATAAGGAGTGGACGGTCCTATCCCTTTACTATCCCGAATCGTACTTTTGGGAATATAAGCATGGCAGGGAATATCTTATTCCTTGCTGCGCTCAGGCCCTGCTCTTCAAAGTATCGGCGCTCGAAGACCTGCTAGGGTTTGTGGAGAGGCGATTCGTCGAGGCTCCTATGGATTGGCTCCTAAACAAATACCTAACTAGCGCCAACCGGACGGGATATGTGCACGTGCCGTCGCTATTTCAACACGTCGGTTATGTGCGGACCAAAGCGCCAGGAGTCTCTTCGCGCCCGCATTGTGACCGGCAGTTTCGAGACGACAATGTAGTTAATGTACTGGCGGGAGCTGACACAACGGATATTATCGGAAATGCAGACTACGGGGACGACAGCGGAAATTATTTCGGGGAAAGCAGCGCAGAGGCGGAACTTCAACTACTCTTCAAGGCATACCCGAAAGAAGCACGAGGTAATCCGATACAAGCACCTGAGACCACGTAAGTCCTGGTCCTCTTGTGCTGTATATATTGAGAAGCATAATAATGTACATTGACAAGTTTACATGCCATTTTCATCTTCTAGGATACTCGTATAACGTGGTTCGCTGACGGGGTTGACGGCCAGCTGCATATACGACTGCTTCCATGCGCTGAGCTGTTACTTCCTGACCTGCATATTGCAATGATGAGGACGAATCAAAAATTGAGTGCTTGGAGGTTGGTACGGTAAATGGTGCAGAGGACAGGCTGGGCAAAAAAAGAGTGGTGTGGTGGTGGGGAGGGGAGGGGAAATAAGCGACACATAGGGAGCGCAAGTGGGTCATTATTACACGCCGCATCAAACCAAAACTTCACGCACCATGCACTGCTCCAGCCGCCCGTGTGATGCTCTCATTCATCAGTGTGCCGCCCACGTCATTGCAACCAGCCGACAGCAGACAAGAAACGCCCTCCAATCCCATCTTCACCCATGAGGCCTGTTGGATGGTGGAAAGGGTGTAACGGAGGCACATGCACAGCACACACTAATCCATCTGTAGGCTGAATCAATGTGCCTAGAATAGTAAGTCTGCGTGTGAATGTGTGCACATGCATGTCTGCATATGCATGTGTGCATGTGCATGTGCCTTTCACCTGGATGTTTGTGATGAGTGGATGCAGCACCAGCCGTCCCACAGCGTGCATCGGGATGCACTCTCTGAACATGCGTGTGACACTGCATGACACCATGTCTTGCCCCATCCGTACCTGGATCTATGCATGTAGATCCTCTCACCTGGATGTTGGCGATTAGTGGGTGCAGCACCGTGTTCTGATTCTTTAGTGAAGAGTTGATCCATACTGGCTCTCTAAGAAACGTTCTAAGCTAGCGCAACACCAGGCTCCTTTCCATCATCATCGCATAGGATTAGTTTCTCTGTCCTAAACAGCAAGAGTTGATGGAAATAAGGCCTCCGCAGCCCACCTGTTTGATTTCGACAGCTCCCCCATCCGTACCTGGATCTATGTATGTAGATGCTCTCACCTGGATGTTGGCGATTAGTGGGTGCAGCACCATGTTCTGATTCTATGGGAAGAGTTGATCCATACTCTAAGAAACGTTCTAAGAAACGTTCTAAGAAACGTTCTAAGCCAGCGCAACACCAGGCTCCTTTCCACCATCATCGCATGGGGTTTGTTTCTCTGTCCTAAACAGCAAGAGTTGATGGAAATAAGGCCTCCGCAGCCCACCAGTTTGATTTCGACAGCTCCCCCATCCGTACCTGGATCTATGTATGTAGATGCTCTCACCTGGATGTTGGCGATTAGTGGGTGCAGCACCAGCCGGCCCACAGCATGCATCAGCACGCACTCTCTGAACGTGGGCCCTTGCCTGCTCCGGCCCTTGAGATACACAGGCGCCTGGGGGTGAAGGGTGAGGGAGGCGTGGGGGGGAGGAGGAGCGAAGGAAGTGGGATGGCATTTCGCTTCACAGCGTGCATCAGCACACACTCTCTGAACGTGGGACCTCGCCTGCCCCTGCCCTTGAGATATACTGGCGCCTGAAATGGGGGGGGGGAGGTTGCGAGGGTGTGAAAAGGGATGGGGAGGAGAAGTTTCTAGTCGACTCAGAAATTCCTGCTCCTGCCGTTGAGGTGCACATTGAGGCTTGAGAGGAGGAGAATGAAGGAGAGGGGAGGGGGGAAGGGAGATGATAATGACAGGGAGGAAGGGGACGGCGGGGGGGGAGAAGGGGGGGACGAAAGGGATAATGAAGGGGAGGAGGGGGGCGCGGTGGGGGGGGAGAGGAAGGAGGACATAATGGCAAGGAGTGAGGGGGCAGAAGGATGGTCAGAATCATGCATGGATGTGGGGCATAAGGATGGGGAGCATAAGGACGGGGGGCATAAGGATGGGGGGCATAAGGATGGGGGGCATAAGGATGGGGGGCATAAGGATGGGGGGCATAAGGACGGGGGGCATAAGGACGGGGGGCATAAGGACGGGGGGCATAAGGACGGGGGGCATAAGGACGGGGGGCATAAGGACGGGGGCATAATGGCAAGAAGTGAGGAAGGAGTGAGGGGGCTTTTGAGAATTCTCAAAAGTCGCATCAATATAGCGGGCAGAAGGATGGTCAGGATCTGCTCCCGTGTTTGATTAGATGCAACCATACGCACATCCATCTACATGCACATCCATCTACATACACATCCATCTACATACACATAGAAACACATTGATATCCATGCATGAGACATACATTCATGCATGGATGTGTACATACATTCATCCCATGCCTTTTCCATACACCCATTAATGCATGTGTGTACATCCATGCATCCATGCCCCTACCTGCATGTGCACGAATGGTAGGGGGACGAATTCCGTGATGCCACCTGTCCGCTCCTGAATGGACCGCAGCAGCAGCATGTGCCGTGCCCTGAGCAACATCGGAAAGCCGGGGGATGGGGTGGACCAGGAGGAAGGGAAGGGAGAAGAGGGCGGAAACAGGGGGGAGGAAACAGGGGGGGTGGGAAGGGAGGAGAAAGGATGACCTTAACGACTTGAGGTGGGAAGTTTGTTCTGGGAATGTATCCAACGTCTTGACACGAGGTCGTTACCAGGTGGTTACCAGGTGGTAACCAGGTGGTTACGAGGTTGCTACGAAGTGGTTACCAGTGAATTGGATGGTCAACGTGGCCGAACATGATGGTGGAGGTGGTGGGACGCTGAGCAGCAGAACCAGTGCCCCAGAGTCTAAGCGGGGTTAACAAGTGAGACTAGGTTAGTACCAAGTACCAGGTGGTTACCAGGTGGTTACCAGGTGGTTACCAGGTAGTTACCAGGTGGTTACCAGTGAATTGGATGGTCCACGTGGCCGAACATGATGGTGGAGGTGGTGGGGAGGCCGACAGCATGAGCGGCCTCGATCACCTCCCTCCATTGGACGGTTGAGATCTTGTCTGGGCACAGCACGGCTCGCACTGAGTCGTCCAAGATCTGCAGCGGTGGAGAGGGGTGAGTTCAAAGGGGTTTTGAGGGGTTGGAAGGGGTGAGAGGAGAGGGTGATGGACAGGCCAAAGCCAAAAGCAAAAAGAAGCAAACAAGAAGAAGCAAACAAGAAGAAGCAGACAAGAAGAAGCAAACAAGAAGAAGCAGACAAGAAGAAGCAAAAGCGTCCACAAGGGTATGGAACTTGCAGGCTGAAGCACGCCTTCCCCATCCTTTGGCCCAAGCGTAGCTGCCGCACAGGGACAGCCTCCACAAGGGTATGCTTCTCACCTCAGCAAGTCGACTCAAAAGTCACCTCGACTCAAAAGTCGACTCAAAAGTCACCAAGTATGCTTCTCACCTCAGCAGCTGTTCCAGGCAGAGACCCTAGACCTGCATTCCTCAGGAGATGGAGAAAGTGCGGCATGCTGCGGTACATGTGTGAGATGGGGAAAGATGAGAGAGGGGGAAAGGATAGGAAGGAGCAGATTTTAAGCCGATTCAGGAAGGAGGGAAAGAAAACCGAGGGGGGGAGGAGGGTACAAAATGTTTTTGGCAGGCCTTACGTTTTTGTTTCAAATGTTACGAGCATCATGCAGTTAGCATAATTTAGGTACTCTGGGAATTGAATGCTTCATAAATAAATAGATATACATATACATATATATATATGTGTAAAATATATATACACACACATACTGATTGATTGCTTCACCCCGAAGAGTATGCATTCAGGCATGCATACCTACAGCGGAGGGACGTGGCACCGTGCCACACCTCCAGAGGCGAGAAGGCATGCACATGCATGTGGGGACATGCTGCCTTGACGGCTGAGAGGATGGAGAGGTAGGTTTCTCCAGTAAAGTCTGGATGTATGCCTCCCTGGAGTGAGGGGATGGGGGCAAAGTGAGGGACAGAGGCAAGAGAGGAGTGGGAGGGACATGAGGGAAGAGAGGAGTGGGAGGGACATGAGGCAAGAGAGGCAGATCCGTCAAGACTTCACAGATGATAGGATGGAGAAGTAGGTCTCTCCGGTCAAATCTGGATGTATGCCTCCCTGCGGAAGGGTAGGGGACTTTTGAGACGTCTCAAAAGTCCTCCCTGCGGAAGGGTAGGGGGAGAGAAGCAGGGACGCTAATCTGAGAGGGGGAACACATGTACTCCTAGCATTCATGCAGGCCTCTTTGCCTTTCCAGAATTCAAACCTGGGGGATACTTGGATTTTGCTTTTGAGAATTCTCAAAAGTAAAATTCACGATACTTGGTGTCTCTTCAAACTAGATAAGAAGTCTCAAGATAGCAGGAAAGTTCTGCGGACGGACGTCAGGCCAACGGACGCATGCTCATGCCAACGGACGTCAGGTGATCTTTTTTTTTTTTTTTTTTTTTTGTCATCTCATTACCCATACCTGCATGCAGACCTCGGTTGCACCTCGCTCCCATGCCTCCTTGGCTCGACTGCTGATCTCCTCCAGTGACATGCTGCCATGCCATGCGGGTGCAATGTGAAACGGAATGCGCGTGGCATGACACGATGGCATGACACGATGGCATGACATAGAGGACAGCCGTAGAGGATACTTTTGAGTCGCCTCAAAAGCAACGTGGAATGGAATGTATTGTGGCATGTCGCATCATGGCATGGTGCGATGGCATGGCATGGCATAGAGGACGGAAGAGGACCGAAAGTCAACTTAGAAGAGGACCGAAACAAGATGGCATGGCGTGACGGAATGGCAAGGCAAGGAAGCAATGGGATGCTTTTCTCACAGGTATGGCTGCCCCCTAAGGCTCTCGGCTGATTTCCCCTTGCTGCATCAAACATGCGATGGGAGGAAAGAAGAAGGCAATGCCGGCAAGGCCAAGCTTTTTCCAGGTTTCTAAACTGAAAATCTTCTTATTGTTACTGTAGATATGTCAAGTGAAACGTGTTTTTTCACACTGCTTCTGGTCCAGACATATGCTTGAATGCACACAATTCGACATGGCATCTTGTCATACATGCCTTATGTGGCAGCTTGCTGTATGTACCTGAAGGCGCAGAACTGGCAGGCATAGGTGCACACGTTGGTGTAGTTGATGTTGCGGTTCACCACGTACGACACCTCGTCACCGCTCACCACTGCTCTCAACCCATCTGCAGCGCGCCACACCGCGTAAAAGTCAGTGCCGCGTGCAGAGAAGAGCCGAACTATCTCAGCCTGATGGGGGTTGGGGGTTGAGCGCATTGACGCATGTTAAGTGTCATTCTCAGGCGCATGTTGAGTGTCATTCTGTGGCGCATGTTAAGTGTCATTCTGAGGCGCATGTTAAGTGTCATTCTGAGGCGCATGTTGATTGTCATTCTGAGGCGCATGTTGAGTATTCTGAGGCGCATGTTAAGTGTCATTCTGAGGCGCCTAAAAAATCAAACTCCGCGTGATGGGGGTGTGGTGTTATGAGGTGCAGGAGCGACGGGCATGAGCTGCTGGAAAAAAGGAACGATGCACATCAGCACACTCACCTGACGCACATCAGCACACTCACCTGACGCACATCAGCACACTCACCTGACGCACATCAGCACACTCACCTGACGCACATCAGCACACTCACCTCAGTCAGCGTGAGTCCCTCCAGAGCTCGCTCAAGGATGCGTGCCACATCATCGCTTGCTCGTGCCACGTCACGTATTCGCATAGCCTTGTCACTCGGTCTAATGTCCACGTCATCGCCGGGCACGTGGGCACGGCTCTCTGTCCCGTTGAGCAACCCATCCGTCCCCATCAGCATCCTGTTTGTCCCTGTCAACAACCCATCTGCACCGACGGCTATACATCCTCCTCCGCTGATTTCCCTCAATTCCACTGTTTCTGCTGCTGCTGCTGCTGCTGCTGCTGCTGTTGCTTCTGATTCTCCTCCAGCTGCTGCTCCTACCAGCAAGCCCTCTGCACTGTGTGGCAGGGGCAGCAGCGTTCCAGGAGCCCACTGGTGGCACCTAGCGTAGCCTGAGCTGTCTGAGAGTTGGAGCACGTGCGGAAGAACCGCGGGGTCCTGGTGACAGAGAGGGCATGGAGGGAAGGAGAGGTGGAGATGTAAAGGGCATCGCGCCAGCCACCTGGCGCCCACTGCTGGCACCTGGCGTAGCCTTAACTGTCTGAGTGCTGGAGGATGTGCGGAAGGACCATGGGGTCCTGGAGGCAGGGAGGGAGGAAGGCACAGAGGCAAGCAAGGACAGGGTGGCAGGGGCAGCAGGGTCCCAGGCACCCTCTCCTGGCACCTGGCATAGCCCGAGCTGTCTGAGAGTTGGAGGACGCGGGGAAGGACCATGGGGTCCTGGTGGCAGGGAGGGAGGAAAGGGGACAGGGAGGGCAGGCAGGGACTTGCTGCACCGTGTCGCAGGGGCAGCAGGGTCCCAGGCGCCCACTGCTGGCACCTGGCATAGCCCGAGGCGTCTGAGTGCTGGAGAACGTGGGGAAGGACCGAGGGGTCCTGGTGGCAGGGATGGGGGGAGGCACAGAAGCAAGGACAGGGTGGCAGGGGCAGCAGAGTTCCCGAGCCCACTGCTCGCACCTGGTGTAGCCTGAGCTGTCTGAGATTTGGAGAATGTGAGGAAGGACCGAGGGGTGGGGGAAGAGCGGGAGAGGGAGAGATGAAAAGATGGCACCTGGCGCCCACTGGTGGCACCTGGCGCCCACTCACTGGTGGCACCTGGCGCCCACTGGTGGCACCTGGCGCCCACTGGTGGCACCTGGCGCCCGCTGTCTGAGAGTTGGAGAATGTGTGGAAGGACCGAGGGGTCCTTGTGGCAGGGAAGGAGGGCAGGAAGGAGGGCAGGCAGGGAGGGAAGGGAAGGGGGGTAGGGAGATTGAGAGACGCAAAGGGTGACATGGACTCGCGGCTCCAGAGGAAAACAGCTTGCTGGCACCTGGCGTAGCCACCTGACGTGGTCGTCTGCACTGGGTGGCAGGGGCAGGGCAGCGGCATTCCAGGAGCCCACTGCTGGCACCTGGCGTAGCGTAGCCACCAGACGTGGTCGTCTGCACTGGGTGGCAGGGGCAGCGGCGTTCCAGGGAGACAGGAAGAGAGAATGGGAAACCGAAATGGACTCGTGGCTTGAGAGGTCTTGAGGCGCCACATGAGTGGATGTGGATGCTCTGCTGTGCTTTCCCGCACAGGGTTGTGTGAGAAAAAGAAGTGTTTTGAGACGTCTCAAAACACTTCTTTTGAGGCGCCACAGGAATGGATGTGGATGCTTTCCAGCACAGGGTTGTGTGATAAAAGAAGTGTTTTGAGACGTCTCAAAACACTTCTTTTGAGGCGCCACAGGAATGAATGTGGATGCTTTCCAGCACAGGGTTGTGTGATAAAAAGAAGTGTTTTGAGACGTCTCAAAACACTTCTTTTGAGGCGCCACAGGAATGAATGTGGATGCTTTCCAGCACAGGGTTGTGTGATAAAAAGAAGTGTTTTGAGACGTCTCAAAACACTTCTTTTGAGGCGCCACAGGAATGAATGTGGATGCTTTCCAGCACAGGGTTGTGTGATAAGTGTTTTGAGACGTCTCAAAACACTTCTTTTGAGGCGCCACAGGAATGAATGTGGATGCTTTCCATCACAGGGTTGTGTGATAAAAAGAAGTGTTTTGAGACGTCTCAAAACACTTCTTTTGAGGCGCCACAGGAATGAATGTGGATGCTTTCCAGCACAGGGTTGTGTGCAACTGTGGCAAGGGTATCACGGTGGCAGGGGCAGCAGGGTTGCAGCCACGTGTCACCATTCTCACCAGCCACGTGTCACCATGCTCACCAGCCACGTATCACCACACTCACAAGCCACGTGTCCTGGTTGTGCAGTGACAGAAAGCTGGGGTAGACTGGCAGGCGAGGCACGAGAACCTTTCCAGAAACTGCAGTGGCTGTCGCCAGCTCGTGAATGTGCGGCCAGGGGGCCTGGGGGTGCAGAAAGGCAGGAACGGGAAGAGAGGGGGGGAAGAGAGGGATGCGTGATAAGAAGAGAGTTTTTGAGACGTGAATGTGCGGGGCACGTTCCGAAAACTCGCCTTTATCACGCAGCTCGTGAATGTGCAGCCAGGGGGCCTGGGGGTGCGGAAAGGCGGGAACGGGAAGAGAGGGGGGGAAAGGAGGGAGTGGAATGGGGGAGTGGATGGATGGGGAGAGGATGGATGGGGAGAGGATGGATGGGGAGAGGATGGATGGGGAGAGGATGGATGGGGAGAGGATGGATGGGGAGAGGATGGATGGGGAGAGGATGGATGGGGAGAGGATGGATGGGGAGAGGATGGATGGGGAGAGGATGGATGGGGAGAGGATGGATGGGGAGAGGATGGATGGGGAGAGGATGGATGGGGAGAGGACGGATGGGGAGAGGACGGATGGGGAGAGGACGGATGGGGAGAGGACGGATGGGGAGAGGACGGATGGGGAGAGGACGGATGGGGAGAGGATGGATGGGGAGAGGATGGATGGGGAGAGGATGGATGGGGAGAGGATGGATGGGGAGAGGATGGATGGGGAGAGGATGGATGGGGAGAGGATGGATGGGGAGAGGATGGATGGGGAGAGGATGGATGGGGAGAGGATGGATGGGGAGGATGGATGGGGAGAGGATGGATGGGGAGAGGATGGATGGGGAGAGGATGGATGGGGAGAGGACGGATGGGGAGAGGACGGATGGGGAGAGGATGGATGGGGAGAGGATGGATGGGAAGAGGATGGATGGGAAGAGGATGGATGGGGAGAGGACGGATGGGGAGAGGACGGATGGGGAGAGGATGGATGGGGAGAGGACGGATGGGGAGAGGATGGATGGGGAGAGGATGGATGGGGAGAGGATGGATGGGGAGAGGATGGATGGGGAGAGGATGGATGGGGAGAGGATGGATGGGGAGAGGATGGATGGGGAGAGGATGGATGGGGAGAGGACGGATGGGGAGAGGACGGATGGGGAGAGGACGGATGGGGAGAGGACGGATGGGGAGAGGATGGATGGGGAGAGGACGGATGGGGAGAGGACGGATGGGGAGAGGATGGATGGGGAGAGGATGGATGGGGAGAGGATGGATGGGGAGAGGATGGATGGGGAGAGGATGGATGGGGAGAGGATGGATGGGGAGAGGATGGATGGGGAGAGGATGGATGGGGAGAGGATGGATGGGGAGAGGATGGATGGGGAGAGGATGGATGGGGAGAGGATGGATGGGGAGAGGATGGATGGGGAGAGGATGGATGGGGAGAGGATGGATGGGGGAAACGGGGAGTGTGGAAGGGTGAAGAGGAGTGGACGAGTGAGCAAGAAAAGAGGGATCAGGGTAGGTCGAGGAAGAGAGGTGGTAGATGAAAGATATATGGGAAATGTATGGGACAAATGATGTGCCAACATTGACTTGAGCTTCCTGATACAATTCAAGACTAATGGCGTTGACCTGGTCAACTGCGAGCTTCAGCGCCCTTAGCAACCCTACACTCCAGCGCCTCACCTCAGGGTTGACCCAGTCAACGGTGACTGGTGAGATTCGCCCTCAATTCCTTACCTTGCAGTTGACCCCGGTCAACTGCGGGTGCTTGACCCTACCCTGCTCTCACCTCAGGGTTGACCCAGTCAACGGTGACTGGTGAGACTCCTCCCCAGTCGTTGATCCCCGCTGCTATGAGAGCACCCTGAGCCAGGTCCCCCACACTGCCACAGAACCACAAGGGGGAGGAAGGAGGGCGAATGGATTTAAAGATGAATTCTAACAGAGTCCACACCACACCACACCACTCCACACCACACCACACCACACCACACCACGTCACTGTGCATCTGTGTGCCCATAGCTCTCACCTCAGGTTGGGCGGCGACTGGATGCTCATATGAGCGCCAAACACGATCCTCGCCATCGCCACACTCCACAGCAACTCCTCCACCTCTGCATGGCCCCACCCCCCCATCCTCGTCTGCCCCTTGGCTCTGAACGGCTGGATAATAATCTCCTGTATGTGCCCGTAGCGGGAGTGCAGGTCCCGTAGAGTTAGTAGGTCCCTTAGTCTGTCGGCCTTTGTCTCGCCTATTCCGACAAGGAGACCACTTGTAAAGGGTATGCAAGCTGCACCTGGAGAGACAGGGTTTGAGGGGAATGAGAGGGAAGGGAGTGAGGGGGAAGGGAGAGCACAGTGAAAGGGGAATGAGAGACGCTTATCCTGCCTGTAATCTGCTGCGGCGCACCCTGCACCTTTCACTCGGACCTCTTTTGAGACGTCTCAAAAGGCCTCTTTTGAGACCTCTTTTTTGGGCTTTTCACTCGGACCTCTTTTTTTTTCTCGGCCCTTTTTGCCCAAAAAGCTCACCAGCAGCCTTGATCGTTGCCAACGTGATGCTCGGTTCCTTATCCGAACACCCCCAGTGCGCCCCACCGGGTTTCACCAGCCCCTCACCACCCCAATGCCCTCCTGCCTGCACCTCACCTCACCTCACCCTCTTCTGAGCACCCTCTTACCCAGTCAACTCACCAGCAGCCTCAATTGTCGCCAGCCTCACGCTCGGCTCCTTATCTGGACATCCCCAGTGCACCCCACCGGGCTTCATCAGCGCCACGGCAATCCAATGCTCTCATGCCTGCCTGCACCTCACCTCACCCTCTGTTGCCCACCCTTTAACTCCATCAGCTCACCAGCAGCTTCAATCGTTCCCAGCCTCACGCTCGGCTCCTTATCTGGACATCCCCAGTGGGCCCCACCGGGCTTCATCAGCGCCTCTGCCGTGCTCTCCAGCATCAGCCCCTGGCTGGCCGCCACGTGGCGCAAAAGGACAAGGTCTGCCGCCCCCATGGTGCCCGCGTTGATGTGTGGAATGAGACCTGTGCACTGTAGCACTCTGGCTGCTAAATGGGCGACGTAGTGTATGGTAGAGGCGAATCCCAGCTCCTGCAGCTGGAATGGGAAGGGAATAGGGGGTAATGGGAGAAGAAGCATCCACTAACCTTTCTCCTTGCCTTTTCATATCTGAGCTCTGGTTTATCACCCAGTGTAAACAGATGCTCACAAACCAGCTGCAGTTTGTGGCACCTCAAAAGATGAAAATATTCTCTGACCTCTTTCCTCACCTCCTCGTATCTGAGCTCAGGTATCATACAGAGAAAAACAGAGCCTTCACACACCCAACCACCGTGAAATCTGAAATCTGAAGAATCTACTGACCTCTTTCCTCGCCTCCTCGTATCTGAGCTCTGGTTTATCACCCAGAGTGAACAGAGCCTCCACACACCCAACCGCAGCTCCGGCCCAAGCCACTTCCAGCACCTCAGCTTCGGTCATGTATGCGCGCCGAACCTGATCCGGAGGCTTGGCAAAGGTGCAGTAGGCGCATGTGTCTCTGCAGAGAAATGTGACTGGAATGAAGACCTTGGGCGAGAATGTGACTATATGGGGGTCCTCTCGCTGGTCGCGAATTGTTCCGGCTGCTGAAACGAGCGTTCCAAGTGGGAGGGAGGAGATGAAACGGGCCTCTGCTGCTGTGGGGAGGTCAGAGAGGGAGGCATCTGTGGCAGCGGAAGTGGTACTGATTTTGATACTGGATTTGATCCTGCCTTTAAGGTTGGAATTGGATTTGATACTGGAGGAGGTAGCAGCGGTGGTCGCAGCCGTGACACCAATTCCGTCGTCTGGTATTCTCCTATCCCCTTGTGTGCTATTTCCTTTCACCTGCCCAGATTCTCGCATTTTCTTCCCCTTCTGAGCTCGCGCGACTATGTCGCACAGCACTTTGAGTCGTTCATCTTCGACTGCTGGATTCGTCGCTTCCTGGTCATCTGGCACACGTGGCATGTCAATCGAACGGTCAGGATCATGCGAATTCAGCCTGCTAGCGTGTGAGCCTCTCGCCTGATTCGAACTCACGAATGCCTGCTTGCGAGATGGGCTAATCGGAAATGGTACAGAGACAAGCTGATGTGTAAGGCGGAGTGCGAATGGCTGTCTACTCAGCGGAATTCGCGGTTCATGACATGTCAGTCCAAGGACATTGCGAGGCATTACGACCTTCTTCGAAAGAAATCGAGTAGGAGGAGCCGCAGAAATGGTCTCCATTCTGTACCGGGCCGGCAATTAGTAGGGACGGACTGGCTATTAGTACGGTCGGGTCAGCTATTAATTTGGTCGGGTCAGCAATTAGTCTGACCGGGTCAGCAAAAAATCAGACGATTACTACTGGTCACCAGAGCCTCAAAATAGCGTCCCTGATAACACGAAATTAGAACCAGGAATGTGAGGAACTCAGTAGTACGTGTAATTGTAAGGAATTGTCAGATCGTATTAATAATCTCCATCAGACTCAGGGAAGTGTCAGGGACACAGCAAGTGATCCCTCACGGACATGGCAAGAGATCCCTCAGGAACATGGCAAGGGATCCCTGTATCTGCTGCTGAATTGAAGAACGGAAGAACGCAACAACAGGGGAGAGGAAGAACACAAGAACAGAAGAAAGAAGAATGGACAATCCCTCCCTGCTTCTCTGTGCTTGGACAGAATTCGCCCACGTTCTTGCTGTCGCAGTGAGACACGCACATCAGTTTCGCGAGACTTTTTGCGAAGAGTTTCTGCGTAATGACTCGTTGCAATTTTCCTGATGCTGTCGCAAAAAGCGAGTTCTAGTTACAGAGACTACTCTGATCGCAAATGTTTCGTGTCTATCTAGCCGATTCGCCAAGCTCGCCTGCAAATCAACCTCGAGGTTGTCTGGGCTTTCCCCCTTTCTTGCTGTCTTCGTCCATTGCCACCTCATGCTGACGTGTCAACTACCAGCAGCACTATAATTTCTTCGTACTTATTCCTCGTTCTTCAGCGGAGCAGCGAGCGAGCCTTCTCTAAGGAGTTTTGTTACTAGCCTCGTGCATTTTTCCGCTTCATTCTTGCGAGCACCGCACGAGAATGGTCGCCTTTCCGGCTCTTTATCTTCCTTCACCGGCATCTTACATTACCTGAAGCTAGTAGCTATCAGCATATTTTCCTTCAGAGTTTCTAGCTTCCCAGCCGATAAGATCGCTATCTGGTTGAGTGAATCCGATCGAACGTTCTGCGGATTGACCGTTCTGGGGGTCGACCGTTAGGAGAGTTGTCCAGCGCTTCAAGACCGCCTGGAGCGTTGCTGTGGTGTGGGGAGAGCAGCGATTTGCAGCGATGCCTCGTTTCAAGACCGCGTTTAATGGATACTCGGTAGGCAATATGAAGATCCATGTTCTCCATTTTAGCCTGGATAAACGAAAGAAAAAAAACGCCTGAGATGCGGTGCGAGGATGATAACAGACGAGCTAATCAACAAGCGGCTTCAGTCCTCCGTCATATCTCGTTGCTTTCACTCCCTAATGAGACGTTTCAAACTCGCTCCACTCCTCCCCACCCCCCGCCTCTTTCACCTTCCGCCGTTTCTCCTATGGTACTTAGGCTAGCTGCTTGTGCCTGTCTCTCCCTGTGGTTGTCGACTCGCTCCTCCAGACTCCCGCGGCTTTCACTTTGTGCTTCCTCCATTTTCTCACTTTGTGCTCCTTTGTCTCCCATGCCCGCTTTTGCCCGAGTCCTCCTTACATGTCCCAAGTCTCCGCTCCTCTTATCCACTTTCGTGCTTGCTCCATTCCCCTCTGTCTGGCTGCAGGCTCGCTTCAGCCCGTTTGTGGAGAATCGGCTGGCTGTCGCGACGGCACAGAACTTTGGCATCATTGGCAATGGCCGTTTGCACGTACTCGAGGTACCGCACTGCACCGCACTCAACCTTGGTGTCGTTGTTGGCACCACATTACTTCGCCAAATGCCAAAAATTTGTCATTGTGTCTAATCTCTTTGGAAGACGTGGTAAATCAGCCTCCAACCCCGCCCCTCTCTTCAAACCCCCCCCCCCCCCCCCCCCCCCCCCCCCCCACCCCCCACCCCACCTCTCCGTTCCCTCTCTTTTCTGTTTTTCATCGTTCATTATCGATGCTTCAGCTGTCCCCAGGAGGCGGGTTGGTGGAGGTGATGGCGTATGACACGGCGGATGGGCTGTACGACTGCTGCTGGAGTGAGGTGAGGCGTAGTGCGGTACAGTGCGGTGCGGTGCTGTTGTTTGCTTTGCACGCTGCAGTAGGTTCGGGTGAGATGAGACCAGGTGAGACGCAGCAGAGGCACAATAGCATGACGGATTACGCGAATCTGATCTGATCTGATCTGATCTGATCTGATCTGATCTGATGTGGGAAGATCTCCTCATTGATCGTCTTTGCATGTTCAACAGCCACTGTTTGACCCTGGCTCATTTCATCTGATCCATCCAGCCCAATTTCTCCACCCCATTCCCTCCGCCCCTTCTCGTTCGTTCACCCAATGGCTTCAGGCGAATGAGAATCTTCTTGTGTCTCCCAGTGGCGATGGCAGTGTCAAGGTGCGTGCCTCTGCTTGCTGCACCCTCCCTACCTACTTCGTCCTTCCCTTAAAGGTTCTGCTAATGACTGTAGTTCACGCTTCGTACCTTTTGGGTCGACTTAATTTCCACCTTGAGAATCTTCTTGTGTCTGCCAGTGGCGATGGCAGTGTCAAGGTGCGCGCCTCTGCTCGCCACACCACGCCTTTGCTGCTTTGCTTCCTTGCTGTTTTACTCCTGTGTTGAGCTCTAAGTGTGCTCTCACCTTCTCTTGAAATGGGCCTTGACTTCCTCTGCGAGCAAATCCTGATCACACTGATAAATCCTCTCATCTTTCTTTCGCATTTCCCTCTGGCATTCCCTTCCGCGTGCTTCTCTCCTCTCGTCTTGTGCAGATATGGGACTTGGCTCTCCCCCCCGCCAGAAACCCCATCCGCAGATTTGAAGAGCACATTCGAGAAGTGTGTGTATCCCCTGCCCTCTTCAGTGTATTTGTTCTGATTCACTGCATTTGTATCCTCCCCCCCCACCTTGTGCAGATATGGGACTTGGCTCTCCCCCCCGCCAGAAACCCCATCCGCAGATTTGAAGAGCACATTCGAGAAGTGTGTGTATCCCCTGCCCTCTTCAGTGTATTTGTTCTGATTCACTGCATTTGTATCCTCCCCCCCCACCTTGTGCAGATATGGGACTTGGCTCTCCCTCCCGCCAGCAACCCCATCCGCAGCTTTGAAGAGCACATTCGAGAAGTGTGTGTATCCCCTGCCCTCTTCTGCCCTCTCCTGCCCTCTCCTGCCCTCTAATGCCCTCTCCTGCCCTCTTCTGCCCTCTCCTGCCCTCTTCTGCCCTCTCCTGCCCTCTCCTGCCCTCTTCAGTTATTCATGCTGATCCGCTGCCCGTTTGAGTGTGCACATTCCGCTTTGCTGCCCTCTTGAGTCTTCTTCCTGCATGCTACCCACCATTCCTTGCCTAGTGACCTCGTTTCGGTCTTCCACGCCCTCCCCATCTCACCTCTCTCCCCATCTCACCTCCTTTCCCCCGTTCCCTTTTTCTTCCAGCCAATCAGTGGACTGGAACGTTGTGCGCCGTGACTCCTTCCTCTCATCATCCTGGGATGACACAATTAAGGTGTGACACAATCGAATGATAGTGATCGCATGGATGGTAGGACCAGGTATGGTAACTGCAATGGGGATGAAACGTACGAGGTAATTCGTCCAGGTGCAATGCACCAGTCCCCACACTAAGTCTTCGAAACTTCATGCATCAGTCCCATCCCATCCATCCACTGCAGAGTGTTCATTTTTGAGGCGCCTTAAAATTCAACTCAGGTGCAATGCACCAGTCCCCACACTAAGTCTTTGAAGTTTCAAAGACTGAATCAGTCCCATCCACCCACTGCAGAGAAGCGGAGTTTATCTTAGTCTGGTCTCAGTCTGGTCTCAGTCTGGCCCGTCGCACAGGCTATTATCTTTCTCTCCTCATTTTTCCTATTAACCCTGAGCGCTGGACTCGTTTGGCTCAACTCAAAAGGCCTGCCCTGCTTCTTCACCCATGTGTTGCGCTCATGCTTCCCACTTCCAGCTGTGGGCGTTGGAGTCAGGGCAGTCTCTGAGGACGTTCAGGGAGCACACATACTGCGTCTACTCGGCAGTCTGGTACGGGACATGTCCTGAAATTTATCCTCAATACTTTTGAAACGTATTTTGACACATATGAAGTCTAAAAAATCCATAGGAGCTGTGCTGAGCGCATTTAATGCGCAGTATGGTGAGCCGCGGTCAGTGCTCATCCTTCCAGCCCATCACATGGAATGGAAGGCCTCTCTTTGACTCATCCGTCCATGTGATGTGACCCCATCCCTTTGTCCACTCTGCCCCTTCCTTTCGTAACCCCTTCTCCCTTCGTCCATTCCCCAACCCCTCAGGAACCCAGCTCATCCTGATGTTTTTGCATCAGCATCTGGCGATTGCACTCTCCGCGTCTGGGACCTGCGTGAGCCGCGGTCCGTGCTTATCCTCCCAGCCCACGATATGGAAATCCTCTCCTGCGATTGGAACAAATATGGCGGCGGGTCACTCATCGCCACAGCTTCGGTCGACCGAACCATCTGCATGTGGGACATCCGAGCGCCCCGGCCCGGGCCTGGCCGTCCCGAGCCTCTGGCTCGGTTGCAAGGGCACGCGTACGCGGTTCGGCGTGTGCGGTGCTCGCCGTTCCACGAGCCGCTGCTTGCCTCGGCGTCGTATGACATGACAGTGTGCTCGTGGGATTTTAGAGCTCCGGAAGATGCGCTTTTAGGGAAGTTGGATCATCATACGGAGTTTGCGGTGGGGTTGGATTGGAGCCCGTTGGTTGAAGGGCTTATGGTGTCGTGTGGATGGGATGAGATGGTGTATGTCTGGCAACACGGGATGGATCCCAGGCTTGGCTAGCAGGCTGTAGGTCTCAATGGTGTTTGGAATATGGAGGGTTGGGTTTATATAGGACTACAAGGATGTAGGTATTTTTCTTTTATGGTGCCCTTCAAATGTTAAATCGTCTACTGATTAGCATTTTGGCTTGTAGCGCGGTTGCGATGCGTATGGTTGGTGACAGCCTCATCGTGGGGCTCACTGTTTGTCACGTGGCGCCAAATCCCCATCGACTTGGAGATCCCATACCAGCCTCTATATTTACATGCCGAACCTCGTCCAGAGCCCCAGGTGGCCTTTCATTTCTCCCAAGCCTCTTAGGTTCGAAACTTACGGTAGGGACGGACTAATCTCAAGGACAAGTGAAGTGAAGTTTTCTGTTGAAGGTGGTTAGAAATCATCCCTGGGTACCTCCCAAGAGATTACCAAGTTAACTGCTCGGGAGAGTCTCCTTTCGGGTGGTTCTAGGTTATCTTGAACTCGCCGTTTTGGGTCTAGAACTCACGTCGCCGAGTCATAATCACGAATTTGATACCCGCTCTCACTTCGAGTCATCACACCCGATCTTAGTCGTGAGTACCAGTTTAAATTTGTTGGAAAAACCAGCCTGATCGAATTTGTCAAATGAGCCCTCGACTGCATCAGAATCGTGTCTGAAGGATTATACGGACAAAATCGGATCAAATCAGATCGATTAGGTCGAAACGATGCATACGGATCGGCTTCGCCTTTCGCAGTCAAGTGCGCCGTCGAATGCGCCGTCATGTGCGGCAGATACGATCCATCTGCACTCGCCGGCTCTTCCTCCTGAAAGCAGAAAGCCAGACGCCTTTTCCTCGCCTCCACAGCCGAGTGTAACTGGTTACCACAGTTACCAGAATTGTCAAGGCGATTGCCATTCTACAGTAATTGACCGCCTATCAACATCCTCACGGTCTCCTTCAATCCATCCATCCACGCGGCAAAATCTGGGACTGTATGGGCCAGTGCGGCATGCAATAGCGCGGATACACTCTCACGTCCATTCACCTTCCACAGACACAATCGGACGGCTGCAACTGCTCCATACATCCCCAGATACGATCGGACGGCTACAGCTGAGCGTCATGTGCCTCCGAAACACCACTAGCGGCGAAACGACGGAAACCCTAGTATCGGATACAGCAGCAACTGCGGCAAGCGCACGAGCGCAAGCGTCGTCGGCTGGCCCGGCGGGGGCGCCGGTGCCGGCGGCGCAAGCGGCGCAGGCTACGCAGGCGGCGCAGCAGCTGGCGCGGTGGCGGCAGCAGCAGGGCGCGAGCTGGCAGTCGTTCGCGCTCGATCTCGCCGTGGGCGGCGCGCTAGGCGGCGTGTCGCACACGATCGTGGCGCCGATCGAGCGCGTGAAGCTGCTGCTGCAGACGCAGGACAGCAACGCCGCGATCCTCGCGGGGCAGCACCGGCGGTACCGCGGGTTCGTGGACGCGGTCACGACGATCGTGAAGGAGGAGGGCTTCTGGGCGCTGTGGCGAGGGAACGGCACGAGCGTTATGCGCTATTACCCGTCACTTGCTCTCAACTTCGCGTTCAAGGTCAGTTGTGAGGGTCAGAGAGTCAGAGGGTCAGAGTCGCAGAGAGTCAGTTGTGTGGGTCAGAGGGTCAGAGGGTCAGAGAGCGAGAGTCTCAGTTCGTGGACGCCGTCACGACGATCGTGAAGGAGGAGGGCTTCCGGGCGCTGTGGCGAGGGAACGGCACGAGCGTTATGCGCTACTACCCGTCTCTTGCGCTCAACTTCGCATTCAAGGTCTGTCCATGAAAGGTCTCTTACTACCCGCAAGGTCTCTCGAATACGAAGTTGAGCGCAAGGTATGTCCATGGACGCATTCATGAAAGGTCTCTGCGGTCAGTGCGGTCTGCGAGGCGTGAAGTGTGAGGCCCCGACGGCCCGTCGCTCTGCCCCAAAACCCCCACGCTCTGCCCCAAACCCCCCATCCTCCCGCTTGCGTCTCCCCCATCCCTTCTCCGTTCCCCCCTTCCCACCTTTGTCCCTCCCCCCCCCCCCCCCCCTCCTCCCGCGTGCAGGACTACTATCGCGTTCTCTTCGCCCCGTCTCACCTACTTGCCGAACCTTCCGCCACGCGAATCGCAGCAGGAAACTTCCTGGCAGGCGCCGCAGCAGGAGCGACGAGCCTCCTAGTCACGTACCCTTTAGATGTCGCGCACACGCGCCTAGCCACCGATATAGGCACGCGCCGGCAGTTTGCAGGCATGCGATCCGTTATAGTGTCACTCTGGCGGGCGGAGGGGATCCGAGGCTTATATCGCGGATTTCCTGCGTCTGTACATGGGATCATCGTGCATAGGAGTTTGTACTTTGGCGGGTTCGATAGTGCCAAGCAGCTGCTGTTGAAGGGCCACGGAGGAGGAGGGGGAGGGGGAGGAGGAGGGGGAAGAGGGGGAGAGGGGGGAGGTACGAACGGGGAAAGGAACGCTGTGGCGATGAAAGGAGAGAAGGGGAGGGCTGAAGAGGAGGATGGGGTGGGGAACGGGGATGGATTGGGGTTGGGACGTGGGCGTGGGCGTGGGCATGGGCATGGGCATGGGCATGAGCATGGGCATGGGCATGGGCATGGGGATGAGGGCACAGACGGTTTGGGGCATGCACCGTTCTGGTTGAGGTGGATGCTGGCACAGGCAGCAACGACCACGGCTAGTGTGGTGTCTTACCCGTTTGACACTGTACGACACCGCATGATGATGCAAGCTGGGCTGGCTAAGCCCAGGAGGGGGGAAGCAGGGCGGGCAGGGCCGGCAGGGGTAGGAGAAGTGGCAGCAGCAGGAGCAGCAAGGGGAACAGGAACGGTGTTTAGTGCAGTGGGGTCGGGAGGAGCGGCAGCAGGGATGGGATTAGCTGCAGTCGTTGCAGGAGCAGAAGCAACGGGTGGTGTGAATCCTGTCAATCCTGCTGTTGCCACACCCAACGTGCGAGTGTCGGGGCCAGCACCCTGCCCTCTGAGCCACTCGTTTGACAACCACCAGCTAGAGCACGTGCAGCCTCAAAGCCAAACACTCAGCCAACTAGGTCAACAGAGTCAACTGAGTCAAGCAGGTCAACAGGGTCAGACGAGACAACTGAGTCAGCCTGGTCAACCAGGTCGAGCAGGTCAACCCAGTCAACCGGGTCAATCACAGGGCAAGGCTCAGCAGCACCAGCAACCTCAGCAGCAACACCAGCAACAGCAGCATCAACAACAGCAAGCAGGACGGAAGATAGTGGTGTTCAAGAGCACGTGGGCGTGCTGGAAGCACGTGTATCGGCAGGAGGGAGTGCTGGGGTTCTACAAAGGCCTCTTCAGCAATATCCTCCGAGGCACTGGGGCGGCATTCATTCTCGTCATGTACGACGAGGTTCGGCAGTTTGTGCACGGGGATGAGGCACTGTAATGGAGGGGATCGAAAGGAAGCATCTGTGATCAGCGTAACCACATTGCGGCTATCTCACATGGGTGGTGGTACTGTAACCACTTCGGTGTGGTAACCTTGTAGTGGTGGTAATGGCCAGGTATTCAGAGCAGCAACAGCAACCACAGCAGCAGCAATTGCAGGAGAGTCAGCAGCATATGCATCAGCTTGAGCTGTAAGAGCAGAGCAGAAATCTAGAGCCCTGGGCATGGTGATAGGATCGATAAGTGGAATGATAGGATATGTTTTTGTTGCCGAGATTCTCGCAGTTTTTGTGTGCATTCATATGTTATTTGATCAGCCATACCAGCTGTGCGCTCACATTGTTCCATTGCAGAGCACCCTCAGTGTTCCTGGGCAAGGACCCTTCACACTGGCCCCCATGGAACCCGTGTCTTGTCTACACATGGCACTACGCATTCAAGCTGCTCAGGAAAGGATCTCTTCTCCCCTCGTGCTCTCTGCCCTGCTCTCCTCAAGACAATTGCCCTCGATTCTCTTTTCAAGCACTGCTTGTAATTTCAGGGGCGGTGGGATCCTCAGCACCACAGCAATCGTAGAAGCGAGCTGGGTACTCAGGATCGCCGTCCTTCAGCTCATAGTACCTGTGGGTGTTGAGGGAAGGAAGGGATAAGGGGGGGGTGGGTTGTGGCACTATGACGGCATTCGTAGAAGCGAGCTAGATACTCCGGATCGCCGTCCTTCAGCTCGTAGTAACTGTGGGTGTTGAGGGAAGGAAAGGATAAGGGGGGGTGGGTTGTGGCACTATGACGGCATTCGTAGAAGCGAGCTAGATACTCCGGATCGCTGTCCTTCAGCTCGTAGTAACTGTGGGTGTTGAGGGAAGGAAAGGATAAGGGGGGGTGGGTTGTGGCACTATGACGGCATTCGTAGAAGCAAGCTAGATACTCCGGATCGCCGTCCTTCAGCTCGTAGTAACTGTGGGTGTTGAGGGAAGGAAAGGAGAAGGGGGGGTGGGTTGTGGCACTATGACGGCATTCGTAGAAGCGAGCTAGATACTCCGGATCGCCGTCCTTCAGCTCGTAGTAACTGTGGGTGTTGAGGGAAGGAAAGGATAAGGGGGGGGTGGGTTGTGGCACTATGACGGCATTCGTAGAAGCGAGCTAGATACTCCGGATCGACGTCCTTCAGCTCGTAGTAACTGTGGGTGTTGAGGGAAGGAAAGGATAAGGGGGGGTGGGTTGTGGCACTATGACAGCATTCGTAGAAGCAAGCTAGATACTCCGGATCGCCGTCCTTCAGCTCGTAGTATCTGTGGGCATTGAGAGAAATGGGATAAGGGGGTTGTGGCACTATGACAGCCAACATAGAAGCTACATACTCCGGATCACCGTCCTTCAGCTCATAGTGTCTGTGGGCGTCGAGAGAAAGAAAGGGATGGGGTTGTGGCACTACGACAGCAATCATAGAAGCGGGCCTGATACTCAAAATCGCCATCCTTCAGCCCATAGTATCTGTGGGTGTTGGATGGCGGATGAGGAGTGGGGAGTAGGGGCGAGGACACATGGCGGGGGGGATGCATGGCAGGGGAACACATGTGGGGGGAACACATGACAACAAATGTAGCTAGCCGGATGCTCAGGATCACCGTCCTTCAGCTCATAATACCTGTGGGGAGAGAATGAGGGCGGGGAAAACATATGGGGTGGAACCAGCACGCCTCTTGGCCGTTCATGAACAATAAGCAATAGCCGTCCGCCACCCTCCTCACCTCAGCCCCTTCATAACACTTCCACTAGACACTCACCTCTTCTGGTGAACTTTCTTGCGGCTCACAAACATCTTGGGGTGACACCAGCATTGGCTGTTCAAGAACAGTGCCCCTTTTCATTCTCACTTTCCACCACCACACCCCTGCCCACACCCCTGTGTTGCACTTCCAATCCGCACGCACCTCTTTTGGTCGTCGTGCTTGCGGCTCACAAACATCTTGGGGTGAAACCGACAGGCCTCTTGGCTGTTCTCTTCCCGTCTGAAGAGTGTTCTGCAGCGCCTACACACCGACTCCTGGGTGGCCGCCATTCTGAACGAGAAGGGTTAAGAGCGGTCGAAAAGGCGTGGAGAGGGGTGAGAAGGGGTGGAACGAGTGACGGGAAGGTGTGATCCCCATGTGAGGAAACTCAAGCAGGATAGACGAAACTGGCAATAGTAGCTCGTCAAACCGTGTTCATAATCTGCCGAAATCTTCTTCCTATGTGTTGCTCGACGGTGTTTTTTTGTTTTGTTTCTAAACTACTCGCTGTCTTGTACCATTCAGCCGAAACTACCGCGGACGCGGAAACGCGGAAGTGGGCTTCGAAACGCGTGCTAACGAAGATAACGCGCAGATGTTAACACCAGGTGGAAAGGCTGGAGAAGACTCGATTGCGAATGGAAAATACGTAAAGCCGGCGATAAAAATAAGGACCAGTAGCGCGCACAAAGGTGAAGCCGTCGCGTACGAGTTCAAGGAATACGAGACGAGACTCTTGCAGGCACAAAACGCGGGGTTCCCGAGTACAAAATGTGGGATTCCCAAGCATGCGGGATTTTCAAGAATCTGGAACTCCAAACGCAGAAAAGAGGAACTTTGTTCGCTTTGTGCGGTCAATCAAGTTGCGTCCTGGTGCAAAACGGTGAGGATCAATGACCGCTCTCCACCGTGTGGAAACGTTCCAAGAACCGTGCAAACGAGTGACAGCCCTGGCCTGGCTGCACAGCGCTGTCCCCTTGGAGTGTTCGTGCACGAATATGCAGGCTGGTGACTAACAAGCGGTTCATAGTGGCGAAACGAGAGAGCCTGGCTGTTCGAACTTATGGTATCAAATTTATGCTCTTGTACTGAGGAGAAAGTGAACTCCTGAAGGCATGTTAAGAGAACCTGACAAGACACCTCATTGCCGCCTCCAATCACCTTGCCTGTACCATATGTACATTTCTTACACAAAGAGAAGACTAGGAAGGATAGTGCAGGCATAAGCCGGAACACAAGGTTGAGTGTAGAAGGAACAGATTACATTGACAGGTACAAACAAGAATGACCAGATTCAACACAAGCACAATCAAAGCAAAGAACCATACACAAGCAGAGCAGATTATGGACCAAGTGTGCCATTAGGAACAATTTTCTTCCTGTCACTAAGCTCTCTGGCTGTGAGCAGCAGGAGCAGCTGAATGCACAGGGGTGGGTTAACGCCAATAACCTGACAGACGGTACATAAAGAGGTTGCGAAGGGGTTGGGGTAAAGGAGGTGAAAGAGGAAAGGCCGGTCAAACAGTTTGGGACATAGGAGGACATAGGGACACGGCGGAATTACTGAAGCGGGTGGAACGAGGGACAGGCCACCCGACACCTGTACAACAGCAGGTGGGGACGAGAGGTGAGCATGATAAGACGACAGGGATGGGGCAAGGCGAGTGCCTGACAGGACGGACATGAACGGTTAGAAACGGGGTGGGTTGAGGAGGGGGGTAGAGTGGCCAAGGCCGCTCAAGCAGTTTGGGACAAGGGAGGAGGGGAAAGGATGAGATTACTGAAACGGATAGGGATGAGGGGACAGGCCAATCAAACACAGAAATGAAGTGGGCGAGGGTGATGAGGAGACAGGGATGGGCCAATGCCTGACAGAAGGGACATGACGAGGTTGCCAACGGGGTGGGTGGAGGTGGGGTCCGGGGGAGGTTAGGGAGGGGGTGACTCCTCTGGTCGTGAGCAACAAGAGGGTTGGGAATATGAGGGGAGCGGGAATGGACAGTGCAAAGCCGTTAAAAGGAAGGGAGACAACGGGAATACGAGAGGAGCGGAAGAAAGGAAGTTAAGTGAAATCGGGGAGCAGAACTGCTTTTGAGTCGACTCAAAAGCAGAGCAGGAGGAGAGATATGGGAGAGGGAGAAGAAGATGTGAGTGGGGAACGTGGTATGGGAGTAGAAGAATGAGATTAGCGAGGGGAGGTGAGATGAGGGGAAGTGAGAGATGGGATGGGAGAAGTGAAGAGGAGTGGGGAAACTGAGAGGGAAGACAACCGGGGAGGGACGAGGGGAGCTGCGGGAAGACCCTAGCTGAGGTATGTTAGTGAAAAAAAGGTTAACGTAAATGCATAGGGAACTCGTAAGTTGGGATGAGAGATGATGATGGGGAATGAGGAGAGGAGTGAGGAGCGGGGAGGGACGGGAACGAGAGGTGGCAGGGGGGGGGGGGGAGAGGACGGGGAGGGAATGAAGGGGGGGGGGGGTTTGCGGGAGTGGGGAAATGAGGGGTGAGCGACGGGAGGAAATGAGGGATGAGCGACGGGGGAATGAGGGCAAAAGGGGGAAATGGGGGATGAGCGACGGGGGAATGAGGGCAAAAGGGGGAAATGAGGGATGAGCGACGGGGGGAAATGAGGGATGCGCGACAGGGGGGAGATAAGGGATGAGCGACGGGGGGAAATGAGGGATGCGCGACAGGGGGGAGATAAGGGATGAGCGAAGGGGAAATATGCGGGTGAGCGAAAGGCGGAAATGAGGGGTGAGAGAGGGGGGAAAAGGAGGTGTGAGCGAAGGAGGAAAATGAGGGATGAGCGACGAAGGTAAATGAGGGATGAGCGGCAGGGCGAAATGAGGGGTGAGCGACGGGGGGAAGTAAGGGCTGAGCGACAGGGACATGAGGGTGAGCGACGGGGAGTGTGAAGTAAGCGAGGGGGATGCGGATTGAGCGAGAAGGAAATGCGAACTAAGTAATAAGGGAATGCAGGGGGAGCATATGGCGAATGAGGGAGATGACTGGATAGCGAGATGTGGGGATGCGCGGTGATCGCAGGAGGAATTACGGGTGGGCGCAATGGGGATGAGGGATGATTAGGGGGGATAAGGGATGAGCGGGGGGCAAGACGGAGTGTGGGGGCCAGTTATACTTATCAGCCCGCTCCGAAACCCTAGCTGCCCTGCAATGGCGAAAGTAGAAACAGTCGGCAAAAGGGGAAGAGCGGGAAACGGGGTGAGGGGAAAGAGGGGAAGAGGGGGAAACGGGAGGAACGATGTCCAATCTTGCAGTCGTGCTCCTCTGCGTAGAGACACCACGAGTGCGCGCCACCAGCGCGCATCATTAGAGACAGCGCGCGTCAAGGAAACATAGCGATGCGCGCGCTGTAGATTGCGGTACGAAATTAACTCCCAGAAGTATATTGTGACCACCCAACGAGTGCGCAGTCCGTCAAGATTGGCGCTGCTCCGCGAAGACTTGGTTGCACGAAATCGACAAAGTAATTATGGCGATCTTCCGAAATAAAGGTAAGCAGCATCTGGCAGATCGACACGGCACCTCGCTAAGGCGCAAACTACAACAAAGGTTGCGGGACTAAGAACTAGCTAACTGAGATCGGGCGAAAGGCGATACAGAGATGGGAGAGAAACTGGTGAACAGATCTGAAATGCAATGGCTAATTGACGTACACAGATCTGAGCTGGTGGTGGTATACCACCGAAACACCATCCTCCCTTCCCCACCTGACCCCTTGAAATTCCCTTTCCCATAAAATTTTCGTCTCCCTCCCTTCTCATCTCGGTTTTTTATTGGTTCTCGGAAATTTTTTCATCCCAACCCCTTCCTTGCACCTGCCCAGAACTTGATTTTACACCAGCAAAACTTCTTGCAGCCAATAGACACTCTTATTCTCATGCCGTCCCGCACCTCACGCAAAAATTCTAACCTAGAACCTCTTCACCAGTAGCACACTCCCAATTCGATCAAACATTTGAATTATAATTAAAAAACCACTCAAAAGTGTTATTCACCGATCCGCAAACCATACGCAGCACATTCAAGCAGACACAGATACAACCGAGGATGACCGCGTGCAGGCCTTCCCTGCCACCACTACGGTACTCTGACTCTTCTGGAGTCAAAACTAAATTTTGGCGGATTCAGCCATAATCAGGGATTGGCGCACTGCTGCCTTCCCTCCCTGGCACCACTGTTCTGACTCTTCTCAGTCAACTGGTCAACCTTCCCTCCCTGCCACCCTTCACTATTCTGACTCGTCTGGACCTGAGTCAAACCAAAAATTGGCGCTTCTTGATTGTCATCAACTTTGTCATTCCTGCCAAGAGATTTCGAACCACGAGATTCGGCCATCGATTCTAGACTTCGGTGCACGTTGCCGCTCACAGCTTCATATTCAGTTGTGTTGTGAGCTTCATTCTCACAAGACTCGAAGACTTGAGCGCCACTCTACGGCTCAAGGAGCACAACAGGAGTCTCATCCCGAGGTGTTTCCATCGTGCCTTTCAGGAGGGAAAGAACGCGCGCGCGAGAAGACCATGGAGGCGGTTTCAGATTGTGCGTTTCAGGCACACAAGGTCAAGCTCGAGAAGTGCCTGTCGAGGTGTTTCCATCGTGCCTTTCAGGCACGCAAGAACGCGCGCGCGAGAAGACCATGGAGGCGTTTTCAAGTTGTGCGTTTCAGGCACACAAGATCAAGCTCGAGGAGTGCCTGCCGAGGAGTTTCCCTTGTGCCTTTCAGGCATTCAAGAACGAGCGCTCGTGAAGACCAGAAGAGGCGCTTTCCACTTGTGCGTTTCAGGTCACAAGGAGCCGCGGAGGATTCGATCACTTTCCTATCTCCTCTTTTACTTCTCCTCCCTCCGCAGATTACGGGAGGAGCAGCACCACGGTCAAAGGTAATAACGGTGAGCTCTATTCCTCCTTTGCTTTCAGCTTTTTTTTGTTGTTTCGAACTTTGTTGTTGTTCCTTTTTTTTTTTAACTAACTTCTCCTTTGGTTTCTTCCTCTGCGCTGCAGGTTTAGCATGGAGCCGCGGCGGGAGTTATCACCCTCCCTTTCTCCTCTGTTTCTTCTCCTCCCCCCTAAGATCACGGGAGGAGGAGCATCACGGTCAGATCTACTCCGATAACAAGGTAGTAACGGTGAGCTCCCTTCCTCCTTTAATTTCAGTTTTTGTTGTTGTTTCTGTCTTTGTTGTTGTTCTTTTTTTTTTCTGTTTTGTTTTACTAATTTACCCTTTGGTTTCTTCCTCTGCGCTGCAGGTTTAGCATGGAGCCGCGGCGGAAGCTATCACCCTCCCTTTCTCCTCTGTTTCTTCTCCTCCCCCCTTAGTTCACGGGAGGAGGAGCATCACGGTCAGGTCTACTCCGCTAACAAGGTAATAATGGTTTGCTTTCTTCCTCCTCTACTTTGAGTTTTTGTTGTTGTTTCTGTCTTTGTTGTTGTTCTTTGTTTTCTCTTTTATTTTTTTTACTAACTTACCCTTTGGTTTCTTTCTCTGCGCTGCAGGTTTAGCATGGAGCCGCGGCGGAAGCTATCACCCTTCCTTTTCCCTCTGTTTTTTCTACTCCCCCCCTCAGATCACGTGAGGATGATCGCAGCGAGCGGACACGGAGCCTTCTTCGACAAGGAGGTGAAAGCTCTCTTCATATGTATGATTTTGATTTCGTTTCTGCAATTGTTTCTGCTTGTTTCATTTGTTTTGCTTTGCTTTTGCTTTGCTTTGCTTTGTTTTGTTCTGCTGTTGCGATCGTATCACCTTCTCCTCTCTCTTTTTTCCACCCCCAGGTCACGCCGAAGAATAGCAGCTGCGAGCGAATGGACAGACGAAACGATAGGCGAGTTAGATCCGGCGACGACGAACGGACTGACTGACAGATCGATCGTTAGACCCCGCGACCTGGTGACGTGCGAACTGACAGGCGGACGTTAGATCCCGCGACCTGGCGACGTGCGAACTGACAGACGAACGTTAGATCCCGCGACCTGGCGGCGTGCGAACTGACTGGCCGACCGAACGGAACTACCGAACGTATGGACCCTCCACCCGGCCCGACCTTCTTCGGCTGCTCCTGAAGCAACAATCTGCGGGAGCTTCCTCTTCTGGCATCTGACAACGTGGAAGATTTGAGGTGTTTCCTGCCAGATGGCAGCTTTACTCTAACTTTCTGCCCTCTTTTCCAACAGGTGTCCCGGACGAATGACCCTCACCTCAACGCGGTGTCCAGGTGAAACGCTAGAGGCTTGCCTCTAGCGGCCAAGAGGGGTCAAGAAGACAAGTCGAGCTAAAGTTTAGGAGTTCTGCATGTTTTTGGTAGTTGACTTGTCTGTATATTTATAACTGTCAGTTCTCATATTAATAAGAGCAGCCCATTTCAACACTTGAACAACAAGGTTTCACTGAATGCTACTATTGTACTAGGCTCAAACAGAAGGAATCGTGCCATAGCGAAACTAATGCCAGTGTCTCCCTAGCAGCTCGCACCAACGTGACGCTGTTGGCGGCGAGTTGAAGCACCAGGGAGAACCCCGTTCACACTAACCTGCGAAATTCTTTAGTGTGTGGAACTTCACATGCTGGGGGGACGCTGGACTTTGTTCATGTGCGGTTTATTATGTTTCGTCGCGGTGCCAAACGGTGAATCGCTAATCGCTTTCAACCGCGTGGAAACGTTCCAAGCCGCCGTGTAACTCCGTACCATGAGAAAACAATCAGTTCACAGCCAGCACTAACGACGCATTCCCCGTTCGGACACCATCCGAAGTTCGGACACTTTGAGCTGTTATTTTATTTGTTTCCGAATGAAGGTCTTAAAGCCAGCAGCTAAAATAGTGACCCCCCCCTTCTAGTTGGGTCCACTTGAAAACAGAGGTTTTTTTGTGAGGCTTCGGAAAGTTGGAAGTGCTGTGCATTTATATCTTTTCACCTCCATACGAGTCTCCATGTGTACAATTCTGATTGGCAGCGAAACTCACACACACATGTGTGCGAATTTGGTGCAAGGTTGCAATGAGCAACAATCAACAATACAGGCAAAATCCAGCACGCACACAGATGCAGGAGATGAGAGGAAAACGCCGTTTCCTTGGACTTGAGGCTGAAAGAGGTTAAAAAAATGGGTGTCGAAGAACGACGGGGAAAAATAAGTTGGATAAGGTAATAATCAACGGATGGGAGGGGACAGTGGAAAAGCGATGGGAAGAAAGGGGAGAGAGGAGGCGAACGACGGGATGGGATGGGAGAGGAGGCGAACGACGAGATAGGAGAGAGGAGGCGAACGACGGGATGGGAGAGAGGAGGCGAACGACGGGATAGGATGGGAGAGGATGCGAACGACGGGATAGGAGAGAGGAGGCGAACGACGGGATGGGAGAGAGGAGGCGAACGGACGGGATGGGATGGGAGAGGATGCGAACGACGGGATAGGAGAGAGGAGGCGAACGACGGGATGGGAGAGAGGGGGCGAACGACGGGATGGGATGGGAGAGGAGGCGAACGACGAGATAGGAGAGAGGAGGCGAACGACTGGATGGGAGGGGAGAGGAGGCGCACGACGGGATAGGAGGGGAGAGGAGGAACGTGAGCGCGATGCCGACGGGGAGGGAGGACGTGAGCGATAGGAGATGAAGTGGGCGACGGGAAGAGAGGGGAAATTGCAAGGGCGACGGGATGGAGAGCGCGAAGGTGACGGGAGGGAGAGCGCGAAGGCGTCGGGGGGGAGAGCGCGCATGCGACGGGAGGGAAGGCGCGCAGGCGACGGGTGGGAAGGCGCGAAGGCGTCGGGGGGGAGAGCGCGAAGGCGTCAGGGGGGAGAGCGCGCATGCGACGGGAGGGAAGGCGCGCAGGCGACGGGAGGGAGAGCGCGCAGGCGACGGGAGGGAAGGCGCGCAGGCGACGGGAGGGAAGGCGCGCAGGCGACGGGAAGGAGAGCGCGCAGGTGACGGGAGGGAAGGCGCGCAGGCGACGGGAAGGAGAGCGCGCAGGCGACGGGAAAAGTGATGGGAGGGAAGAGAGGAGGGGCGGAGAGGCCGTTTCAGAGAGGGAGCCTAGGCGACGAGGTGTGCGATGGGATGGGAGAGAAGAAAGGCGTTGGGAGAAGGGCATTTCGGGGAGAGAGCTAAAGCCGACGAGATGAGCGATGGGAAAGGCGACAGGGAGAAAAATTGTCGACAGGAAGGGAGGAGGAAGAGCGAGGGTGACAGGGAGGGAGGGAAGAAAGAGAGGGCGACGGGGGGGAGGAGAGAGACCCGCGAAGGTGATCGGAGGGGAGCGGACAGCGGACGAACGACTGGAGGGTAGGGGAGATGGCGAAGGCACGAGACACGAATCTGGCCACTGCGGAAGGGTAAAGATCGCTTGCGGAAAGGAAAATATTACGATACTAAGCTACGTAACAGTCTTACGCATTCCTGCAGGGTCGACAGTTACTTACCTTGGCCACAAACACCTATTGTTGTGAGCTAACTTATTCTAGGAATAAAACTAGTGACTTCGGGATGGAGCAGCTAGTCATGCAACCCAGTTCCACCTTGAACCCAAAGTTGGCCTGGCGATGGAAACCATCGCTCGGCAACTGTCGTACAGGTGTAGCACGCAGACATGCGACAGAGGCGATCCGCATGGAAAATTGTTTTGGCGGGAACAAGAAGCATCAAGATTGGCGAAAGCCAATCACATTTTTTCACAGTGCTTCTCGTTTCCTTTGGAACAGTGCTCCATCGGCCCGCTCACTGTAGCACCCTTTCAAGCTGGGACAGGGTTCATTATTCTATATTTCGGTTTTAATCTAGAGTTACCTCGTAGTTTTAAAGGCTCATGGATAAGCGAACCCAACATCCCCAGAAGTAACCGAGTCTCGAAGTATTTGTTGGGTGGACGGGGTCCACTGTGTTCCCTCACACTCACTGACAAATGTAGCGTAGAGTGTACTCACAGTGTGAAGAAGTTCGCACGGTATTTCTCAATCCAACAAAAATTTGTAGGCTGTTGTCTAGGTCAGATTAAAGCTCTAGGCCCAAATTGCGCAAGATTACTAATCTTGCGTGCTGAGGGATGGGTTTGGGTTCGGGAGTGTTGGGAAGGTGACCTCTCTGATTTCGCCCATAACACTGGGTTTTTTCGCTGAGTCAGCGAGCTTCATGGGGAAACTTGAGTTTGGGGACCTCGAGTCCCAAATTGCAGAGTAGTAAAACTCGATGTTTTGGCAGTGAGTTTTCTTTCGACCAATCAGATTGCATCGCACCTACTGTAACCAAATTTTCGCCACACACCAGCTCAGAAAACGAAAAGTGTGCAAGATTACTAATCTTGCCCTGCGCGGCCCGCAATTTGGGCCTTGAGCTTTAAAACAGGGGGAGTAGGCTTATAGCATTCAAAAACCGCTACAGGTGTCCAAACTTCAGATGGTGTCCGAACGGGGAATGCAATCTTAGTTTCGCGTTTGTATCTCGCTCACTGCACAGTGCAAAACCTGCCAGCCAATCATGGCCCCGCAGTTTTGATTTCCCGCCAGTATCACCAGAGACTTGTTCTCTTGAACACACAAAACTGGCGAAATTCTCGGCGGACGCTGGACTTGTTCGAATAGCGGTTCATGACTTTTCGTCGCGGTGCGAAACGGTGAAAGATGCAAATCACTTTCCACTGCGTCGACACGTTCCAAGCAGGGCCTAAGTTATCAGGGCAATTACCCTGTTTTGACTGAAATTATAGGGTGTTTTTTCTAGGAGCCCTGATTTTCACAAGGTTTTTTTCGGACCAGCCCGTAAAACTGAAGGGTGATTTTTGAGTCAGCTCGGATCTCTCCGGGGAGTTCTCAAGGGGACCCGTATAATTTTAGCAGACATGTTCTCCCCGACCTGCCTTGCATTCCTCTCGGTCTCCCTCTAAACACACGTTGGGCCAATTTTAGTGAATTTCCTAACCACTCTCTCCTTGTTGGCCTCCATGTGTCTGATTGCCACGTGTCAAACAATATGTTTAATATATACCCTGCGTGCTGTAGGTACTGTAGTTATTATTATTAAGAGTTGGTGGTGCACCTTCTTTGTTGCTTTGCTATATGTACCTTGTGTGCTATAGTGAAACCCCTCTTTCCTTGCCTAAACTCTCTCGACACTTTCTCCTCTTCACCCTAGCATGGCTCCTCACCTCTAGCTACTATCTTGACATGGTACAGAGCTGGTTCTTTCCCGGAACCTTCTCTTTTTTTTTAAGAATCATGGGCCCGCCCGTACTACAGCGCGAAATGCGCTATTTTTTCTCCCCGTTCGCCCGTCACGCGCGCCCTGCCCGTCCCCCCGAACGTGCCACGTCGGCTGCCTCGCGGACGCCCCGTCGGCTGCCTCGCGGACGCCCCGTCGGCTGCCCCGCGGACGCCCTGCCCGTCGCCCGCTGCCCCCCCGTTTCGTCGCCACGCGGCCCCCCATTTCGTCGCCACGCGGCTCCCGTTTCGTCGCCCCCGTCACCCCGCAATCCGCCAGCGCGGAGGCCAGCGCCGCGGCCAATCCGCCAGCGCCAGCAGCAGCTACCGCCGCCCCCCCCCCCCGCCCTCCCTTCCGCGGCTTCCGTCGTGGGGAGGGGGGAGGGAGGGGGAAGGGGTTGTGGGGGGGGGGCGGGTGTGAGGAGCCTGCCACTCCTCCCTCCCTTCCCTCTTCCTCTCTCCCTGCAGCAACTGTTGCTGTAGGGGGGGGGGGGGGAGAAGTGCAGAAGGGTGAGGGGGTGGCGGGAGAAGACAGGTGCGGAAGGTGTGAGGTTGACGGGGTTGAGTGACGAGGGGGTGAGGACTAGGGGGTTCTTAACGGGGGGGGATCGCATTGAGCGTGCGCGCTCATGCCCGCCTAGCCCACCTCCTCTCCTCATCGGGACTTGGGGGTTCTTAACGGGGGGGGATCGCTATGAGCTTTCGCGCTCAAGCCCGCCTAGCCCACCTCCTCTCCCTTCCCTCTCTCACCTCCCCTTTGTAAAAGGAGGTTCGTAAGCGGGTCCGCCGGTCCTGGCCCCCCACCTCCTCTCCTCTCCTCTCCTCTCCTCTCCTCTTCTCTCCTCTCCTCTCACCTTCCTCACTTCTCTGCCTTCTTCCACAGCGCTTGTTCAGGGGGTGCTGGCTGCACCAGTTTCTACCGCACGCAGGCTAAGGGGGTGTGTCAAACAATATGTTTAATATATACCCTGCGTGCTGTAGGTACTGTAGTTATTATTATTAAGAGTTGGTGGTGCACCTTCTTTGTTGCTTTGCTATATGTACCTTGTGTGCTATAGTGAAACCCCTCTTTCCTTGCCTAAACTCTCTCGACACTTTCTCCTCTTCACCCTAGCATGGCTCCTCACCTCTAGCTACTATCTTGACACCCCGTTCTACGTCGACATGGCTTAGAAGGCCAATAAGGAGAGAGTGTCTGATTGCCCTGTTCTCCCGATGTACTCTTCCTCATCGTATTTTTTTCTAAGTCTACAAAAAGTATCTCGCTCACCCCTCCAGAGCCACTGTGAGTTTCCCGCGAAATTCTGGTAATGCATGTTTTCAGGCCTTTTCTGGCTCGAACCCGGATTCGTCAAGGTTTTTTTCCCGCTGGCTCGGATTTTACAGGGTCTTTTTCACAGGGGCCCGGATCGTCCGAGCTAGCAAAAATCCTAGCAATAGCCCTGGTTCCAAGCCCCTTTCCCTCTCGTGTTTCTATACGAATGTTCAGATGTACGAAAGTTTTGGTGCGTAGAGTCTAGTTACGCAGTTTCCCTTCAGTTCTCTTGGCTGGTTCTTCGCGAATATCTGTCGCTCCTTACCATGCGAAAACAATCATTTCGCAAACTGCTCTCGTTGGGTTGCATTGTAACCCGCTAATGGTATTGAGATTACAGTAGTGTAATCAGCCATTCACGCAGGCAACTTCCACCAACACTTTTCTACGAGTCTCAATGCAGTATTGAGAGATTCACGTGAATTTCAGAGCAACTGCCAGCAGAAGGAAGACATCGAGGTGGACGTACTAAACATACAGTTCACAGTCCGGCTCTACCGTAGGGACTGCTTTATCTGCGTTAAGCTTGTATATTACGGGTCGTCCGCCGAGAACATCGCGTGCAACGCTCCTGCAGGTGCGGTAACCTTGTCGAAGTTTTTTTTTTTTTTTTTTCACCTAATCTCTGCGATGTCACGTCTCAATCACGACCCGACATTCAATGATCGTATATGAGAGCCGATGCTTGGTTTTTCGCCTACTTTCCTTTCCGTTTCGTTCTTGCGGTTGCTTAAAAACAGACAGTTAGGCACAATGTCAGATTGCTGGAATGCTGGTGCAATTATCGCGACTGTCTTCCTTCCACCTCTTGGAACCTTCATGAAGAAAGAATGCGGATACGAATTCTGGGTACAGATCTCCTTTGTTTGCGCGCTGAGGTTTCCGGATGCATGAGTAGTACGGTTTCTATTTGCTTTTGTTACGAGAGCACACACCGATGTGATGGGTATCCTACTCTCTGTTTTATGAGCAGATCTCTATTCTTCTCACGCTGTGCTTTTGGATCCCTGGGATGATATACTCTGCGTGGGTTGTTGCCCAACAGTGAGTTCTTTCATTTTTGCACGTCATGATTCTTGTTAGGTCGAGATCGAGTATCGGCTTCTTCTGACATTATTGTAAACAACCGTGTCTTTCTGCCTGTTCTGTTTTGTGCAGAATCCGAGTTGAGGCGATGGGACCAATGCCAGGTCACTGAAGTGTAATTGTACAAACTTTACATTCATACCGTATCCGCCCAACATGTTTTGTGGTGTGGATGAGAAGAAGTGTGAAATTATGTACCTTCCACTGTCCTTGTGTTTTTTCTCCGCCAGAGGACGGATGTGCCTGCAATTGTAGTCGTAACTTCCTCGTATTGTACTGCCTGCTCGGTCATAGCAGGATATGAGATTATTCAGTGGGGTGGGGAGCAATGCCTGGTAAGAGAGGTGAAAATGTACATAGTCTCCATTTGTAGCTGTGTAAGTTTACCATTGTACAGAATCAATCTTCCTAACCGAGTGAACGTTTTTTCCAAGCTGAGCAACTTTTCACATGCTGCTGAAGGCAGAGGTATGCTAACTCATCAGCCTATATTCTAATCTCCACCGTGTCTAAGAACCTGCACCAGACTCCTTGTTGTGTTCCTCCTCCGTCTTGGTAGTAGTGCCTGAGGGGACGGACGTGTCTGCAGATGGAGCTGTGCCTTTCTCATAAGGCTGCACCAGTGACTGCAGACTCGATCCAATTGCCTGCAAAAAGAAACCAGAGTCAATTTAGGAGCAGCAATGACCCCAAACCCCAAAAAGGTTGCAAGTTCAAAAGGTTAGCCTTCAGTTACCTTAGCAGCATCGGTTACAGCATCACCAGCAGCAACAAGCACCTCAGCAGCACCCACCACAACAGTCTGAGTAACACCCTGAGTGGTCTTCACTGCTTCGTGCACATCTTCTGCTGCAGCCTTAACTCCCTCACCAGTCCCCTCCACTTGCTTCACATCACCACCGGTCTTCTCTCCCCCCCCTACAAATGAGAGCTTCTCCATCGCATGCTGAATGTCAGAATATATCTTGCTGGCTGCCCCCTCCACCACATGTTCAGCTTCCAAACCCTTTTCCTTCAAAACCTCTGCCAGCTGACCCAACCTCTTAGCAGATGCTTCTAGGACAGCAGCAGCCTCTTCCTTCCCTTTCACATCCACTCCCTTACCTATGGCCGTCTCCCCCTCCTGAACCTCCTCCTGCCCCTTGCCAAAGCTAGACTTGAGCATCTCTGCAGTCTCTCCCAGACTCTCTTTCGCCCTTTCCGTCAGCTCCTCAGTCTTCTTCGTCACTGTCTCTGTCCCTGACATGAGTCCTTCCTTGGCCTTCTCCGTCACCTCACGTCCCTTTTCCGCAGTCGCCTCACCTGCCTTCTTGGTGGTCTCTGTCACCTGGCTACCCGCCTGCTGCGCCTCCTTTTTAGCCTCCTCACGCTTGGTTGAAGCGGCTGCCTGATGCTCTTTAGCCTGCTTAGCCCTCTCTTCCTCCACGCTCTTTCCCTCGCTTGTTTCAGCCATGCTCTTACGCTCAGTAGGCCTTTCCTCTGTGGAGCCCTTTTCCATGGTTCCCTTCACTCGCTCAGCCCATGAGACGCCCTCCTGCGGCTTCTGCTCGGCCTCAGCCTGTGCCTGTCCGCCACGTGGCACCTGCGGCGCACAAAAACCTTCGTTCTCAGAAACGAACCGACTAGACAACGTAGTTGAATACGGGAGGCAAGACAAACCTGCAGTGCCCTTACCTGCGGAACTTGCTGGCTTGCCATGCTGCCTCTTGCTCGCCTGATTCTAAGACGCGATGTAGTAAGGTGCGAGAGAAACGCTTCCTCAATTCAGAGAACTTGGGAAATGAGAGAGCGCAGACAGTAGTTTTCACAAAGCTGCTGCAAAGAACCACATAGAACTGGATACAAAACCTCTATTAAGGACGTGAAACGACGTTGCGTGCGCAACAAGTCCGTCCTGGGTCGGCCAATTTATGATCCCCACGGAAACCATCCTTTCGCTGCGATTCGGTAGGCGGAAAGACAGCTAGCTCCACATCGGTTCCCGCTTGGACGGAGACACGTGGCATCGATTGGACAGTAAAGGCTCAAACATAGAGGCCGAACCAAGGGCTGTTTTTTTTCCTGTCCAACTGGACAGTCACGCATGCAAGCAACATCCTCACGCGGTCGGCGAGCCGACATGCAACAGCCCTTGGTGCAAGTGAAATCAGCTTTGGGCTGCCTAATAAATGAGGATCCTTGACCCTGCTCCTGTGACCTTGCCCTAGTTTGGGTGACTGACAAGAACTCGAATCTCAAAGCAGCCATGAATGTGCCGCGTGGATTGCTCATGTTCAATCTGCGACTTACATGGGTAGAACGTTGACATTAGCAGCTTCGATAAACTCACTAACCTCATTGCGTTTTGTTTGTACCAGAGATTTGGTGACGCTACACATTCTCTGTTGTGGTTTCAGGAGTCCCGTCGCCGTTCGTCCTGGTTTCAGGAGACTCATCAAACGTGCGTTTCGCATTCAACCTGACCGTCATCTCCCTGGTTCGTTACATCTGCCCTGAAACCAAGCTGCTCAGCTGAGCACACTCTCCCCCCTCAACTACCACCACCTCATCGCATCGCGTCGCACACTCGTCTCGTCAGCTACTTGGCAACCAGCCCCAATCGCCTTGTTGGCGATTGCGCACCTTGGTTCGGCGTAGCCAGCTCGGATCAAACCAAATTGGCGCAGGTTGTATACCCAATCAGCGTCTTCCCGCTCACCTCACGTGCCACACCAAACTCTTTCGCAGAAAGCCCAACCACCACCTTCCCGAAGCTATTTGCTAAGGAAGAAACATAGATCAACCACCTCTACCAAAAAACTACTACCGAATTAAACCCACTGACAAACCATTTCAACAAGCCCAAAACTCACTACGTTGACAGCCCCTGGTTCAGCCCCGCCAAACCAGGAGATCAGGCTCTCCCGTGCCTCGGCGGTAATCCCAGGTCTCCGAGGCTTCGACCAATCAATGAAGCGCAGGATGGTGGGCCAGTTCAGCATGTAAATTAGTTGCTCCAATCTCATTTTTCTCAGCGCTACCTAGATCAAGATAACAGCGTTTCACGGACCTTTTTGTTACATGTGTAGAAGTTAGCACCACCAGACATTTTTTTCCACCAACGAGGACCCAGTCATTCCAATTATCCCGGCGTCTTTAGTTTCATCCCTCATTTGTTACCTTTTTAACGGATTGGCGCTGAGTGCTGCATCGCTTGATCCCGGTATTTTCACAAGGCGGCAGTCAGATCCGCCATGGCTCCGTGGTATAAGGAGAACACGACCGTCAATTGCTTCGGGGCTACACTCAACCTCGGCGATCTCACCGCGCTGCCATTGGTCGTCGGATATGCGCTCTGCTCAAGTCTCCTCGCAATCATCAACAAATACGCCATTGATGTCTTTCCCTTCCCGAGCCTCCTAACGGCTCTCCAATACCTCACATGTGTCGTCGCTGTCTTCGGTTTGGGTCAAATGAAGGCTCTGGAGCACGACCAGATCCAATGGAGCATGGTCAAGAAATTCCTTCCCGCTGCTTTCGTCTTCTACATGGCAATCTTCACCAACACCACGCTTCTTAAATACGCCAACGTGGACACATTCATCGTGTTCCGGTCGTCTACACCGCTTCTCGTCGCCGTCGCCGATTATCTCTTCAGGAAGCAGCCATGGCCGGGGCCATACACCTTCGGAGCTCTTTTCGTGATTCTCGCCGGCGCTGTTGGTTACGTGGTTACAGACAGCCAGTTCACCGTTCGCGCGTACACCTGGGCTTTCGCTTACCTCTTCACAATCACACTCGAAATGGTGTACATCAAGCATATCGTGAGCAGTCTCGGTCTGAACACCTGGGGTTTCGTCCTGTACAACAATTTCCTCTCCCTTCTCATGGCTCCTCTCTTCTGGATGATCACTGGCGAGTTTCAAGATACGATGATCGCTACCACCGCTATGGCCGACTGGAAATTCGGTGTTGTATTCCCCGTGCTGCTGTCCTGCGCGTTCGGACTCGCTATAAGCTTCTTCGGATTCGCCTGCAGAAAGGCGATCTCAGCAACTGCTTTCACTGTGCTCGGAGTTACCAACAAGCTTCTGACCGTTGTCATCAACGTGATGATCTGGGACAAGCACGCATCCTCGTTTGGAGTCCTCTGCCTTCTCGTTACAATCATCGGAGGAGTGATGTACCAGCAATCGACTGTGAAGCAGAACTTCCGGGCCGCTCCGGCTTCTACGGACGAGGAGGAGGCGAAACCCTTGACTCCCGCGAATGAAGTGGACGACGGCCAAGACGCTGGTGAGTCGCATTGATCGCACAGTCTGTTTTTTTTTTCAGTCACAAACGCAGAAACGCAAGTTGAAAAGGGAAAGTAACTCAAATTATCGTAACATTAGGAGCCACTGTGCGAAAGGGGGAGGTATACAAATACGTCAGGCTGCTCCGCGTGAAGGAAGGTATTCCTGGTTTCGTATACAGGCGTCGCTAACAGATTTAGGTTATGGACATTCAGGTAGCCTCTCGAACAGCGTAGGTACGTTTTTTCTCGAGTTATTTGTGAATGCCCCTATGAGCAATGGGGCTCCTGTTGTCCTGGCCTTAAGAGTTCCGAGGATTCTTTTCGTTGTAGCATGATCGTCGTGCGTTGACTTAGCCATGTCGACGAAGTTAAGAGCTTTTTTTCATGCCATTGAATCGATTATAGAATCGCCACGTCAATCCGGCTGATGTATAAACCCTCACTGAACCCTGATCCCCCTACTCCTTCCACCTATGTGTCCATTCTCTCCACTCCTCTGCTCCTCCGTGCTCTTCTCGTGTGCCCTTGTCCAATTGAAAGTGCTCCTAATCCTGCCTACATCCTGCTTTAGTAATTCTTGTCCTTCTACAGTCTCCTTTGCACCATTCACATCAATCTGAGAGTCCTTCCTGGCCATACCTGCGAGGATAGCCCCCACATGCTGCTCGACATCTTTCCCACACAATCTCCTGCCTGCTATCTCTGACTTCCCTTCCACCCACATCCCCCACACGCCTACGGTACTTCCTCCCTCCCCCCCCCCCTCCCCTTCCAACACCAACACCTCCCCCCACCACCCTCCCCCTCCCCTTCCCCCCTGTCTTTCTCCCCCTCTTCCTTCCTCCCTCCCTCTCTTCCACCTCCCTTTTCGAATGTTCCATTCACCCCACTTCCCCACCCTCCCCTTAATGGTTTCTTTTCTGTGTGTTGTTTGTTGGGAAATTTCTTAACTCTTCTCCCCTTATACTTCTCTTGTGTGCTTGTGTGCAGAGCTAAAGCCCCTGAACGCCAAGTGAGCAGATTCCAGTGCTTAGATCTAGGTTGCAACTTGCATCACATTTCAATTAGAAACCTTATGTTTTTGTTAGCTTTTCTTAACTGTGATATCCAGCTGATGCCTGATGCTTGACTGTCCCTAAACTTGGGATAGTTTATTTTCATTGTTATTGAACTTAAAGACTGGGTCCTGTACAGTACAAATGAATGTACACACGCCATTGCATTGCTCTCAGAATTGAATTGAGCTGAATCCCCAGAGGATCTCTGCCTGGCACTTCTAACGTGTGTGTAAGCCAAGCCAAGCCACATATGAAGCAAGCTACAGGTTAGATTCAAATGGGATCAACACAAAGAAAACCACGACTCACAATCAGCCCATATTGTGAGTGATCCTACAGTAGGTAAGGATCATGTGCTGGTGGCACTCATATTGTCCTTACTGATTGAATTAATATGTTTTCATATGAAGGCATGAGGGTTAGGGCTTGCTTCTAATTTTTGACCTACGGTAGTTTGTTTTGGTGCAACCCTGAACCAACAAATGACATTACAGCGCAGCATACGACCCGTTTTAAATACGCGTTTGTTATCTATGCTGGAATAAGCCTTCAAGCGAAGATTAACAGAAAAGGGCACGCACTTGGCTGTTCACGTGGCTCGTTGCTGAGAGGATGTGCTGCGCTGGCCAGCCATAATTGGTGTGAACTTGCAACGGACGGATGAGAACCTTCGTTAGTGGTGCCGACGCGGAACCGCAATTGGTAGACTTCCTTCCCGCCTCTCTTCGGCTTCTGACCGTCCAATCGAACGGTTCAACCGTATATCTTCGCCAAGCTGGACGACTGACGCCTCGCTTTGAGTTCTTTTCCCGCCTACATGTCAAGATCTCATTGCTTTTGACAAGGCACGGCTTGGGGGTGGGTCCACGTCATTTTTGAAGTGCCGCTTGACCACGCCCCCCCCCCCCCCCCAAAAGCTGAACTGAACTGCACTGTACCCCCTGTATTCGGACTTTGCGGGAAAGTTTCCGCCAACTCATGTTTGCTGAAAGATTGATGGCGGCTTGGGGCTGGAGTTGTCGAGTTGAACACATGCAACAGGCATGCTGCAAGCACATGGGACCCAATGGCCTAGCAACCATCTTCCAGCCATTCTCGTGCTGACAGTTTATACACCGTTGCACCACAATACCAGATATTTTCGCATCGCTTCGCATCATGTCGCAAATAAGGCGCAAACTGTTGTGTGCGAATTTGAAGTGTTATTTCTACAGTAGAGTTTACAAAATCGGTGTACTGTTTGGTAACAACGTCAGCACTAAATCGTTATCATGCTTGCGAGCTCGACGCTCTTGGCAGGTTACGCTAAGGGACCATCGTAATCATCATTCCCACTGGCTGTCGCACGAGATTGCTATGGAGGCAACAGAACAGAAACAGTGAACGGTCATTCTACCTCCTCCCCGTTGCCTAGGAAACTGGCTTGATGTAGAGGGTCCGCGTGGGGCAGCCGCAACCTGGAAAGGTTTGGTAAGCAGGGGAGATGACGGGCAGGGGGGAAGTAACTGCAGAAATGCTGCGTGGTGGTGAGTGTGCGAGAGAGAGGTCAGAGGAAGAGGGGAGAAAGGCGCGCGGAACGAGAAAGCCAATTTTTGCTACATAGGGCCCTTCGCGCAAGCAGTTCATGCTGAGAAAGGGGGTTTCCTGGGTGAGGAGGAGAAGGGTGGAAGGGGGGAAAAATGGGGGGGGATCGCTCGGGAAAGCGCAAACACGCGGAGTAGAAGGGCCAAACTCCGAGAAGACGCAGAATGGAGGGGGCACAGCACTGGTGCTGGTCATTCTTCTAGAGCCAAGCCCTGGTCTCAGTCGCACTAACTGCTGGCTAGCTCGTTCCAGAAAGGGAAAGGGAAAGAAAGGGTCACCAGTTCTTTTTCCCTTGACAGCCTGTTTTTCAACAAACAAGAAGCTGGTGCATTTAGATAGCCATCTTTCCAACGTTGTAGGTCTGCCTGTCTTCCACTCTTCTCTCTTGGCCAGTTGCAATTTCATTCTTAGTCTGCCCAGGCGACAGGCTAACCTCAATTCACAACTGGGGTCAGACGCTGTTTAGCTCGTCGAGGTTTAGTTCTTCGAGGGTTATCACGCTGCATTTCTTCGAGAACATACTCGCATCTGCAGCAATGCATTGCCTGAGACTACCTTGTGAAGCCGTGACAATTTCTCGCAGCGGAAATGTCGGGTTCTCAGCTGCTGAGTTTGGCAAACCTAAGGCGACTTCAGATCGTCATCCAAATAGAAGCCGGAAGTTCTTAAGTTTTAAGGGCTCCGCATTTCCCTCCATGCAATCTCCAGGCTTTTCCAACGACTCCAATTCCGTAAGAGATGGAGTGGGTTCATCATCCTGGCCTATGTCGGTCCCAGCAATGTCTTCTCAGCCCAGGCATAGCAGCAGATGTCAACGATTCCCGCATTCTGCTCGTTTTTCTGAAGATCCCATCTGTTCGTTTCCGGACAACGATGACGTGGAAGCATCTCGGCTTGCATTGGCTCAGCTGGAGCGATCTTTCCTGGCGGAGTCCTCTATAGGAATTGTGGAGTGTACCAGCAAAGGATGCAGACCCGTTCTCAGGCCACCACCAGCTGCTGCTGAACCGTCTAAGTCCTCTCCCGTCTCATTTCCTTCAGCTTCTGTCTCGTCGCCGTCAACCTACTCTACATCTTACCCGCTTAGCTCATTAGCCACTGGCGCTGCGTGCATGGAGGAACGAGCTGCCACTTATCACCGTCATCAAGAACGCCGACAAGCTGAAGTGCCTGGCCGGCCAAGTCTTAACACAGAGTTTGCGGAATTCGTCAACGAGGTCTGGGTGGAGCCTTCGACGGCTGATAAATATTACCGATCGGCGATGCGACAATCTCCGTATGATATCCGGTTACTGACAAGTTACGCGCAGTTTTCGTGGAAGCAGCTTCACGATAAGGATCAAGCAGAGAATTTGTATCAGAAAGCGATTCAAGAGTCTCCGGATAACTCCGACGCGCTCGCGAGTTACGCCCTTTTCTTGTGGGAAAGTGAAAGCGAGAGCGAAGGGGAGCTGGAAGCAGTGAAGAAAGCAGCAGTCATGACATCAGCTTAACTCAAATGGGTTCAAATGGGTTCAGCAAGAGTTACCTCGGCTATGTCCAGGATCGTACATTTTTAGGAACTTACGATTTGCTGTCCCTTCCGCGGAAGGGTCATCATAGTAGGTAGAGCATGCCTGCTCCCTGTTGCTTAACTTTTAGGCAGCGTATCATGGTTTGAGAATTGCTGAGTTTTGATTGACGGTTATATTCCAAAATGTTATGCATCATTGGCAGACCTTTGTAGGTTGCTGTAACACCTGATCTTTGGAGGGATGACCCTCCCGATCCAACCTTCCTGCCATCGCACCGTTATGCAAGTAACTTGTACTAAAAAAATACCTACAAGCTTGTTTCAACAGGAGCTAGAACCTAAAACCTACAGAAGAGTGGTACAGGTACAGACTTGAGCAACAGCTACAAAGCAAAATTTCCCACCTCCACATACTTCACAAGCAAGCTGCCTCTTCCACACGCCATCCTCTGTTCATCCTCTCCAAACCCCAGAAAACATCAACCTGCCTTCCAATACCCGCATGTCACTCCTCCCTCGAGTTCATTCCCAACCGACCCGGCTCCCCTCTTCGAATGCGCCTTACAACGGACCTCCCCAGAGCAAGCGCAGCCACAACGCCAGCCAGGCGCAGCAAATGGCCTCCTTGCCTGTGCAGTCGCCTGCCCCTTCCCCTCCCCACACCACCCACTTCACTCCGACCCTGTGAACTCACGCTTCCCACTCCCCTCCCTCCCTCCTCCCCCTCATCCTCCCCCAAGGCCTGCCCCATGCTCTCCCCCATGGTGTTTCCCCTGCCTTGCCTTACGCCCTCGTCCTCACTACCTCCTTCCACACCGCTCTGAACACCACTTCTGTCTCTTTCTGCCTCCTCGCTGCGTCCACCCCCCACACCCTGCACGCCAGCTTGTGTCAAGCTTCTTAGACTATCAGCTGCAGCCGAAGCCTGCTCTCCATCCCCACCTCCCTCAATTCCCTCCCTCTCCTGCTGCAGCTCATCATACACACGCCCCCGTTCCTGCTCCTGCCTCCGCTGCTGCTCGTGTTGCCTCCCACCGGGTTGCACCTCTCTCTGCTGCCTCCTCTCCGGCTGCTGTGCCCCCTGCTGCTGCGGTTCCTGCGCCCGCCAACCCTCAGGCTCACCTCCTCTTTGCTGCAACCGCGCTTCCTCCCCCTCCCCCAACTGCGGCCCTGGTTCCTCCCCTGCTATCTGCTGCCGCCCCGATTCCTCCACCTCTAGCTGCCGCCAACCCGCTTCCTCACCCTCTCTCTGCCGCCGCCCTGCTTCTCCCCCTTCTCCCTGCCGGCCCCCCATTTGCTCCCGCTCTCGCTGCTGCCGCCTCCGCTCCTCATACTCCTCATCATCAGTGGGCAGTTCAAACCTACAGATAGGACACGAGTTTCTCACCGCAAACCACTGCCGAATGCACCCCCCATGGTACAGGTGCCGGCACGGCAGCCTCACCACCTCCTCCCCCACCTCCGCCACCTCCTTGCACACCGCACAGCACGACGCGCCGCTCTCCACGTCCTCCAATCGCACGGCGACAGCTGGCAGCGCGTCGACCGCGGATAGCGCCGCTGGGGGGTTGCCGCGTTGTTGGGCGTCTGCAGCAACGAGCTGGTCGAGAAAAGCGTCTAAGCCCGGGCCGTCGAGATAGTCTCCTCGGTTACCAAAGTGGCCTCGGTTGCCAAAAACGATTGTGGTGGTTGTGACTCCGTCTGAATCTGTGGTAGCACCACCCGCGCCTGCGAAGCCAGCAGGTTCGGCAGCAGCTGGTCCGGCGCCCCAATGTATCCGAGCCTCAAACCCAGCCCCGCCAAACGCCAGCCCACCAGCACCACCACCACGAATACCAGCACCATAAAAACCACCACCCCCACCACCCCCAGCACCACCACCAGCATCACCACCACCAGCACCAGTAGAGCCAGAACCAGCACCGGCATCGCCACCAGCACCAGCAGCAAGGCTGCCGTCAGCATTGACGAGGCGGCCGCGACGAAGGCTGAACTCCACGTGAACGGAGGGGCCCACGAGCTCCTGCATGAGCTGCTGCAGGCGCCGCTCCAGCCCCACCTCTAAGCGCAGCAGCGCCTGCTGCTGGGCTGCTCTCAGCCGCCTCAGCAGCCCCGCTCCCCTCTCCTCAGATGCTCCCCTGTCCTCAGCTGCTCCCCTGTCCTCTGTGGGCTCGGCTACAAATGCTTGCGCCTCTCTTTCACGCACCTGCCTCTCTCGCACTTCTCGTTCGAATGATTCTCTCTCCGATGCTTCTCTCTCCCATGCTTCTCTCTGCCTCTCGCCTTGCTCCCTCTCGCCCTGCTGCACGGCAGGAGTTGCTCCCTCGACCTCGTGAAAAGGTCTCAGAAAGACTGGCGCTGCGCCTTCCAGCCGTGCCATTTCTGCCGCTTGTGCTGCGGATAAGGGTCCTGATAACAAGGACGCAGACGATGCTGACGTGGATGCTGACGTGGATGATGACGACGACGCTGCTGCTGATCCTGTTCCTGCGGCTGCAGCAGGGGCAGGAGATGATGACGTGGAGGATGCAGGAACAACCCTCTGCCCAGACCATCCAAAATCAGACTCGTGCAAGTTGGCTCGACCTGAACCCCCCTCCATAACCTCCCTCCCTTCTCTCCCCTCCCTCTCCATACCACCACCCCTCGAACCAGTCCCCGTCGCCTCCCCTCGCCTCAGAGCTTGCCTTACGCGCCTGGCCTGCCCACTGTTAAAGCCCGACGCCAGCCTCTCAACACCCATTCGAAACAGAGGCACGCGCGCCCTCCCTCCCACATGCTCCTCCTCTTCATCGCTCCATCCCCCCTCTCCTTCCTCCTCCTCTTCTTCCCCATCTTCTTCCTCCTCCTCCTCCCTCTCCGCCTCATGTCCTTCGTCTTCCTCCTGTCCTTCCTCCGCCCCTTCAAGGCTAGACCACGAGCCTCCTATCTCCAGCAGCAGTCCCTCCAGTTGTCTTAAAGTGCTAAGAAAGTGATCCGCCGCCCAGTTTCCGCGGTTCCTGCGGCCTGGGATTCCATTCTCGGCCTCTCTCTCCTCCACCTCGTACTCGCTATTGTCACTCTCGCTGTACTCGCTATTGTCGCTCCCATCGTGCTCGTTATACTCACGGCTCCTGAATCCCGCGGTCTCATTCTCCCTCCTCCACCACCGTTCCTCTACCTCGTTTTCCTCGTCCTCGTCGTACTCGCTATGGTCACTCTCGCTAATAGCACCACCATCGCTGCCGCTGGTAAGAGCCGGCAGTTCATCCTCGCTTGCTGCCGCTTCATTTTCATTCAAAGGCCTCGTTTCAGTCACACCCGTTCCAGTCGCAACCGTTTCAGTCACATCCGGTGACGTGCTTGTACGAGGCGAAACAAGATCCGGCAGCTCACTTTCCTCAAGTTCTGCTACCGCTTCTCCCCCCGCTTCAGTCACACCCGCTGGTGTCGTCGTCGCTGCAGCATCATCGAACCACAATGCCTCTTCAGCTTCCGGACCGTCTTGACTTCGAGACCCATCCCCATCCCCGTACCCATTCTCCCCTCCTTCATCCCCGCGACCATAGTTCCCACCGCCTTCATCCCTAATTCCATGATCCCCATCGTCTTGCATCTCGTTGTAATCACAATCTCCAGGGTCACTGCAAAGGTCCGGCATATCATCGTCATCGTCGTCGTCGCCTTCAGTCGCTTGAATCCGAGGACGCGCTTCAGTCACACCGTTTACAGTCACACCCGCTTCTGATGCTGCTGCTGGTGCAGCTACTGCTGCTGATGCTGCTTCTGATGCTGATGTTGAAGCGGAGGCTGATGCTGCTTCCCAAGTATCACCTCTTTCAACCCCGTTATTATCACCTACGCTTTCATCATAATTTCTTCCACTCATACGCCTCTCGAATCTTCCAGAAGCTCTCTGCAAGCTGTCCATTTTTTCCCGAGGAAAATAACGCGAGGAAGGAAGAGTTACATGCCAACATTAAGTGCACTGCCAAACCGCTTCCTACGCAATCGATATCAATACCATACACGCCGACGGTAGCAAGCGCTCGAAGTGTTCCGAACTGTCACTGCACTAGTTGATGACTGGGAGAAACGACGGACATATGAAACGATTTGAGGACGTAAACGCACTAGTTTATGTATGCCACGAGCACGAGGAGTGGGAGATTACTCGTTATGCAAAAAGCCTACCAAACCGTGCAAAAACCGTCTGCAGACCTGTGACTCGTAAACCACCGTTTCAGAACGCTCTTGTTCACTTGACAAGCGAAGCAATCTTGAATCTGTTTCTAAGACACTTGGCTGGTCACCGCACTATAACCCTCAGGACCGTTCAGCTGAATCTTGATCAATTCCATAATTCCATCAGGCTAGGTCTGAAGCCTCGGTCCAATATGATGCCAAACGATGTAAAAGTTACCAGAGTGCACAATTTTCTATATTCAATGTTACTTCCATATTAACTTGGGTTCTCAGCCTTTGATTACGTGTTTTAGAATAATGCATGGGATAAAAGTTCATAATTTTACACTTCTGTAAATGTGCACTTCAGCAAACATGCTGTTTTATCTGAATATATTTGTAGTTCCATTTCTTTCTGTGATCTTCTCGAGTTGTTTTCGTAAAACCAAAACTGCCCATTCCACTGTGATGCTGAGCCCCCATTGGCCCACGCCAGCTCATCCTTGCCATCCAGAATCTCATCCAGCCCGAATTCGCTGCGATGGCGATCATCCAGGGTCTGTGACTGTGTTCGTCGTAGCCCAAGATTCTTTCGCCACTGCCCTTCGCTTATCGTGCGACTGTCCGTGCATGACGCCCAGCGTGCGCATGCGGGCAGCACGGGCAGAACGGATGGGTTTCACTGTCAGCGGCTTGGACAGCGAAACCAAACCCTCGCCACGTCCTTTCGGCACGTCTCGCGGGAGTCCTTTGAAACCCTCGCCGCAAGTGCGAAACCCTCGCAAGCTGCTATCCACCTCTCGCCTATTCCTCTTTCAGACCCTCGCAAGCTCGTCTCGGACAGAATGAAACCCTCGCCAACCCTTTTCTCCCCTCGCCAATCCATTTCTCCTTCGCCTGGTTCTTTGCCTCCCCTCATTTTCAGTAATCCTCCATTTCGCCTTCCTTGGCTCAAACTTTCGCGTAATCTCTCGCGCGTTTCGCCCACCTTTCTCGCCCCAGCCAGCGAAGGAAAACAACCCCTGGTTTTGGCTCTCCCCCCTGCTCGCCCAGCCTGGCGTCGCTAAACTCAGCCATGGCGATTCGTTTCTCCCCAGAGGAGCTCAAAGGGGAGCTTCTCAGGGTGAGACGTGAACTCGCTCATCTGGATACACTTTTGGATCGGACCTTCAGGGACATAGAAGCTGCGAGTGAACATGGTGAAAGGGACCGCATGGAAGATGCGAGAAATGTGCGACAATGCTTGTGGAAGGATAAGGAGCAGCTGAGGTCACAAGAGACTATTTTCTTGAGGCTGTTATTTGATCCGAATTCTGTTGGCGGAAATCCTGCGGAAAATGGAGCGCCAGGAGCGGCCGGCTCATTCCCGCCTCAGTTCTCCGTTGATGGTAAGGCGTTTTTTTGTGAACTGGGTTCGCCTTGTATCGTGTTGGTAGTAAGTAACTATTTACTGTTGTAGTGTTCAATGCCATGTTTATTCACGATGTCTCGCGGGTTGTTTTTTGCTTTCTGTTTTCTCGCGACAGGGTCGCCGATGCCGATTATGGGTCATGGAGATCCTTCGCGGATGCTCCATTCAGTATTCACACCGCCATCGATGCTTGGAGTTAAGCCGGGGAAGATGAAGATGCGACGCAACAAGCTGGCTTCACCCGGCTTACCGTCGTCCATGTCTGACGGAAAGTCACCATCTGGTTTTGAATCCGACTTCGCTAATCCAAACGGTTACGAAGTTAACCGGAGCGCGGAGTGCAAAGTCCGCGACGTCTGGCTCGAGTGGAAGGAAGGACTGAATGGTTTTCCGTCGATCGAGAAGCTTGAAGAAGAGAGGAAGAAGGACCGGAAGAAAGTCTGGTGGAAGAATATGAACGACTATAAATACTGGAGCAAGCAGGTCGGTGCTGTCGTTCGCTGTTCGTTTTATCCTGGACCAGTAAACGTTGTTTAGTATGGGACAATCGCTTCTTACGTCTTGACTCATTTTCCTTTACTGATTCTGCAGATGAGGATTGTTCATGCTGTCGAAGAAAAGGCTCGAGAGCTTGGTGGGGATCTTGACTCCAGCATCAATTTCTGGGAGGACATTCTTCGCGAGGAATTCGACGGAAGCGTGTCGAAGCTTCGCGAAGCTTTAGGAGGCCAAAAAACAAACGAAGAAGACATTGGTCGTTTCAAGAAGCGATGCCGGGATTTGTTGCAAAAGGGTTTGCTTCGGATGGCTAAGAAGAGACAGATGACGCACCAACAGTCAGATCAGCATCACGCTCACCAGCAACAAGCCTTGCATCAGCAGCAGCTGATGGAAATGCAGCAGCAGACTTACACTCAAGCTGTTCAGGGCGACATGGTTCACATGGCAGCCATGGGGATGGCACACGATCCCAATGTTCTTCCGAAGCATGAAGCCCAGCATGAAGTTTCGCAGCAGCAGGTTCTGGAAGAAAACATGTTACACGAAGCTGCTGCTGCTGCAGCAGCAGCTGCAGCGCAGGGTCAGCTTGATAACGGTGTGCTGCTGATGCAGGAAACACATGGGCTGCAGCAGATGGCTGGCGAAGGACAGGCGGTGATGCAGGCACATGTTGAGGAGCAGCTAGAAGACGCTCAGGAGCAGCTGCGTCAGCAGCAGCAACAGCAGCAAGAGCAGATGCGGCAGCTGCATGAAAATCAGCTAATTGCTGCTTCCATGCATGCTGCCCAGGCGCATGCTGAGGGGGAGGAACATGTGGAAGAGCAGCATGGGGAGGAGGGGGAGGAGCAGATGCATGAGGATCATGGAGAGGTGGAGGAGGGTGATGAGGAATTAGAAGGGGAAGGTAGGGGGGAAGAGGGCGAGGGGGAGGAGCATGTGTGAAAAGTTAGGGATTGGTGTGGTAGGTGCACTGCTGGTGCCTTACATACCTTCTTCTATCTAGATAGGTACGGTACTCAGTTTTTTGTGTGTTTTTTTCCATATAGGAAATAGTGGGAATAAATATTGGTACAACAATTTCTCTGTACATTTCACAACTACTTACCAGTAGAAAACAGTGTCAAGTCCTGTACACAGAAAATCACAATACAATGCTCTTGATACACTAGAACCTTCATTCTCACCAACTGTACATCATCCTACAGACCATTTCCCAACATTTTTTTGCTGCTCTGACAGGAACAGCTGAGACAGGAGGCATGAACAGGTGTCAATAGAGCTGGGCCGGTCAGGGGCAGGAGAGAGATGAAGGTCAAGTTCTTGAAGCCTGGGAATGCTGAACACCAACCTAGCGTGCCTCTTTCAATATTCCCCACACATCCACGATTCCCGCTGGGAACGAGTGTTCTGATGCTGCTCTGACTGCAACCGAAGCAACAGCTGTGACAGGAACAGGAGGCACTAGAGCTCGGCCGATCAGGGGCAAGTGCGAGAGGAATGGCAAGTTCTTAAAGGCCTGGAAAGATGAGGGAATCAGGGGAAGAGACAAGGGAGTGGGGCAACGGGAGAGGAGAATAGAGAATGTAAAGAGCGACAGTCGAGCGAACATTTTGTCAGGCTCAGGACCAGGGGTTAATGAGACATAATGGCTGGCAGCAAAAAACAAAAGTCGAGGCCTGGGAGCACTCTTACGAGTTCCAAGGGAGCTCCGATCAAGCCGAGAGGCAACTGGTGGGTGCCAATGCAACGAGTGCCGTGAATCATGGCTGGTCGGAACACTACACCTGGAAATGAATCCCAATAGACTTGGAACAGAAGGAACTCAGGAGCCTAAGTGCATTCTTACAAGTTCCAAGGGGGCTCCGATCAAGATGAGAGGGAGTTGGTAGATGACTTTTGAGTCGACTCAAAAGTCAACCCGGAAATGAATCCCTGTAGTCTCGGAACAGAATGAGCTCAGGAGCCGCAGACTCACCAGTTCTAAGGGAGCTCCGATCAAGCTGAGAGGCAGCTTGTAGGCGCCAACGTTGCGGGTGCCGTGAATCATGGCTGGTCGAAGGACAACCCCTGTGAAAGAATCAGAAGAGAAAAGGGGGAAGGGAGTGGAGGCATGGAGGACAACATATCGGTAAGTGAAGGATTGTCAAGATTGCGAGTGCCGTGAATCATGGCTGGTCGAAGGACAACCCCTGTGAAAGAATTGAAAGTGATGTTGGGAGGAGGGGCATGGGGCCGACTGGGAATTTGACAAGGAGAGAAGGACTACCGTAGATCTGTAAATGGGTGGAAGAGGGCATGAGTGTGCTATAATGAAATAACACGAGCCACAAGCCATGGGGCATGAGGCATGAAGCATGGGGTATGATGCATGAGGCATGGGGTATGATGCATGAGGCATGGGGTATGATGCATGAGGCACGAGGCATAAGCAAGCGCATTCCTGTGTTGGGGTAATTTTCCATGACAGCTGCCTCTGCCGCTTTCTAAAAGTAAATTAAAAGCAATATTATGCAGCAGTCATAAGCAGGTGCGCGTGCATACCTGTGTTGGGGTAACTTGCCATGACAGCTGCCTCTGCCGCTTTCTGACGTAATGGGGACAGGTGGGGGGATGGAGAAGGGGGAGGAGGGAGGGAGGGAAGCAGAAAGGGAGGAAGCGGGAACAACAAGTGCTTGCTGCATTGCATGTGCATTGCATGTGCATTGCATGTGCATTGCATGTGCATTGCATGTGCATTGTATGTGTGTACATTAAAACTGTTACAAGGCAAACTGTATTAGCAACCATCATTGTCACTGTACATCAGCACCCTACATACGCACTGTATGTTTGCACTGTACATTTGCACTGTACAATTAGACTGAATAATTGCACTGTACCTTGCCCTCGTAGTATCCCCTGAGAACAAAGGAAGGCAGCCCCACGTCATGGGCTGAGATGAAGACAAACCTCGCCACCCCTGCCAGAAAAGAATAATCAGAACACCCTTTTCTGAGCCACAGTATAACCTGGCACAGACAGAAGGGGGCACGGTAGATTATTCATAACTGTAACTCAACCCCACCACCCAAAGAAAAAACAAACCACCCAGGGACCAATGCAACGCAAGGAGTTGCCTTCCCCACGAGGTGCCAGTCCGACCCACCTTCCTCTTTTGCCGCGTTCACCACCCCCACGTTGGCATCTCCGTTGATCCTCCTCATCCACTCATTCGTTCGACCCTACGGCTCCCACACAGGAGAAAATCACTCTGAACCCATGCCATGCCATGCAAGTGCTGCCTTTCCTCCTAGGTGACTTTTGAGTCGACTCAAAAGTCACCCGTGCCATGCAAGTGCTGCCTTTCCTCCTAGGTGCCAGACCAACCCACCTTCCTCTTTTGCCGCGTTCACCACCCCCACGTTGGCATCCCCATTGATCCTCCTCATCCACTCATTCGACCCAAACGCGCCCACACAGGAGACCTGCCCGCGAGACAGGGAAAACAGGAACGGAGTAACAGGAATATATGAACCCAACAGAGGGGCCACTCGCGCTCTGCGTGCTTCCGTCGTGCCCATTTCCAATGCCATTACACAAAATCCCTCAACCACCCATGGCTGCTCACTCACCACCACTCCCATGCCTCCTTGCAAGTTTGCTTTGTGTTGACTCAACACACACCTGCACCACTCGCATCCTGCCCACTCGCATCCTGCCCACTCGCATCCTGCCCACTCGCATCCTGCCCACTCGCATCCTGCCCACTCGCATCCTGCCCACTCGCATCCTGCCCACTCGCATCCTGCCCACTCGCATCCTGCCCACTCGCATCCTGCCCACTCGCATCCTGCCCACTCGCATCCTGCCCACTCGCATCCTGCCCACTCGCATCCTGCCCAATCGCATCCTGCCCACTCGCATCCTGCCCACTCGCATCCTGCCCACTCGCATCCTGCCCACTCGCATCCTGCCCACTCGCATCCTGCCCACTCGCATCCTGCCCACTCGCATCCTGCCCACTCGCATCCTGCCCACTCGCATCCTGCCCCTCGCATGGCCTTACATTCTAACGTTATATGGCCTGAACCACCCATGGCCACTCACTCGCCTCTCCCATGACTCCTTGCAAGTTGGCAACACAGCATCAAGATGGAAAGTCCATGCGATGCCATGCCATGCCATCTCACCCCATGCCATGCCATGCCATGCCATGCCATCCCATGCCATGCCATGCCATGCCATGCCATGCCATCCATCCATACTGCCCATTCGCTCACCACTCCTGTAGCCCCTTGCAAGTGCTGCTTCCACGAAGAGGGGTTCAGGGCGTCGCCTGAATGGAAGAGAAGGATGAAACGAGGTGGAGAGGGGTGAGACACAGTGGGGTTAGAATTCAATAAAAACACCGAACGTAAGGCATTGCATGACGAAAAAGCGTCCAGAGGAGGGGGATGGCGGAGGAGTACAAGGGAAGATGAGTTGAAGGTAGCTTTAGATGAAGAATGGGAGGATGAATAAGTAGGGAAATAAGTAGGGAAGTTGAAGGTAGCTGTAGATGAAAGAATGGGAGTTGGTTGGAACAAGTAGGAAATAAGATGCTCACCTTTTGAGGCGCCTCAAAAGATGCTCACCTTTGATCCACTCAACCTCTTTGATCCATGCTTCGCTGCGATTGGGCTGACCTGACCTGACCCATGCATGCATACGCACATGCACACGTGGCCGCATGCGCGTACATGCAGACAGCACACATGCAATCATTTCACACGCGCACACATGCAATCATTTCACACGCGCACACATGCAATCATTTCACACGCGCACACATGTACGCATGAATATCCTGGCAGACAAACGATGAGATTCTGAGAGTTTGGAAAAAGCAAAACAAAACCAAACCAAGACAAGGGGGAATCTAACAACCTCACCAATTCCAACCCATTCTGACCGATAAACTCCCATTCTCACCGGTTCACACTCGCCACCTCTATCCCCCGACCAATGGCATTGCGACAGATGGCGCTGCCCACAAAGCCATTTCCACCCATTACCACAATCTGACGAGGCCAACCAGGGGATGACGTGGGGAAGGGGATGAGTGGGCGAAGGGGAAGGGAGGAGCGCTTAGGAGGTCACGGTGGGGGAGCAAAACCTGTCAAGTGGAGTGCGGTGGGGGAGCAAAACCTGTCAAGTGGAGTGCGGTGGGGGAGCAAAACCTGTCAAGTGGAGTGCGGTGGGGGAGCAAAACCGGTAGGGAAGGTGGATCGTGCGGTGGGCTGCAAGTGGTGATGGGGGGACAACAAAGGAGCTCGGCCTAGAAAACCGCTCCTCGCCACGTCATTATAAAAAGCTATGGCTAGCAAAGATTGTGAAGAGCACTGCCTACCCGCGCCCGTTGCTCCGCCGTGCTTCTTTCCGCTTCCGACCGGCCCATATGTGCCGCGCGCGCGCTGCTTTCCCCGCCGGCCCCCACGGAACTGCCGTCCCCCGAAGCTGCCGCTCCGTGAAGCTCGCAATTTATCGCCGCGGTTGTGATTGGCGATGCGCCACAATCGGCGCCGTGAATCGCGCCGAGGTCAGCGCCACGCCTGCTGACCGCACCAGCCGCGCCGATTGCTCGAGAGAGAGATTGACTCAACGCGATCGGCTTGCATGCGCGAGCAGAAATCACGGCGACGGCCATGCTCTCTTCCGCAAGCGAAAAGCATAAAAAGAAACACCTGATGAGAGAACGAGGACGACCTACTAATTCGCACTTCAAAATCACAGCAAACCGAATTTAGAAGCCTGCGAATTCCTTTGAAGAGGCAATTCGCACAAGTATAAGACACTTCGATAAGAGTTGCAAGTCCATTCTCGCAAATGCGCCTCGTTTGTATCTTCTCCTCACCGCATGTAAGCTGATGTGGACGATGCTGATTGGAGCGGCAATTGATGGCTGGTGCGAGCGATACGTGGCGCAAAACATTGTCCGCAATTGGCACCTGCCGCGATGTAGGAACTACAGAGAATGCATTATAT